TTAGCATGATAGCATGGTACATTATCCCATACGTAAAGGACACTTGGAAAATGCTTTAGCCTGATAGCACTGACAGTGTACATCCCACACTTTATGCAAATTGCCGTCCGAAGCCACGCCTCCTGAACGCATGTTAATGTGTTAGCGGATATGAAACAAGCAGCATTGGGCACTGAATAAATGACAGAACTGTCTTCATAACCAGTATGGTTGTTGTATTTCTTCCATTTCAATTCAGTTCATCTTTATTTCTCTAGCGGTTTTACGATGTAGATTGAGTCAAAGCAGCTTAACAAAGAGGTTCTAGTCAATTGAAACTGTGTCAGTCCCGTTTTCAGAGTTCAATTCAGTTCAGTGTGGTTTATTGTTCACTGCTGAAAGCAAATTCATCAATGCGCAGCTCCACAAGTCTCAAACCAAGCAAGCCAGTAGCGACAGTGGTTTGGTAAACCAGGAATGAGAATATTAAGTTTTTTTCTAAATTTTTCTTAAATATAAGCAGAATTCCAATTCTTTAGGCAATAGTTAATGTTACGGGAAAACATGCCGCAGTACGACAACATAATCATGTCTCGCATCTAAACACTGCAGGTTTTTGCATAAGAAATTCGACGAATATTTAAAATGTACGTTTTTTTGACAGCACTATTGTAAACATTGTCATAATATCAAGCAAAAAAACATCTTTCATGCCAAGAACGACATGCATAATACCATATAATAATTCTGCAATATTTAAATTCACAAATTCAATTTACTCACAATTAGCCGCAAGGCTTAGAATCAACCATTGACTCATCTGGCGGTGGCGGCTTTACGTTCCATACAGTAAAGCTGTGGATGCTGTAGTTCGCTCGTAACTTATGAAAAGACAAAAACAATACCCGATTACATGTTGCTGCTGAAGTTAATTTAAAATTTGTAAACAAACTAAGCTAAGTATTTCTAAAAAAAACAAAAATCCCAACCTGTCCAAGAGAAATTCTGCAACCATGGCATCATTTTTCAGCCCCATTGAGTGCTGTAGTTGTCTCCAGCGATGAAAAGAAGCGCCGATATTAATCCGGGTTTTCGATCTTATATGATCCAGCCGTTTTTTGTCGGAGATCTTTTCGAACAGAGTCTTTCTTCTGAATGGTACTTTTGGTTTGGGTTGTTGAGGAGGAATGCCAGGCTGTTGATGGTTGTCTGTCGGTCTCGCTCTGTCTGCAGAACGCACATGAACACGCTGATGATGAATCCTGTCTGAGCGGCACAGAGGTATACAGACACACATGACGACAGGCAGATGTAAGATTTTGATTGGATGAGCATTTCTTGGTCTTGCCAATTCCAGAGAAAGGTACTGTTTACACCTGGAACTGAAATGTGTTTTTGTCAATATGATCGCAAGTGGACAAGTTTAACCATTTTTAATTATAACTAGACCTGAATGATTAATTGTATTTGCGATAATATGGGTATAAGTAAAATCTGTCATTGTAATTTATGACACCATAACACTCATAGATCAGAAGTTCAGGATTGACCATATTTGGAATGGTCGTGAATATTAATGAGCTCATTTTAGGCTGATTCTGTATGACAGTGCATCTGCATAAAATGATGACCAATCTACAGGCATAAATACATGCAATAAAGTAAACGACGCAATTCGATTTACACGTTAGGTCAATGCAAAGACGTGAATGGACATCCTGCAGCGCATTTCGCGCAAATGAAGCTAAGTTGAACGTTTTGCGCATTTGATGCGCGTTTCGCGTGAATTGCTCGAGTTGAAAAATCTGAACTTTAGCGGACGTTCGTGCTGCATTAACCAATCAGGAGCTAGCTCTTGTAGGGGAGTAATTATGGTGTAGCACCTGTTGTTGGTGTCCCGAGGGTAAAATTCTTTTGCTGACACCGGACAACAGTTCATTAAACTGGGCTCAGTCTGATGCACTGCTGAAAGCCTCCATCATTCAGGATCAGTTTCTGGAGGAGTTGATGAACTCACAGATCTGGGTGCACCTTTAATGCTGCGTTCACACCAGACGCAGAACGCGCTGATAAATCGTGCTATTCACGTGTAAATACACGCATAAACAATTCATCACTTCACTTCACAACAGATGCGGATTCGCATCATGGGCAGGGCTTCTGTCTGACTGTAGCTTCGTTGCTAATTGGCTAACATAAATTTTAGAGAGAACAGCTGTGATTATGTGCTTTATAAAGGCTAAAAACTAGCGTTGATACGTTTGGAGCAATGACTGTAAAAAATATGGACGACGCGACAGCCTCGTTTTCCATTGAACGCTTTGAGGGCAAAACGCCTGCTTGAAGGGCCCAAACTTTCGCAAAAGACTGCTGACATTGGAGCCTGGGCATACGTAGAAGGACTGTCTGATGGAGCCAGAGGAGGAGCCGCGAAATCGAGCTTCCAAGTCAGTTCCAACCAAACGCTTGATGTAAAATCAACCACGCCCCCGAACTTCTCACTTAACCTCTGGTATCTGCACTATAACAAAGGCTCGCTGGTGTAAATATAAGCACTTGCATTAAAAAACACGCAGTAATAATATACGGTTTAAAAACGGTGTGATGTAAGCTGTTATACTTTAATAAAAGCAATACATGCTGGACTGCAGAAATAAACGATCTTTTATACACTCTAGCCTGAGTTAGACTAATATGAGCACAAATAATATATTCTCTTATAACAGGGTTGTTGGTATTTGTTATGCCACATGCCGCCGCATTTGGCCTGAATGACTCGGGGCGGAAATGAGCAGTGTGTCCATAGGAATCCGGCCCGAGTAGGTCCAGCAGACGGAGCCGGGCCGAGGGGTAAGTCTCTGGCAGGCGAGAATCCAACCGGAACTGGTCCGAGTGTATTTTGCTATCTGGGTGGTTAGGCGTGTATCAGCAAACTAATAAAGCCCGAAAAAAGCCCTGACCTTAGCGAATAAACAGTGTTCCACCAGGATCATGTATGTCAGAAACTGTAGTTTACTGCTGAACTCATTTTGTCATGGTAAAATAACACAGAAATCGAATAATAACACTTCAGTCTACTTCAGTCTCCTGCCGAAGCTCAGACGCCGCGCTTTGAGAAACTGTCAATCACAGCTGTCAATCACGATGACACGCCCAGCATTAAATTACTGCTAAAAACAAACAGTTTACAAAAATGAAGATCTGCACCTATTTCAGCACAATAACCAGTGCCTTAATCGACCAGAACCAACTTTCAGGACATTTTATTGCAAGTGTAATAAATTTTTTAATTTGGGCTCAAGTCTCATTCATTAACACGGAGGAGGCGGGCTTTATGACTTGTACTACGGCCGAGACCTTCACTCAAACGCAGGCTTGCGGTACACTTGGTTTGGAGCAATGTGTGGGTCCGCTAGATCCTTTCAGAGGTGCACTGAACTCCTCCAGAAACTATACCTGGATGATAGAGGCTTTCAGCAGTGCTTCAGATTGAGCCGAGCCCAATTTAATCGACTGTTGTTCGGTGTTAGCAGGAGGATTTTCACCCCGGGACACCAACAACAGGCGCTACGTCAAAATCACGCCCTACAAGAGAAAGCTCCTGATTGGTTAACATGTCGCGAATGTCCACGGAAGCTCAGATTTTTAAAGTTAAGCGATTTGCGCAAAGCACACGGTAAGTGATACTTCCTCTTTTTCAGACCATTCTCTGTAAACCCTAGAGATGGTTGTGCATGAAATCCCCAGTAGATCAGCAGTTTCTGAAATACTCAGACCAGCCTGGTCTGGCACCAACGACCACGTTCAAAGTCACTTAAATCACCTTTCTTCTCCATTCTGATGCTCGGTTTGAACTGCAGCAGATCATCTTGACCATGTCAACATGCCGAAGTGCATGCCAGGTGATTGGCGGATTAGGAATTTATGCGTAGCAACTGTGTGCTAGTTTAAAGTGCCAAGCTTGTACACAGACTAATAACCACGCGCACTGAATTAACTTTGACTGAGGCACCGGATGACCCGCTTAGAGCCGTGACATGGCACACCAAACACGGACATTCGCATGTTCAGATGGCACCCTGTGGTACAGATCTGCGCGGGACTAAATATTAAATCTTGCCAGGTTCTAGCCCGAATCCGACCGCTCCCGCTTATATTCAGCATTTGTCGCCCCATTTTCTACCTGCCGCGCCCGTTCCCACTAACGAGCGGGGGGAGAACATAACCGAAAACCACCCAGCTATACAGAGTCCAGACAGCCTATAACAAGCTGTCTGTATAAACACACATACATAAGCACGCTCTTTCTCTCTCTCTCTCTCACACACACACACACAGGTCTCTCTCATTCGCGCACACACACAGCAACAAAGCGACACGCATGTGAGGCAAAAGCGCTCGCACTTTACAGCTGCACCTAGTAAAGATCACACTCACAGGGAGCTTCTGTGACCTCGAGAAATGCAAACGGCTGAAGTTTAAGGTAGACGCAATGAAAATTACACGTTTGCAAACCTACCAAATGCTGATCTTGTGTTGAGCCCAATGAGCCTTACATCTAAAAATAGAGCAAGGGTGTTCCTCTAGTGACACCGCTTTGACTCACACGCTGAAAATGGCGGACGTGCAACGACAAACTGAGGATATGGTGATGCGCGCCTGTCAATCAATATTGGTGGGCGGGGGGACCGCACTCCTACGTAAAGTTGCAGTCGATCTAAAAACCGCTCCAATTGGTCCACCGTTTTTATGTTGGTAAATTGAAAAAAAAGGACTGTGTGTGTTTATATCACCCCAATATGACGATCTATACACTATATTTATACACGTCTGTCCAGACAACTTGAAAAGTAGATTCTTCACCATAGGTGCCCTTTAAATCATTGAATATAGGTATATGTGATATAAAATTTAGTGTGTGTGTGTGTGTGTGAGAGAGACAATTATAATAATAGACTCAAATTGTGTAAATTGTCAATAATTTATTTATTTTTAGCCAGAAATGCAAATCAAAGAACACAGAGTGTAAATATGAATAGGGCTGTGCTAGAAATGATATATTTGGGAAAAAAATCCCACCTGTTTGTTCATCGGGATCTTCTTTTTTCACACTGAAGGTTTCTTTGATCCCCACGTCTTCAAACTCTTCTTTAATCTCTTCTTTAATGAACGCCATCTCAATAAAAGTGGTTTCCTAAGGAGTGTTCCTTTACGTTTTTGTCCTGAGAATAAATAACAGAAAGAAAAATAAACCAAAACTAACTATATTTGAGTGCGTTTCAATCAGATCACAGTATTTCAAGACCTGCGTGACCAAATCACACACAAAACTAGCAGTTCACGTTAATAAATGAACACTAATTCAGGGCTCAACAATAAGGACTGCCCGATGGCCCGGGGCCAGCGTGTGAGATGCTCGGGACAGTAGACAGGATCATTACTGCTGCCTTGTCACTAAAGTTCAATTTGCCTGTGACCATTTGTCAATTGCGTGCAAATACAGTCTTAGAATCGAGAAAAAGTTTGTGTTATCAAGCCTCCAAATGCTACCTTTTCTGTTCCTCTTATCTGATTGGATGTTGTGAGCACGTTATTTTTTCCATATCAGCCAGTACAGCGAAGAGACAGCAACATGGCAGCAACATCAAGTGATGATGCTAAAGGAAAACATTGGTTTCTAACGTCTTGGAAGCAGACGTTTACGAGGGTACACCACGACTAAAAAAATGAAGTGATGTCTCGTACAGTTTGCCGTCAGTTTAGCAGGTCAGCCATCTTTTGTTTCAAAACACTTTGAATTTTGCTCATTTTACATTAATAAAAAAAATGTAATATTTAAATTCTAGATTTACAAAAAAAAAATTATTTGTGGCTAAGAAATAGATATTAACGTTTTTTTTTGTTTTTTTTGGTAGGGCCAGTGAAAATATTGACAGGGCAAGTGACACTGGTCCGATTAGGCCAGTAGAAAAAATCCTTAGCGTTGAACCCTGCTAATTACACAGCAAGTTTGTTTACTCAAGGTTTATATGGTATATAGTAGGCCTGAACAATCTACCGATATCGCAATGTGTGTATCTGCAATAGTCACATCGCAGTTTATTATTATTTATTAAAGATTAAAAGATATGAATAAATATACATATATTTTGTTATCATTTATTCAATGATGACCATGTTATTTTACATTTGACTGTTCAATTTATGGGCAGCATGGTGGTGCAGTGGGTAGCACAATCGCATCACAGCAAAAAGATTCAAGTCCTGGCTGGTCAGCACTTCTGTGTGGAGTTTGCATGTTCTTCCCGGGTTTCCCCCACAGTCCAAACACATGTGCGCTACAGGTGAATTGAGTAAACTAAATTGGCCGTAGCGTATGTGTGAGTGAATGAGTGTGTATGGATGGATGTTTCCCAGTGTTGGGTTGCAGCTGGAAGCAAGGGCATCCGCTGCGTAAAACAGATGCTGGATAAGTTGGCGGTTCATTCCGCTGTGGCGATCCCTGATCAATAAAGGGACTAAGCCTACAAGAAAATGAATGGTGTTTAGTAGAGTTGAACAATACATCGTTTGAGCACCAATATCGCAATGTATCTAAAAATAGTGACATCTTAGTTTATTATTATTTATTAAAAATTAAAATTTTAAGATAAATTTTTTGTTATCATTTATTCAACGATGACCGTGTTATTTTACATTTGATTGTTCAATTTATGTACTTGAATACCGTTAGACTCCCCTGAAAAACATCAAGCACTGTTTACTTATTTGTTAATTTATTATATTTATATTAAACTATTTATACATTTATCTGTTTATTTATTATGATTAATGCAGATGCGCTTCGTAGAAAAAGTCATACCAGTTGATCTAAATATGTAGAAATCTTTCCGAATAGAGTTATTTAAAATAATCTGCTGAAATTTTATTCGTATCGCTGCACGAAACGTCAGATTTCTCGAATATCGGGCAGGCCTAGTATTTAGCTATTTGTAGATAACGTTAACTAAATTACTCTTTAGTGAAGAGATGCCCAAAGTAGGGGCCCACGGGCCGGAGTTGACCCATTGTAACCTTTGACAGGGTTTCGGCAGATATCAAAACGTCAAATTTAAGACTTTTTAAGACCATTAAGTATTAAATTTAAGACCTAGTGCTAGTGGAAAAATAAACGTATTTAAATTGAACAGCACTGAAGACAGGTTGGATGCATCATTGAACTACAGAAAAAAACAAACATCTAAAGGCTGATTTATACTTTGATTTATTTCGCTTGACGCCACATCGCACATCTCAGCTGACTGCACGCTCACCATAAAGTCAGACGGATAAACAGAGAAGTAGAAAGTTTCTGGAACCACGTCATATCATGAATATCGTTCATTAATTTAATTAGTTCATTAAATAAATTTATTTAATTGAAATCAAACTTTGACGCATGACTTGCTTTTGTTCATATCTCGGACAGTTCTACCTATTAAATTTAAATATTAATGACAACAGAACATGGGTCGCTCTACAATTATACTTTTTATTATGGAAAGAATAAAAGCATTTTGCAGAGATGGGTTACGGCTGGAATGGCATTCACTGCGTAAAAATGTGCAGGAGAAGTTGGCGGTTCATTCCGCTGTGGCGACCCCGGATTTATAAAGGAACTAATCTGACAAGAAAATTAAATTAAATGAATAAAAGCAAACAAAATTTAATAAATACTGACGTTTTTTTATTTTTTATTTTGCCCACTTAACAATTCACACATTACTGTCTGGATAGTTTCTGTCTCCTACTTATAAGCTAAAAAGGCAATAATAGTCCTAACCATCATCACTAATAAAGCCTAGAAAAAGAGAACATCAATGTATTGTAATATCAAATATTCCTCTCCAGTTATCAAATAAATAATGTGTTCCTTAATTATAGTTTTGTAACTATTGAATTGTTTTAAATTTAAAAATTGTAATATATATAAGTGTAAAACCTATGAGTGGTGGAAAAACATGCCACAACCTTTTGCATGGCCGCTCTTTTTGGTTTAAACGAACGTATCCCTCAGGTTTTGTTAAACTCAAAAAACGTTCCTCCTTTCTCACGGCTGTTGCAATTTTTAGCCAAGAAATATTCGTCGTCTGGTTATCTCTATGATCACGCATGTACAGATCATAAAGATTTCAGACAAAATCTCTTCAAAGTGATTCTTTATTCAACTCAAATGAAATGCGGCGCCGCGCAAATTGTGCACTCGAGTCTCAAAAAAATTTGCGCCCTCCGAAATCATGTCGCGCACCCAAAGCGAACCTTCGCAAACACAGCAATGACGTCATATTCGGCATTCGAGTACAATGACAATAAGCAGATTGGCTATTGCATGTTGGTCTTATTTGTAGTTGTAATACCGCAAATTACATTTGGACTGGTGAAATAAAGAACTACAACACCACGAAAACCAAGCAACAACAACAAAAATAGAATTTAAATGAGCATTAGATGTAGCGTTACATGGACATCGGAAAAACAAGACCTGTGCAAAAATATTTAAGACCCAGAACAGCGAATTTAAGACTTTAAGGCCTAAAATTTAGATTTTTTAAATTTTAGACTGTTTTATAACCTTTTTAAGAACCCGCGGTAACCCTGCTTTGATTTGGCCCACCGTCCCATCTGAGAGAATGAGAATGATGAAGAGGGTTGGGGCGAATGCCTTTAACACAGAGATCGTCATTTCTAATTTGATGAAACTGTTTCTCGTTTATTTTATTGCTTTTCGTTCATTTTATTCAGAGCAAACTGAAACTGAATGTTTCAATTAAATGTTGTAAATGAATCTTATTTGATTTTAAAAAGTAAATACTGTCACTCGACGGATGAAGAATCTATGCATCGGTGAGTAAATCAAGGCAAAAACTAGTGTAATTCTATTATTAATAAGATTTTTTTGTTTTTACTGTAATAAATACATTATAAAATGTGACACAAATACTGTGGTAGTTAATATAAGACAGTGTTTTCTAGTCATTGTTAAACATTTTTAAATAAATTTTAAAATTACCATTGGCAAATATTTACTGTTGGCCCACTAGCCTAAATTTGGTTTTTGGACTTTTATAAGAAAAGGTTTGGGCACCCCTGCTTTAGTAAATACCCATATGAAAAATTACTATTGTAATTTATAGTAAATACTATGTTGTTTTTGAAACATGTGCTTGGTAATTCTATTGTTGCTATGGTAAAACAACAACTACTGTAGTATAAATGACAATCGACAACTATATATATATATATATATATATATATATATATATATATATGAGCAATATTACACGAGTAGCAGTGCGAAATGGCTGTATATCGGCACTGGTGGGAGGCGTGCGTTAGCACGAGGCAGCAGGCCGCCGAGTTAGTAGTGCCCTCACCAGTGCCAATATACAGCCATATCGCACTGCTACGAGTGTGATATTGCGTTTATACAACAGTTTAACGGCATAATTGTGTATATAAAAACAAAATGAAACTCGGAGAGTCTCAAAAACCGTTTTGTATGAGGAACTACTTTCTTCCGCGTTGGATTCAAATCATAAGCTGACAGTTAAACAGCTGAGCAAGCATCTTTTAAACTTTAGATGTGTAGTGTCTGCTTTTTGCTGGCTACATGTGGGTGGAGTAATACACAAAGGGTAAAGAGGCTGTACGGGTGCTGATATTACTTAAATAGATCACGGCTATCAGCCAATCAGATTCGAGAACCAGACAGACTGTTGTATAAATATATATATATATATATATATATATATATATATATATATACACACACACACACAAACACAATTATAATATATTACTACATATTAATATTTATACTACAATACACCACATTTTACTGCAGTAAAGAGTAAAGTACACTACATTATTTACCACACCTTACTGAAGCGAATAATAAAGTATACCACACAGTGATATTACAGTCTATCAGTTCACTATAGTTAATACTATTGTATGCTGGAGCATTCATTTACAAGGAGCTGTAAATAATATACTGTGTAATAAACTTTATTGAGGTAAAGTTGGTTTTATATCCGCACATTCGTTCAGTGACAGCTCCGCACATTGTTTGCCATGGTACTTTGAATATTCGGACTGAAATCACATGTAAGCTTGACTTCAAAACAACATTAGCACTATTTAGTCGACTGTGAACAACAATGCTGTAATTTGATGGTTGTTGGCTGCTAATATGATTAACTAATTAGAATTTCCAAAAATGTTAATGGGAAAGACTAAATGTGCGAATATGAAACCAACTTTACCTCAATATAAAACCTTACTATAGTATAGTATGGTTTAAAGACACTACAGTATTTAATTTAATCAATTACTAATGTATTTTTCCCCATGTGGAATCATTTTCAGTTGGTTTGTAGCGTTAAAATGTTGTCATTTCACACGTTTGTGTTTGCTCTGCATTTAATGAATGTGCTTGTTGAGGTAAATGGATTGGAAGTTCACGTTTACTTGTGCTTTACCTACACAAAATAACCTTCTTTAACGTTAGATAACGGGTTAAAAAGCTGCATTCACTTGTAAACAATAATTTAGCATCGCTTGTAAAAAAATAAACATTGAAAAATTAATTCGACAGACAGAATAAAACACGAATCGATCTACTTTAAAACAAACCTCTCGTCAGACGACTCCTGCAGCAGCCCTATGACGTCACACTGCAAGACCAAAATAAAAGTCCTGTCAACAAGCTGATGACATGAACCACGGAAGTGGAGAATTAAAAGTTATATTGAAGCGTACACACCTGCGTACAATAGTACAGTACATCTAGGGCTGTGTGGACTCACAAGAGGAAAAGTCTGAATGAATATGAAGAAGAGGACAGTGGAGAAAAGCTTCATATGATCTGAATATACTGACAGAATACAGTAAGTAAAGCTAATACTGCATTAACTATAGTCTGCAATGCTTTAAAACTCTTCCTAAAATCAGAAATCAATATAAATTTAAACTTATATTATTAAAATTTTCCACAGGATAAAATACTGTAGTAATCTATAGTAAATGTTATAGTAAAGTGTGTTGAATGAGAAGATTCACTAGTCATTGTTCATTGAATGCTACGTTGTACTGTATATTAACCGTAGTGAACTGATGAACTAATAAATACCATAGTATACTTACCATAGTTTTTTACTACAGTAAACTGTAGTGTAGTACTATAGTTGTAGAAAGCTTAGTGTACAGTATTGGGTCATTACTATAGTTGTTGCATGGGATCCATATAATTACCACAACTGATTAATTCAAGTATTCACAATATTATGATGAAAACATGATAGTATTTACTATTATTATTTTTTTAATGTGAGTATTATTGATTGGTATGATAGATTTTTTATTTTTATTTAGACCACATACAAAAACAGACAGCACTAGTAACACATTAAAAACAAAAATCAACAAACACATTGTTAATAATGTTTAAATTGACAGTCAAAATTAAATACAAAATTAATCGCATGAGAGATAAATGATCGGTCAAATCTGTTTTAGCTACTGGAACCCTTTACAAATATACCGAGGGTAGTTTTTTCAGATGGGTTTTCTTTAGCACCTGAATATAAACAAATAAGATAAACCAGGAAACTTCAGCCCTGATACATTGCTGCATTTATTTACAACCTTTGCTAGCTATTTAGTTTGACGTTTAAAGAGTGTGTGCTGTGTATTCATGCTAATGACTCCACACACTCTTGATTTCTGCTTTGGTTTGACAGGGAAACATCAGCAAGGGTTTAATACGTTGTGTTTTATTAGACTGCACAGAGCAGCATTATAACTGAAGTCTAAAATGTATTTAGTCTGATAAAATGGCTCGGCTTCTTCTCCACGTGTTCACGAGCTGAAGAACTGGAAGTGGTGGACTGTGGCATAATAAAAGCTCTGCTGTTTCGTGCCGCCTCATGCTTTAGCGTTTCTCTTGTTTCACTTCAACACCCTTAAGACTCGTACACACCGGGATGCTTTGTGTTTGCGTTTATGGTCAGCGCTTTTCGACATGTTTTTCCGAATTTAAAACCAAGCGATTTTCACTGGCGTCGAGTAGAAGTATATGCTAAATCACTCCTTGAAGTTAGATGACGCTACACAACTTTAAGCTACTGACACCCGCTTGTAACACAGAAGTTGACGCGCTTGTTGTTTTGCTGTGTTCACGGCAGACGCGGAATGCGCGGATAAATCGCGCTATTCGCGCGTAAATAGCCGCGTGAACATTTGAGTTTACTCACTACGCTTCATTCGCGCGTCAACCCCCGCTTCAATCGCGTGTCAAATTCACTTCAAAACAGACGCATGCGGATTCGCATGATGGGCAGGGCTTCTGTCTGCCCGGTGACTCTAGCTTCATAGCTAAAAGGCTAACATGGATTTTATGAAGAAAATAACAGTGTTAATGTGCTTTATGAAGACTGAAAAACAGCGTTGATACGTTTAGGCTCGTGTCTGAGTCCACTACATCCTTTCAGAGGTGCATCCAGCTCTGTAAACTCATAAACTCCTCCAGAAACTGAACCTGGATGACGGAGACTTTCAGCGGTGCCTCTGACTGAGCCAAGCCCAGTTTGATGACTTGTTGTCGGTGTAGCCTGGAGGATTTCCCCCGGGACACCGCCAACAGGTTCTACGTCACAATCACAGCCCCACAAGAGCAAGCTTCTGATTGGTTAACGCGGTGCGAATGTCCGCTGAAGTTCAGATTTTCGAACTCGAGAGATTCGCACGAAACGCTCATTAAGCGCGTCAAACGTGCAAAACGCTCAATTCGCCTCACCCGTATCGCGCTATTCGCACTGCGCAATTCGCGTCATTCGCTCCGCGCCATTCGCGCATTTGCATTGACTTAACATGTAAATCACTTGCGCTTGACGCGCGTTCCGCATCTGGTGTGAACGCAGCATTAAAGTTACTGGCGATTCGAACAAGCATGGATGGTTCAAGTAGCAGCTCCAGCTCTAGCGATGAAGAAATGATTATTGTTCACCAGTGCAATAAGCAGCTCCATGTTCATATCGCCTCTGGGCATCTTCTTCAATGTGCGCTCGCATTGACAGTTTTGCGATTGAGCGCCTCCGAGTGCTGTCTACTGCAACTTTAGCAGCTCCGTGCACTGAACAAAAGTGCCAATCCGATTGGAAGAGGTTTTGACGCGGTGCGACAAAAAAAAAAAACAAGCATAAGTCATTTCTTTAAAAATGATGGCTTTACACCTGCCGTTTTGCGCAATAATGTGCACGATTACATTGGCAGCCTTTATTTAGTCACGAGGCGTTAAACATCGACAGAAAACATGAGCAAAAAGCGTCTTTACTCCGCTTCATACTACCATGATTATAAGTGCTGAATATTTTACCCATCATCAACATGATTTTTGTAGGAGTCCCATAGGACAACAAAGACTTTCGCAAGCAATGTTTCCACCAAGCGGCAAAACTCCCGCTCTCCCTCATGAAGCTAATACGGAAGTAACTGAAACTTCAATTCATCAAAATTCCGCTAGTCCTGGCTCCATATAGAGCAAATTTCTATTGGACCCAATGTTAAAATGGCCAACAATACAGCAGAAAAAAAGATGTTTACAGCCTGGTACAAAGAACGATTTTGGTTCATATAGCTAATATTACCCTTCATGACAACTCTGAGGGGGGTGAATTTTTTTATTACTCATGCATTTCGTTTATATTAACTTATATTAAGTCTGCATAAGTAAGATGTGGCAACAGAAGGTGACAGCTAGGTCTCGCTGGTCGCCGTCACATCACCTTAACTGATTCCGGCTGATTAGCTGCTGAACTCTGTGCATACATTACATATACGGGTATATTTTGTGTTGTTTTATGTGACTTTACTCAGTCGGTTGCTTTATGGAATTATTTCCTACAATTGTCCGATGATCTGGCATGCTGTGTGCACTTAATTGTGCTCACAAACCATTCAAGTTGCCTCCATTTCCCAGGTGAGTGAAATTATATACTTATATGCCATCTCTACAAATGTATTTGTTTACTTACGATAATTTATCGTTTATACTTTACTTGAGACCTGTAATGCACTCCAGAATCTGACAGATTGATTAGCTGTAGGCTCTAGAACAGTCTTCTGAAGCGTTGTCATACAGTGTTATGCCTGGCGTTAGCCTAGCATTTACTAACACAGACTATATTTGAAGTATTTAGAAGTAATTCGGGTTTTCCTCCTTTGGAAAAACGTCTTAAGAACAATGTTTAGTGGCTCAGTGTATTACAGCAGTGTTTTTACAAGTCTAAACACTTTATTGATATAGTATACAACCAAGCACAAGTGGTCAGAACACAAACGAGTCTCAGGTAATGAAGTATTAAGCGTTTTACCCAAAGAAAAGCCCATCTAAGCAAATTGCTAGCAGGCATCTGTAGCATTGCTCTTTGCGCTTTGTTTGGTTACCCCCAGTTGGAGCGATGATGCGCGAACAAAGTGGCGCCGGTTGGCCACGTCTACTTGTAGCTACATTTGTGCTCTTCAGAAACCTATGGGTGATGTCATGGATACTACGTCCATATCATTTACAGTCTGTGGATTCCACACTCACTGCGTCATCAAAATACGCATTTGTTTGTTGTGAATACACGCCATCTAGTGGCGAAAATGACATAAATCAAATTAGTAAGTGATTGATCGACAAAACACGCCTTTGTTTGTTTAAATTACATACTGAGCTTTTCAATGTAGCTGCACACAGGGAGCCAGTGTTTGACTAGACACACCTTGTTTTGTTTTGTCAGTGTTATATAAGCTCTGTCAAACCTCCGGCTCCGCTCTTAAGCTTGAATTAATCCTACTGAGAGTTTGGTGAGTTGTACCTTCCCGTATATTTTATGATTGCTCTGTGACTCTAGTATGTACATTTATAATATCATATCATTCACCCATCATATACTGCTGTTTCCGTGTTCAAAGCAAGCTTAAGCCTGGTTTATACTTCTGCGTCAAGTGACCGGCGTAACCCAATGCGCGTAGCTGTGCATTTATACATTTGCGCGCTGTCTCTGTTGGTCTGCATTAACACTTCCGAAACGCTAGTTGGCAGTGAGGTGTAAATGTTCCTCTGTGTCGAGTTTCTTCGCTTCTGTTTTGCGTTTCCTGAACACTTCCTGGTTGTACAAGTGACTCAAACTCGCTCATTTTAAGGCAGGAACCGGCAGACGTGCAACAACTTTAACTATGAGGTAAACACAAAACAAAACTTTCCATCCGGAGCTCCTTCACGAGACTCCACACTTGTAAACAATCGCTCGCGCCATTCGCGCGGCTCTCGGTCCCGCCCAGACTCGTCAGCGCTACCAAGCTGACCAATCACAGAGCTTGCGCTACGCGTCGTTGCGCCGTGTAGTTACATTTTTTGAGAGGTGCACGTCAGTGACGCCGACGGCCACGGCGAAGGGCTATGCGTCAGCGCCGTAGCATACGCCGGCGTTTGACGCAGAAGTATAAATCAGCCTTTAGGAACTGTGAATGAACACTGCATTAGGTGCTGTAAAACTTTATTGTCTTGTTTTTTTCAGAATTAGATTTCCCTTACCTATATTATCAGTGCTGATGATGCACTATGTATTGCTTTTTAGGGTTTTCAAAGTATTTTTATTATTGTCATGTTTTATGATAATTGTGTTAAGAAGTTGTAGCTTGTGGATTTGTTAGACTTTTATTATGAATCGTTTTCAAAGAGTTCAATTTAGTCCCATCAGACCAAAGAATTTGGTTTCTTATGGTCTGAGAGTCCTTCAGACGCCTTTAGGCAAATCCCAGGCAGGGAGTGTCTTCCGTCTGGCCACTCTACCATACAGGCCTGATTGGTGGATTGCTGCACAGATGGTTGTCCTTCTGTAAGGTTCTCCTCTCTCCACAGAAGAACGCTGGAGCTTAGACAGAGTGACCATCGGGTTATTGATTACCTCCCTGACTAAGGCCCTTCTCCACCGATCACTCAGCTTAGATGGTCGGCCAGCTCTAGTAAGAGTCCTGGTGGTTCCAAACATCTTCCACTTACGGATGATGGAGGCCGCTGTGCTCATTGGAAATTTCAGAGCAGCAGAAATGTTTCTGTAACCTTCCCCAGCCTTGTGCTTTGAGACAATCCTGTCTCTGAGGTCTACAGACAATTCCTTTGTCTTCATGCTTGGTTTGTGCTTTGACATGCACTGTCAACCCTGGGACCTTATATAGACAGGTGTACGCCTCTTCAAATCATGTTCAATCAACTGAATTGACCACAGGTGAACTCCAATGAAGCTGCTGAAACTTCTCAAGAATGATCAGTGGAAACAGAATGTACCTGAGCTCAATTTAGAGCTTGACGCCAAAGGCTGTAAATACTGATGTACATGTGATTTTTGAGGTTTTTTATTTGTAATAAATTTGCAACAATCTCAAAAACTCTTTTTTTCACATTGTGTTATAGGGTATTGTGTGTAGAATGTTGAGAAAATAAATGAGTTTAATCCATTTTGGAATAAGGGTGTAACATAAATAAATGTGGAAATAGTGAAGCGCTATGAATACTTTCCGGATGCACTGTATTGAATTATTGAATTTCGGCAAGACTAGAGTAGCGCCGTCAATTAATTAATTAGTCTACAGATACCACATTAAACTAATAAGAGTAATTAAAATAGGCCTTTGGTACAGTGAAATGCCGATATCATCTTGTGACAAATTGACAATAAAGAAAGTCATGTGAAATGTCGTCTTTTTGTTCTTTCAGAATTGAAATTACCATTGCAGCACTGAAGAACACTTTCTCTAAATTGAGCCTCAACATGGACAAAAAGGAGGAGGATGTTGTTCAGTATCAGAAAAACAAAGAGTCTTCACCAGAGTCCAGCAGTGTGAAGAGCGACGAATCCTTAAGTCAAACACTCAGTGATGAAGGATCCACCTGTGTACCCAGGTGAGTGTGACTTTGGTGTGTTTATACTGGTTTTTGGTTCTTTGAGGACGAAATTTCATATAGTGACACGGGTGTTATCAAAATGATTATAACTTTGTGGTGATTTATGAAAAACTGTTAAAAATGATATCTTTTTTACAATCAAAATTTGCCACAGTTTTGCTGTTAGGGTTGGCCTAAGGGCTAGGGGTGGGGAAAGGGCATATACACAGATTTTACAGTTGAAAATACATTATGGCAAGTCATCAAGACGTGTGTGTTTGTGCATTATTCACATTTATAGTACTTATATACTTCAAATAATAGAATAGACTTCTATTCTATTCAGATTTGGCTACTCTATTTGCTAGTTCGAGTGAAGTTCTGTTGTTAGCAAGTAAGTTTTTTTTCAGGATGGTTACTTTACTGTTTACATTAGTGAAGGTCGTCACTGTGCACATCTCTGTTTACAAGTTAATTAAAAAAGGAACATTCAACAGCTCCTATTACTGCTTTGATCTAACCTGAGGCCTGTTTTAATTTGAAGTATATAGCTTGTTCTAGCACATATCTTCTTCTTCTTTGGCCTTAAGGCTGATTTATACTTCTGCGTCAAACGCCGGCGTATGCTACGGCGCTGACGCATAGCCCTTCGCCGTCGCCGTCGCTGCCGTGCACCTCTCAAAAAATGTAACTACACGTCACAACAATGCATAGCGCAAGCTCTGTGATTGGTCAGCTTGGTAGCGCTGACGAGTCGGGGCGGGACTGAGAGCCGCGCGAATGGCGCAAGCGATTGTTTACAAGTGTGGAGTCCCGTGAAGGAGCTCCGGATGGATAGTTTGGTTTTGTGTTTACCTCATAGTTAAAGTTGTTGCACGTCCGCCGGTTCCTGCCTCAAAATGAGCGAGTTTGAGCCACTTGTACAACCAGGAAATGTTCAGGAAACGCAAAAAAGCAGCGAAGAAACTCGACACAGAGAAAGATTTACACCTCACTGCCAACTAGCGTTTCGGAAGTGTTAATGCAGACCAACAGAGACAGCACGCAGAAGTATAAATGCACAGCCACGCGCGTTGCATGCACCGTGTGTTATGCCGGTCACTTGACGCAGAAGTATAAATCAGGCTTTAGTCCCGTATGGTTGCGGGGTCGGCTCTTTTGAACAAGTCCTCCATTTAGACTTGTCCATACAATAACGACTTTTTTTACACCTTCCGGCCGGCCTGTCGTCTGGGCCTGTCACCCTCATACACTCATACACTACAGACAATTTAGCCTACCCAATTCAGCATGTCTTTGGACGCGAACGCAGGGAGAACATGCAAACTCCTCACAGAAATGCCAACTGAGCTGAGGTTCAAACCAGCGACCTTCTTGCTGTGAGGTGACAGCACTACCTACTGCGCCACTGCTTCGCCCCTTGTTCTAGCACATATGTGAGTTTTTATTTTCGCCTCTAGTCACAGTGCCCATGATCTAATTAACTCTTTGTCTTGTTCTTTTTGATTCTGTTGTGGGGATAGAGATGATCAAGATTCTCGCTTGCCAGTAGGTGAACTACAGAGAGTCAAAGACCAACACAAAACCATCGCGAAGAGCAAGTATGAGAGATTATTTGAGATCATCAACGTGCAAAGGAATCAAACTCTCCTGAACAAGGGCTTCACACAGTTCTACATCATAGAAAGAGAGAGTGAAGGAGTAAATGATGAACATGAGTTTTTACGCATGGAGAGATTACCAAGACTACAACGCTCACAAGACAATCCAGTCTGTGGCAATGACATCTTGAAACACCCACCCGACCCAGAACTTGATGAGAAGGACCAGATCAAGACGGTTCTTACCAAAGGCATCGCTGGGATTGGAAAAACCGTCTCTGTGCAGAAGTTCGTTTTGGAGTGGAGTGAAGGTAAAGCCAATCAGGATGTAGATTTTGTGTTCGTGCTTCCATTTCGATAGCTGAACTTGATCAAAGATCATCAGTACAGTCTTCACAGACTTTTACTCGAGTTTCATCCCGAACTTGAGGATCTGGAGCCTAAGATTTATGAGCAATGTAGAGTTGTGTCCATCTTTGATGGTTTGGATGAAAGCAGAATCACACTGAAGTTTTCAGAGGATGAGAAAGTTTGCGACGTAAATGAATCTTCATCAGTTGGTGTGTTGATATCAAGCATCCTCAAAGGAGATCTGCTTCCATCTGCTCTCATCTGGATCACCTCCAGACCAGCATCAACCAGTCAGATCCCCTCCAAATACATCAACCGTTTGACAGAGATTCAAGGATTCACTGATCCTCAGAAGGAGGAATATTTCAGGAAGAGAATCAGTGATGAAGATCAAGCCGACAGAATCGGCTCCCACATCAGAAGAGCAAATAGCCTCCACATCATGTGCCACATACCCATCTTCTGCTGGATATCTGCCACTGTGGTTCAGAAGGTCCTGGAAGAAGATCGGAGTGCAGAAATCCCTCAAACTCTGACTGAAATGTTCATCAAATTCCTGCTAATTCAAGTCAACAAGATGAACCAGAAGCATGAAGAGAGAGATCCTGAGAAACTCCTGCAGTCCAACAGAGATGTGATGGTGAAGGTTGCCAAACTGGCTTTCAAACAGCTGATCAAGGGCAATGTGATGTTCTACGAGGAGGACTTGATTGAGAGTGGCATAGATGTCAGTGACACCTCGGGGTGTTCTTGGATCTGCCCTGACATCCTTCAGGAGGAATCTGTTCTTCATCTGAGGAAAGTCTACAGCTTCTTCCATCTGAGCTTTCAGGAGTTTTTGGCTGCCTTCTATATTTTCCACTCCTACCTAACGAGAAACATGGAGGACATGGACTGTTTTCTAGACGAGAGAAACAAGGTCAAACTGAGTCGATCGAAAATCAGTTTGTTCCTGCTACTAAAATTAGTCGTTTCCAAAACCCTTAATACTGAAAGTGGACTCCTGGATCTTTTCATGCGGTTCCTGTTGGCCATTGCGCAGGAGTACAATCAGATCCTTTTAGAGGATCTACTGCCGCGCACAGAGTACAGCTCAAGTACTATCAGGGATTTTCTCAGGCACATCAAATCCCTAATGACAGGATATCACTGCATTTCTGACAACAAATCCATGAGTCTGTTCTTCTGTCTGTTGGAAATGAATGATCAGAGTCTATACACGGATGTTGAGAAGCTTGTGAAATCAGGGGAACGTTCAAAGAACAGACAGTCTCAGGCTGTCTTCTCAGCAGTAGGCTACATGCTTCAGACGTCTGAGGACGTGCTGGATGAGTTTGAGCTCATGAAATATGACGTATTAGATGATGATCGGAAGAGACTGCTACCAGCTGTGGTGAACAGCAGAAAAGCTCTGTAAGTATTTGAGTACAAACACATGAGTACAGCTCTGGTAAAAAAAAATAGTTAGTAGAAATTGAAGTTGGAGAGAGATGAATGAAGTTAATTTCTAAACTAGTTTCGAGGGGATCATGTCCTTATGATTGACCATGGCTGGTCCCGCATTAGCTAACACATGATTCACCAATCAGATGATTAATAGCACACTATAAATACCCAGAATTTCTTAGCTCACTTATCTTCGTCTTGAAGAATCCCCTCTTCCACCCCTACTCTCCCCCTCTTTTCCTCGATAGGGCGGCACAGTGGTAAGCAGTGTTGTTTCACAGCAAGAACGTCACTGGATCAAGTCCTTACCAGGCCAGTCGACGTTTCTGTGTAGAGTTTACATGTTCTCCCAATACTCACATGGGTTTTCCCAAGGTTCCCTGGTTTCTTCCCACTGGTGAATTGACGTAACCAGATTGCCACTATAGATGAGCTCAGCTGTATAACTCTCAGTAGCAATCCCTATAATCTGTCATAAGACATAACTAACCAGGGGAGTTCTCGAGACCTACCTGAGCTCAAACTCCCCTCTTGCCCTTCAAATGGGAGGGAGCCCCAGGCTCGAGGATCTTCTGAGCTCAGGGCTCTCTCCCGGGACAGCAAGCCCAACATGCTTTATAATCAATCATCAGCTAAGTGTGAACTCTTAAAAGGAGAGTAGGATCAGGAAAGGTCCACGAGCGCCTGAAGCATATTGATGCACTATGTTAGCACACTAACTGCTAGGCTATTGCCACTGACAATCTAGGCTAGTTTTACCAGCAGATGACGGTCTAGGCCAGAGGTCACAAATCTCGTTCATTGAGGTCCAGTGCCCTGCAGGGTTTATCTCCAACTTGCCTCAACACACCTGCCTGGGTGTTTCAAGTATACCTAGTAAGACATTGATTAGCTTGTTCTGGTGTGTTTGATTAGGGTTGGAGCTAAAATCTGCAGGACACCAGACCTCTCTATGCTAGTAACCGCAGAGGGTGCGCTAGGCTAGTTGCTAACAGTAGATAGCACTCTAGGCAAGTTGTTTACTGCAAATAGCACTCTAGGCCAGTTTGTAACAACAGATGACACTCCCAAGTTAGTTCCATTAACAGCAGAAGATGCTCTAGGCTAGTTTGTAACTGCATATGACACTCCAAGTTAGTTTCATTAACAGTAAATGGCGCTCTAGGCTGGTCTCCCTGCTGAAAAATCCAGCTTAAACCAGCCTGGTCGACCAGCTAAAACCAGCCAACCAGCCTAGGCTGGTTTAGGCTGTTTTTTTCAGTAGGGCTTTAACAGCAGATGACGGTCTAGGCTAGTTTTTAACAGCAGATGACGGTCTAGGCTAGTTTTTAACCAAATATGTCACTGCAAGTTAGTTTCATTAACGGTAAATGGTGCTCTAGGCCAGTTTTTAACAGCAAATGACGGTCTAGACTAGTTTTTAACAGCAGATTACGGTCTAGGCTGGTTTTTAACAGCAGATTATGGTCTAGGCTAGTTTTTAGCAGCAGATAGTGCTCGAGGCTAGTTTTTTAACAGCAGATGGGGCTTGAGGCTTGTTTTGAACAGCAGATGGCGCTCTAGGCTAGTTTTGAACAGCAGATGGTGCTCTAGGTTAGTTACATTAACAGCAAATGGCGCTCTAGGCTAGTTTTTAACAGCAGATTACGGTCTAGGCTAGTTTTGAACAGCAGATTATGGTCTAGGCTAGTTTTTAACAGCAGATAGTGCTCGAGGCTAGTTTTTTAACAGCAGATGGGGCTTGAGGCTTGTTTTGAACAGCAGATGGCGCTCTAGGCTAGTTCTGAACAGCAGATGGTGCTCTAGGTTAGTTACATTAACAGCAAATGGCGCTCTAGGCTAGTTTTTAACAGCAGATTACGTTCTAGGCCAGTTTTTAAACAGCAGATTACGGTCTAGGCTAGATTTTAACAGCAGATAGTGCTCGAGGCTAGTTTTTTACCAGCAGATGGGGCTTGAGGCTTGTTTTGAACAGCAGATTGTGCTCTAGGATAGTTTTGAACAGCAGATGGTGCTCTAGGTAAGTTACATTAACAGCAAATGGCGCTCTAGGCTAGTTTTTAACAGCAGATTACGGTCTAGGCTAGTTTTTAACAGCAGACTATGGTCTAGGCTAGTTTTTAACAGCAGATAGTGCTCGAGGCTAGTTTTTTAACAGCAGATGGGGCTTGAGGCTTGTTTTGAACAGCAGATGGCGCTCTAGGCTAGTTTTAAACCGCATATGGCACTCTAGGCTAGTTTTGAACAGCAGATGGTGCTCTAGGTTAGTTACATTAACAGCAAATGGCGCTCTAGGCTAGTTTTTAACAGCAGATTACGGTCTAGGCTAGTTTTTAACAGCAGATTATGGTCTAGGCTAGTTTTTAACAGCAGATAGTGCTCGGGGCTAGTTTTTTAACAGCAGGTGGGGCTTGAGGCTTGTTTTGAACAGCAGATGGTGCTCTAGGTTAGTAACATTAACAGCAAATGGCGCTCTAGGCTAGTTTTTAACAGCAGATTACGGTCTAGGCTAGTTTTGAACAGCAGATAGTGCTCGGGGCTAGTTTTTTAACAGCAGGTGGGGCTTGAGGCTAGTTTTGAACAGCAGATGGTGCTCTAGGTTAGTAACATTAACAGCAAATGGCGCTCTAGGCTAGTTTTTAACAGCAGATTATGGTCTAGGCTAGTTTTGAACAGCAGATAGTGCTAGAGGCTAGTTTTTTAACAGCAGATGGGGCTTGAGGCTTGTTTTGAACAGCAGATGGTGCTCTAGGTTAGTTACATTAACAGCAAATGGCGCTCTAGGCTAGTTTTTAACAGCAGATAGTGCTCGAGGCTAGTTTTTTAACAGCAGATGGCGCTCTAGGCTAGTTTTTAACGGCAAATGGCGCTCTAGGCCAGTTTTTCAACAGCAGATTACGGTCTAGGCTAGATTTTAACAGCAGATAGTGCTCGAGGCTAGTTTTTTACCAGCAGATAGTGCTCGAGGCTAGTTTTTTAACAGCAGAAGGGGCTTGAGGCTTGTTTTGAACAGCAGATGGCGCTCTAGGCTAGTTTTGAACAGCAGATGGTGCTCTAGGTTAGTTACATTAACAGTAAATGGCGCTCTAGGCTAGTTTTTAACAGCAGATTAAGGTCTAGGCTAGTTTTTAACAGCAGACTATGGTCTAGGCTAGTTTTTAACAGCAGATAGTGCTCGAGGCTAGTTTTTTAACAGCAGATGGGGCTTGAGGCTTGTTTTGAACAGCAGATGGCGCTCTAGGCTAGTTTTAAACAGCATATGACACTCTAGGCTAGTTTTGAACAGCAGATGGTGCACTAGGTTAGTTACATTAACAGCAAATGGCGCTCTAGGCTAGTTTTTAACAGCAGATTACGGTCAAGGCTAGTTTTTAACAGCAGATTACGGTCAAGGCTAGTTTTTAACAGCAGATTACGTTCAAGGCTAGTTTTTAACAGCAGATTAGGGTCTAGGCTAGTTTTTAACAGTAGATAGAGCTTTAGGCTTTTTGTTAACAGCAAATGGCAATCTAGGCTAGTTTGGCACAGCAGAGGACACTCCAGGTTAGTTTCATTAACAGTAAATGGCACTCTAGGCTAGTTTTTAACAGCAGGTGATAGTCTAGGCTAGTTTTCAACAGCCAATGGTGGTCTAGACTAGTTTCTATTTGTTAGCAGCTAATGGCACTCTAAGCTAGTCTGTAACAGTAGACACTCCAGGTTAGTCTTATTAACAGTAGATGGCAGGTAGGCTAGTTTTTGACAGCAGATAAATGATCTTGTGTGCTTAACAAACATCTGTACTCTGATTGCATCCAATTTTTTTAGAAAGACCACTTGTAAACAAAGTAATCATTAATAAAGTTAGAGAAGGTTTAAGTTAACAATCAGAGTGTTCATGAGCTGTTTACATTAATTGTGTGACATAAAACGCAACTTACATGTCTCCAAACACACAAGTGCTCATCCTTGTGGTGTTTAAATGATAATCATGTTGAATCTGATGTGGACAGACGAATTGCTTGTCACTGGAGTTTGTTGCATCACTTCACATCAACCGTGTAACATCACACAAGGTGCGAAACTCTAAAAACAAGACTTTAACCACCAGTCTCCTTCTCACCGCACTATTTGATCTTGTGTTGTAGACTTGCTGGATGTTGCTTCTCTGATCAACAGTGTCCGAGTTTGGCTTCGGCTCTACAATCAGCAAACTCCCAACTAAGAGAGCTGGACCTGAGTAACAATGACCTGCAGGATTCAGGGGTGAATCTGATCTCTGCCGGACTGAAGAGTTCACACTGTCAACTCAACGTGCTGAGATCTGATAGTCATACACTCCCTAGAAGAGATACACAATATTGTTTAAAAATATCAATTCCTGAACACAGACGTAGCATGTTTAAATGAAAGGAGAATCCTTGCTGTCTGTTTGAACCAAATGAAAGGCAATTTGTTATGATATATAACAATTTAACAAGGTAATATGTCAAAAGAAGGTGGTGACGCTAGTAAACCACTTAAAAATAATGTGTTATCTCTGCTGAAAAATCCAGCTTAAACCAGCCTAGGCTGGTTGGCTGGTTTTAGCTAGTCGACCAGCCTGGTTTTAGAGGGGTTTTAGCCATTTCCAGGCTGTTTTCCAGCCATTTCCAGCTTGGTCTTAGCTGGTCAGGCTGGAAAATGACCAGCTAAATCCAGCTAAAACCAGCTTGACCAGCCTGGTTTAAGCTGGACATAGCTGGTTTTGGCTGGGCTCCCAACCTGGCTAGGCTGGTCAAGCTGGTTTTAGCTGGTCATCTCCCAGCCTGACCAGCTAAGACCAGGTTGGAAATGGCTGGAAACCAGCCTGGAAATGGCCAAAACCCATCTAAAACCAGCCTGGTCGACCAGCTAAAACCAGCCTAGGCTGGTTTAAGCGTTTTTTTTCAGCAGGGATCCGATGAGTGTAATCCATTTGGTATTTTTTCCACTTTAAATAACCGTCAAATTCAAACCCCCCATGTTCATGACCTTCCACAGTCGTCATGCAAACAATAAATAAAACATACATTTTGTCCTAATCCTCCTCATGTGTCATTCTCCATTATAGACTTGCTGGATGTCAACTCTCTGATCAGAGTTGTGAACGTTTGTCTTCAGCTCTACAATCTTCTAATTCACCACTGAGAGAGCTGGAACGGACTGACAATGCCCTGCAGGATGCAGGAGCCAAGCGGCTCTCTGCTGGACTGAAGAGTTCACACTCTCAACTCACCGTCCTGAGGTTCGACTTTCACCGCCGATGCTGAAAATATATTTAAAGTTGGTCACTTGTTTACAATTTTCTGTATGGTTAACGGTGGACTGTGAGCTGTATAGACCAACTTTAGATACTATAAATACAATAAGGCAACATTTACTATCCTGGACCACAAAACTGACTTATTTTGCATGGGTACCCTGCTGAAAAATCCAGCTTAAACCAGCCTAGGCTGGTTTAAGCTGTTTTTTTCAGCAGGGTATATTTTTGGCAGTAGTCAAAATATACACCGAATGAGTCAAAAATATACATTGTTCTCTTTCTTTTTTGTCTAATATTCTTTAAAGTCATTAGAAAGTCAAGTAAATATCGTGTTCCGTGTAGATATTTTATAAATGTCATACTGTAAACATGGCAAAACTTACGAATATGCATTTCTAAGAGCTTAATTGGGAAAACTTTGAGATTTTCTTAGTACTAGATTTGTTTTTTGAATACTCAGATTCTAGATTATTATTATTATTTTCTCCAATTTTCATTGCCAGTCATAAGCCATCATTTGTTTTGGTTGAATTTGTCATTTCCACAACCATCGCAAAGAACCAGGGCCCGGTTTTCCGAAAGTAATCCGCTAGGATTTTGGATAAGGGATTGGATCAAATCTTGAAAATGGGTTTTTAAATACCCGTAAATGGACGCTGTTTCCCAAACGAATTCTGTACACGCGATTTGAAGTGGCGTAAAAGTGGACACTCCGGGTTTTGGGTGCGTTTTTGAACACATATTTACATAATAACAATAATAATAATATTTAAACATGTCGATCTTAGTGGCCTTTCGTTCAAACACAACAAATTTTGTCTTAGATTAGCATAACAAGTTAGGAAAGCTTAAGCCATCGTTTGTTTTGGTTTAGTTTGGATTTCCCACAACCATCGCAGAGCCCAGGGGATCAGAGAGAGACTCCACCTTGGCCTACCCTCATCCAGAATCTAGATATTTTAATAGCTCAGCCAAATATTAACCCTATCCTAACAAACCACACATCAGTGTATAGCTTTATTCTACTTTCACGTGATGTAAAAATCTCAATTCAAAGCAATCGACACTTATGACATGTTATGTGGTCCAGGGTCACATTTGTTAACATTAGCAAATGCATTAACTACAACTAAGAATGCATCTATTTGTCATATCTGTTAGGGTTAGTTGTTGGAAATTAACCTTATTTTAAATTACTTCCATTGAAACTAACAAATAAGTTGGACTCCCGATGTTACATTATAATTTGAACAAAAACAGCGGCAATAATTAAATCTGGTGTAGCTGCACATTTTTTAAACACTTCTTCAGCATACAGTAGATTATTGGTTAATCCCATATGAAGTGTTTTTCAATATATTGGAGCAATGCTCTACTAATGTAGTACTAATATTATCAGCACAAATTGAATTAATAAGACACATACTGTTGTAGCGCTGCCACATAATTGAGGTACGCTTTCTGTTATGTTCATTAAATGTGTGAATAGGCCTGGCAGTAAAGCATACTCACGGTTCTTGAGGCTCCGAATATACAAATGAGTAATGGACTTTTATTTTAGATTCTTTATTTTGAAGGGATGAGGTGAGGTGAATGTATCGGTGTTCTATTTCCTGTTCTGTTGATCTTTTTCTATTTATACACATTCACATAACATACTCACCACAAGGGGGAGATAGAGGGCACCTGGACATTACTCACAGTGTCATCTGAAGAAGTCAGAGGAGCACATGGAGTAAGAGTTTGCCAAGGTCTACCTTTTTTCTTGTTTTCGTGTGCGAAGGACAATTCGTGTGTGTGGATTTTTTGCCCTTTTTGGACTTGTTAGTCTTTCACGTCTGAAGAAAAGACTATCCTAAGAGGACACTTGCAACGTAAGATGGTACAATTATCTGGACTCAAACTTTTCCGGTGAGAACAATCCATTTTGCATATACTCTCATCCACGGACTTTGGACTTTGCACATATACATACATACATACACACACACCCTCACTCACCATTTTTGTAATATGTTATTGTATAAATGTTGTTTGTGTTTTTGTTTCATTGTTAAGACTTGTTTAGTGACATTTGTGGTTCTATTACATAATCTCTCAATCCATGAAAAAATTTGAATACAGAAACTAGAGAATTGAACCATATCTTTTGTTTTTTTCTTGTGAATCCCGTTGATTTAAAGACGAGTGTTACACTGTTTACATTTAAATTTCTATATAATGTTGCAATTTTAACGAGCCTAGTTACATACAAACATGAATATGTATACTAGTTCAAATTAAAAACATCATGAATCAGCAAATACTCCACAACTACAGTGTAAATCTATTATTAAACGTGTTATCATGTGGAAAGAAAAGCGAAACAATTATGTAACAAAATCTTGGAGCTCTGTAAACTCCAGAGCATACCTGTCAACCCTCTCATTTTTCCCAGGGTTCTCCCGTATTTTACAATTCTATCCCGCTACCATCTCATAAAGGTATTTCTTCCATATTTTGAATCTTTTTATGAAGGGTGGAAATAAACGTCTAATGCTGCGGTCACACCAGATGCGGAACACGCATATAAATTGCGCTATTTGCGTGTGAAATTTTGAGTTTTCTCGCTTCATTCGCGCGTCAATCCCCGCTTCTTTCGCGCGTCAAATCCGCTACATACACGCGTCAAAATTCACTTCTGTACAGACGCGGATTCGCGTGATGGGCGGGGCTTCTGTCTGCCCGGTGACTCTAGCTTAGTAGCTAAATGGCTAACATGGATTTTATGAAGAAAATAACAGTGTTTATGTGCTTTTTAAAGGCTGAAAAACAGCGTCGATACATTTAGGGTCGTGTCCGAGTCCACTACATCCTTTCAGAGGTGAATCCAGCTCTGTGAGCTCAGGCGATACGTCACAATCACGCCCCACAAGAGCAAGCTCCTGATTGGTTAATGTGGCGTGAATGTCCGCTGAAGTTCAGATTTTCGAACTCGAACTCGAGTGATTCGCGCGAAACGCGCGTTAAGTGCGTCAAACGCGCAAAACCATAAATTCGCGACGCGCCATTCGCACCGCATCATTTGCGCAATTCGCATTATACACGCCGCACCATTCGCGCGTATCGTGGCGAAGGATGTATATTTGCGCGTTTGCATTGACTTAACATGTAAATCACTTGCGCTTGGCGCGCATTCCGCGTCTGGTGTGAACGCATCATAAAAAGGTCTGAACCCACACCGCCGAACCACTAAGGGACGCCTTAGTGCTCTTAAATGTGCACGCCTCTTGCTCTTAAATGTGAATCTGTTCTGTGCTTTTGTTTTATTTAGGCATGAATAACTTGAATAAACACTTTGAAATGAATATAAAAACGGCGGAGTTTCCTTCATTTCCATTACAGGCATCATCGCCCCTCCTATGCAATCCTTAAAAACAGTCAGTTCATGTATCAGTTAGTGACTGTCAGACGCGCTACATAGTAATAAATAGACGCTGTTTCCCAAACGGATTCTGTACACGCGATTTGAAGTGGAGTAAAAGTGGACACTGGGTTTTGGGTTTGAACAGACACATAAAAACTATAATAATAATAATAATATTTATTAATGTCGATCTTAGTGGGTTTTCTTTTAAACACAGCAAATTTTGTCTTAATTTAGCATAAAAAGTTAGGAAAGCAATCAAATGCTTGTGCATTTTTAAAGTGACACCTCTGTTAATGTCATTAAACGAAAAATCGAAATCCCTTATTTTTACATCCCAATGTTGATAGGTATGCTCCAGAGGGTGTTATTATACTACTTTAAAGGCTTACGCTTGGCTTTCACCTCTTTTTTTCACAAGTTTTACTTCTGTTCATGCATGAAACCATTGTTCATTCATTACATGAAATGATCTCTGTCTTTGTTCTTGTTTTAACCTTCCCTGCACACCAGAGTACTTCTGTTTATTTGATATGGTGGTTATTCGCTATTCATCAGTCACAAAGGGAATAAAGAATAACTCAAAAAAAGGGCATCCCGTGTAAAACCGCTGCCTTTTTCATGCCATAGATTTTCATTCATACACAGATTGGAAACGCAAAGTCATGTGACAAGTTTTGCATGTCGCTGCATTCCAAAGTTCAAGCTTTGTGAACTCTGACCTGCGAATTCGCATTATCCCTGCTGAAAAATCCAGCTTAAACCAGCCTAGGCTGGTTGGCTGGTTTAAGCTGGATTTTTTAGCAGGGATGTGATTGCGCGAGGCCAATAAAAGATCAAAACGTGACCTCTCTGTACAGGAATTAAAAATATGTAATTTTCAGTTTCGCATCCTCTTGTTTCTCCTACACGATTTGGCAGCACCGCCCAACAGATTTTAACATGCTTCCGATAGATTTTCGGGAGGGGTGAGAAGGGTGCGTGACATAGCCTATTTGAGGACCAGGAGGGAGACGCAAGATTACCGGGAGATCATGACTTGTTTACGGGCATCCGGAGACTCACGAAACTTCCTGCCCTACTCATAATTCTCTCTTCATATAGCCGTATGCCTATTACATATCTATAAAACACTGTGATATAACCGCACTCGGATCGTATCGCTTTCTCACTGCAATCCATCCGCTCCAGAGTCTGTTTCAATCAAGCCGAGACCACCTCACTCAAGCGATCTCGGAGCGATTGATTTGGCGCGGATCAGAGAGGGATTGGTGGTTTCACATATGCCAAACGAACCGCGCTAACTGGGCAAACGAGACAGGTTCAGAAACAAAAGTGTAGGTGTGAAAGCACCCTTATACAACTTAATAACTTTAGCTTAAGACAGATGTTGTAAATGTCAGTCAGAATGTGACGTTTAATTGATATGACAGAAAATAAACTTCTGTTTTGTGTCTTGATTTAGATTGGCCTTATGTAATCTCACTGGTCAGAGCTGTGAAAGTTTGGCTTCGGCTCTACACACAGCAAACTCCCAACTAAAAGAGCTGGACCTGAGTAACAATGACCTGCAGGATTCAGGAGTGAAGTTGATTTCTGCCGGACTGAAGAGTCCACAATGTCAACTCAATGTACTGAGGTATAAAAAAACACTATATAAACTAATATACTTATATAAACTAATTAATTGCCAATTAATTTGGGAATTGGTTAATCAAGGGTAATTGTCACCAGTAGTTTAATTCAGCTCATTAAGAATTTCTATAGCGCTTTTACAATGTAGATTGTGTCAAATCAGCTTAACATAGAAGCTCTAGTAATTTGAATTTGAAACTGTGTCAGTCCAGTTTTCAGTGTCCCAAAAGTGTCCAAACCAATTCCAAGTCCCAACAGTCCACAAGTCCTGAACTATGCAAGCCAATGGCGACAGTTGTGAGGAACAAACTTCACTAATTGGCAAAAGTGAAGGAAGAAACCTAGAGACAAACCAGACTTAGTTGTGCACGACCATTTCTCCTCTGGCCAAACTTCTTGTGCAGAGCTGCAGTCCAGGAGCTGAGGCTGGAGAAGCTGCAGGTGTGAGTAGGTCATCGGCTGATGCACAGACTGGCCCACAGGATCAATGCGGAGACTCAGGGGGTCACTGGGGTCTCATGCTCTCCACCCCTCCATGACCACCATAGCATCTGTTCAGGATACGGCCTGGTCCAAGGTTATGGAGACCTCTAGAAGTCTTCTATGGTTGGCATCATTTCTTTACAAAACTAGGTTACATCAATGGCGCTCTTCAATCTCTAGAGGCCTCGGGATGAGTTTCCCAAGGTGGAAATAGAAAACATAGTAAATCCTGTCCAAACCCATACATAAATTCACAAACGTCGACTGAAAAGAACTGTAAATCAAACATTAGGAAAACTAGTCCCATCCAAATAAGCCTTAAGTTCATCTGCTTTTGTATTGTTGTTCTAATTGACCTTGAGTCTGGAAATAAATGATCCTGCAAACACACACAAATGCTAATAAAGAAGCCCTGGTTCATAATAATGTACATTAGAGAAAATGGAGTGGAGTCGGTTGTTAACTGCACATGTCATTGCGTAAAACTAGTATCTGATTGGCAAACTAATCTGAACTGTGTTTGCAGATTGTGTATCTGATTGGCAAACTAATCTGAGCTGTGTTTGCAGATTGTGTATCTGACTGGCAAACTAATCTGAGCTGTGTTTGCAGATTGTCTGGCTGTATGGTGACAGAGGAAGGCTGTGGATTTCTGTCTTCAGCTTTGACTTCAAACCCCTCACACCTGAGAGAGCTGGATCTGAGCTACAATCATCCAGGAGAATCAGGAGTCAAGCAGCTCTCTGAAAAACTGGAGGATCCAAACTACACACTGGAAAAACTCAAGTATATTTTCACAATATTTAATGATGATGACCTTAAAGAACCAGTGACGTTCTTGCTGTGAGGCTAACCACTGGGCCACCGTGCCACCCATCTAGGAAAGGAGGAGGAGTAGGGGTGGAAGGGGGGATTCTTCAAAACAAAGATAACTGTGATGTGGAACTTAGGGTATTTATAGTGGCTAAGGAATCGTCTGATTGGTGAATCATACATTGAATAATGAGGGACCGGCTGTGATCAATCATAAGCATGTGATCCTCATTAGTTTATAAATAAACTTCACTTAATACTAGGGTTTCTATTCATTTCATGCTGTAAACATACTTGACAGTTCATTTATGTTTCCATGCTAATCTTGCTAAAGCAGAACTAGGCGCCATCTGTGAAGTGATGTCAAAATGACGCATCTTGCTGTTGCAAGTTCACAGGTTAGATGTCTGACTTCTAGCAGTATTCTAGATGTCATTTCCAAGGAGGAAACTCCCAATTCTTAATTGTCTAGAATGCTGCATATATAAACATATGGCAATGACACGTCTAATCATCACTTTGTTATGCTTACTGGTACTTCGGTAGCACATGGCTCCAAAATACGGCGGTGCCTCTGTAGTTATTCACGCTGCCTCATTCGCTTGTCTATACGCATCTTAGCAACGACTTAACGTAAATTATTCGCACTTGACGCTTCATCCATGTCTGGCGTGAACCCAGCAAAACAGATACTGTTTACCAACAAGATGACAGTGCCAACTAGTGGCCTAACATACGTAGTACATTATTTAGGTGGTTTTCGTGGATACGTTTAATCAATTTAACAATCTTTTAAGGCTCTCTGTGCAAGTTAGGTTTATAAACAAAAGTTGATGGAAAACATGTCTTTGAATATTTAGTAAGGTGTGCAGAATGTGACACTTTTTTTAATGTTTGTTTTATAGTTTGGAAAACGGAGGAGAGTTCAGGATCACAGCAGGACTACACAAATGTATGTCTCCCACACACACTTGTACAGCTATCTTTGTGGGGTCTTCCCATGGATGTAATGATTTCTGTACTGTAGAGACTCTATATTCAGTACTTATCCCCCAACCTTAGCTGTAAACTCAACCTTCTCCAGAACCAAGCTGCGTTTTTATATTTTCAAAATATTTCATTCTTATGAGCTGTTTTCCTCATGGGACCCAAAAAAATGTCCCCACAAGATTCAATATTACTGGTATAGCTATATTTGAGGAAACGTTTGGTTTCAACCAAGGTTTGCAGACGAGCGTCTCTGAATCCATCGAACCTTGAGACAGATAGGCTACAGCAGCAAAACACCACACCGGGTGCCACTCCTGTCAGCTAATAACAGGAAACTGAGGCTACAATTCACACAGGCTCACCAAAATTGGACAATACAATTTAGAAAAAGGTTGCCTGGTCTGATGAGTTTCCATTTCTGCTGCCACATTTGGATGGTCGGGTCAGAATTTAACGTCAACACCATGAAAGCATGAATCCATCCTGCCTTGTATCAACGGTTCAGGCTGGTGGTGTAATGGTGTGGGGGATACTTTTTTGGCACACTGTTACGATTTAAATAAGTTGTCTAGGGAGAATAAATGTAACACTTATAATATTAAATTATTACTGAGTAGATGGATGGAAAATACACAAGGACACAAACTTTACAATCAATTCGTTTATTTCTCTTACGAGGATAAGAAAGATGAAGCCAACAAAAGAGAGGCTTACATGTGTGCGCTTTGTAAAATGTATATATGTAAATAAAAAAAACAAATACAATCAAACCAAAAGTTTCAGCGGAAAAGGAACTAGAGTGGCGCCAAAGCAAAGAACTAAACAAAACCAAAAGCCACCTAAACTAGAACACAAGATCCCCCTCTAAACTTACTAATAAAAATCAAACTGTGAAAAAGAATCCGAAATCTTCAGCGTTTGCGACGCCACACCTAAACTTCCTGAAATAATAAGCAAAAATGCAAAATGCGGCGCTCACCCACTTACCTAGTGTTTCTGAACATTGAAGTTACCTACGGGCAAAATGTATGTCGCGCAACTTAGTAACCTATTCCCTTTTCCCCAAAAAGGAATGATAAACTCTTTAACCATGACCTAATTAACATCGACGTACAGTTATTCAGAAACACAGAACAAAGCATACAGTATGATAAGAAGCGAGCGAACACAAACCAACACACACACACATAGAACTCTGAAAAACAGCAGAACAAAAGGTGATAGGGCAAGACAAAAGCCCCTTTCACTCATACAGACCTTTCGGAAAGCTTGTATGTGTGAACAGGTCCTTTTTGAAAATACCGGTAAATTCGTTCTGGCTATTTTCTGGAAAGAGAAGTTGTAACATTACCGCCAATTTGCTGGAATTCTGCGCTGTGTGAATGCAGAAGGAAGATTCCCGTAATAAGCGCGTAATAAGTCTAGAACGTGCTGACGTGAGACGTCTGCTTTAGCCAATCACAACAGTCAGACGCATTTACGTCCGCGCGGTTTGTGAGAATAAAAGCCTTTGAATATTTTTCCAGACACATTTAGCTGCTAGAAGTTAGTCAGATCACATTTATATGTTCTTATTTATGCCAACTGTGTAAATAATCATCGATGAGATGCTTATGATAAGCCGTTGTTTGTTTACCTTTAAGCTTTGCGTGTGCCTGTGAAACAGCCTTTGAGCGCCTGCACACGCACATATTATGAACATCTCGACATGAGAAAGTGATCCTGCCAAAGTTGTTCACAATATTGATCATCCACAGAGTTTGTAATTTAGTCAAATGTTTACAAATACAAGCGCAGCCGTTTAAAGCTCATTTGTGGTTAATGATGTCAGAATTTACCGGTATTTTAGAATGGATGTGTGAATGCTCTTTTCCGGAAAATTTCCGTAACGTCCTCGCCTGTGTGAACAGCGCTTTTTTGAATATACCGGTAAAGTCGTTCCGGAAATTTTCCGGATATTTACCGGTATCACTGTGTGAAAGGGGCTAAAGAGCGAAAGACAGACAAGGAGATGCAAAGGGAGACAAGCAAAACAGAGAGGGAGAAGGCACAAAAATAGAAACTCCCACGGAGCGGAACACACACTTTGGACCCATTCGTTCCAATTAAGCATCATGTCAACGCCACAGCCTACCTGAGTATACGCTTATATTATGCGGCCGCCATTTTAAAGAACTAAAGCAAGGCTGCGGTGGGAAGAAACCCGGAAGTATCAGACCAGCACTGTAAACATTGCAGTAACATGCTGTATACTACAAACCTCCAGCTGTTCCCGAGATTTCAAAATGCAGAAATGGTGTAAACATCACTTTAACATTATTCAGTAAGTTTATTTTAAACAATAAAAGCAATTTAGCATCAAACAAGATCACAATCTCTGTGATATGCTTAAGTGTCCTCCTGGGCTTCAGCTCATGGCACTAGTTAAACACTGTGAGGACGCTTTCCTGCTTCAGCCTGTGTAACCCGGTGAGTGATACAACACTGCAGTCCTCTGCAGCACACCCTCGTGTTGTCTGTGATAGTGTTGTCCTGGTACTGAAGTTTTAAACCCGGCTATTTCCCGCTAACATGGAAGCGCTGCTGAGTGCGGATGTCCCAACACGACTGATCTTCACGGCTTCGCGCTTCAGTCTCCGTGTATCTGTGTTTGGTTTGCACTCAGTTTACCGCTCTTCACCCAGTGCAAACACAGATACACGAAGACTGAAGCGCGAAGCAGCCGTCAAGATCAGTCGAGTCATGAAGCAGATCGCTCGGCTCGTCTGTGTTTGTGCTCAGTAATCAGCGGTGGGTGAACTGATGACCTTCTCGGCCAATCACAAGCATTTCTGTTGAACACGTGACCACAATGGCAAATCAGCGCTGTTTTAGGAAAGCCATCAACATTGCCTTAAATGTTAGCGGGAAATTGCCGTTTTTTTCTTTTAATTCAGTATCGTGACTAGTCTAATATAGTGAAAGGATCAGTTTATTAACTCGAGTTTGATAAATGGCATCTAAAAAGTGTGTTTGGGAAAGAAAACATTAGCTAACTAGTGCCATTTCCCTTAACTTAGCTGAAAATGAGCTCTGATATCCCTTTTTACATTCACCATTCATTCAGAACGGACCTTCAGGTCACCCGGAAGGCGGAGAAATGATAAGTTTGGGTCACTTTCTCTTCACTGATAAGCTACATAGCCAGTTACAAAACATTTCTATGTAACTCCCAATGATACTTCCGGGTTTCTTCCCACCACAGCCTCAATTTCGCTTTTGAATATGGCGGTCGCGTGAAATCAGTCTATTGTTTCTGACCATGTCCATCCCTTTATGACCACAGTGTACCCATCTTCTGATGGCCACCTCCAGCAGGATAACATTATAGATGTGCAGCCAACAAATCAGCAGCAACTGCGTGATGCTATCATGTCAATATGGAGCAAAATCTCTTGAGGAATATTTCCAGCACCTTGTTAAATCTATTCCACAAAGGATTAAAGTAATTCTGAAGGCAAAAGGGGGTCCAACCCAGTACTAGTAAGGCTATGCTTGTGGGGACATTTGTTCCTTGCAATGTAAACATTGTCATAAATGCCTATTTTCTTCTGTTTACAGATTCCCATTTTCTGACACTGGATCCAAACACTGGGAACACCAATCTCGCTCTGTCTGAGGGGAACAGAAAGGCCACATATGTGGAAGAGAGTCAGCCATATCCAGATCATCCTGAGAGATTTGACAAGCGTCCTCATGTCCTGTCTAGAGAAGCACTGCCTGGACGCTGCTACTGGGAGACTGAATGGACTGGACAGGCTGACATAGCCATCACATACGCAGGGATAGGCAGGAAAGGAAAGGACGCTGACTGTGTGTTTGGATTCAATGATAACTCCTGGTGCCTGATCTGCTCTGACGACACATTCGGTCTTTGGTACGGTTACAAGCACATCGACACGCGTGTGTCCGCAGACTCCTGTAAGAGAGTAGGAGTGTATGTGGACGAGTCAACCGGTTCTGTGTCGTTCTACGGTGTCTTGGACACACACACGCTCGCACACATATACACATTCACCTCTATGTTCACTGAACCGCTCTATGCCGGATTTGGGTTCATGGTTCATGACTTGAACTCCACTGTGACTCTGTGTCCAATGAACAAACCTGTAAATAACAACACAGAAGTCACACAATAAGAAGTCTACACCAGGGGTGGCCAACACTGTTCCTGGAGAGCCACCTTCCTGCAGATTTCAGTTGCTACCTATATAAAACACACCTGCCTGTAATTATGACTTGGTGTTCAGGTCCTAATTAATTGGTTCAGGTGTGTTTGATATGGGTAGCAACTGAAATCTGCAGGAAGGTGGCTCTCCAGGAACAGCGTTGGCCACCCCTGGTCTACACTGACTCACTTATGGACAGCATGGTGGCTAAGTGGTTAGCACTGTTGCTTCACAGCAAGAAGGTCACTGATTCAAGTCCCGGCTGGACCAGTTGGCATTTCTTTGTGGAGTTTGCATGTTCTCTCTGTTCGCATGGGTTTCCTCCACAGTCCAAAGACATCCACTATAGGTGAACTGGATGAATTGGATGAAACTAAATTGGCTGTGGTGTATGAGTGTGTGCAGGAGCGGACTGGCCGCGGGGAGCCATACTTCTTTATCTCCTCACAAAATCTAACTTCAGTAACAAAGTCGCAACAACAACGGGAAAATGAACTTGAGTTGATTCTCTCAGAGGAACTTTGGCAAGACATTTTAATAAGGGCCAGAGGAAGCTGAACTGCCACTCTAGGCAAAGGACGATCAACCTGAATGTGAAAACCGAAGTAACCAGTTATCAAATTGAATGTCGCGGACATAACTGAGGTTGCGATGTTGAGGGAGGTGTCGCGGACGCCACCCTCTCTATTCTGCCACCCTAGGCGGTCGCCTAGGTCACCTCTATGGACACGCCGGCCCTGATTATAAATAAGATTCACTCAACTTCAACTTGTTTGCGACACACAATTATTCAGTTTAAAGTGGTCCATCGCCTACATTAGACAGAAGCAAAATTTTCACCAACTATAAATCTCTTAAGTAATAGATGTGACGTAGAGATAGCTAATCACACACACGTTTTGCTCATGTTCTAAAATGACCAAGTTCTGGCAATTAATATTGTTTCTTTTCTAATGTTTTGCATGCATTAATTGACCCTTGCCCTATTATAGGAATATTTGGTTTAATTACAGATCCCAGTTTAAACTAGTGATGGGAAGTTCGGATCATTTTACTGACTCGGATCTTTGAGTCTCGTTCATCAAGATGAACGAATCTTTTTTCGAGTCTATTCGTTCATTTGGTTCAATTTTCCAAAACATTATTAAAATGTTACGAATTGCTTCCAAACACATCTACAACTAGCCCAAAAGGTTGATCACACGACAAATAAGTCATAAATAGAATATAAGAAGGAGAAAATAATAATTCAATGTTTACCTGCTCTTCTGTCTATGAAGGCATTGTTGTTTCTTTGCTCAGCTCACCTCTTCATGTCTTCAAATGTCAGGGGTTCATTCACGTTACACTGACAGTCACATATAATCTTATTCAATGCACAGTCTTAGCCGATAGGAGCCATGATCATTCGTTGTTTATGTGACAGAATGACTCAATGCAGAGGACTCGAGAAATAAACAGTTCAATTCTTTTTCCGGCTCTAAACGTGTATGATTGCCCGTGATGAACGAGTGACTCAGACCCGATAGAGGACTCGAGAGGTGAGCGGATCAATTCTTTTTCCGGCTCTAACTGCGTATGATTGGCTTCTGCCAATGTGATGAAGACTTGAATTTAACGATACTACTTGCACAAATGTGCGCACGCGCGGATGAACGAATCACTCCCTGAGAGGACTCGTAGTTCCCGAGTCATATTGAAGAATCGTTCATGAACGACCCATCACTAGTTTAGACAATAATACCAAAATTATGATTTCTTTTTCATCATTATTTGCTAGACGGCTTATTCTGCGCAAATGGAAAGACAAATTTCCTCCAACGTTTAATCATTGGATTATGTACCATTTTACAATGGAGAAGATTCGGTACTTGAATCCTGGCTCGACGACATTTCCCTACCCCCCCTCTCTCTCTCCCACTTCGCTTCCTGTCTCAATACTGTCCTATCTAATAAAGGCAAAAAGCCCAAAAATAAGTCACAGAGAGTTGAAACAAATATTTTAATCCCAGATTATTAGCTAAAACGTTCTGTGGACCTGTATACATGTTATTATAGAAACATTTGGTTGGCAGTGAAAACCGCAGTCCTACATTGAGGTGGGCCTCAAATTCACTGGGATTTTAAAGTCAGGTAATTTAAAAAAAAAGAGATTTGCTGTGTTTTATATCACTCCAATATGACTGTGGACACACTATACCAGCACACAGTTCTGTCCAAACATCTTTAAAAAAAAGATGATTTTCATCATAGGTGCTCTTTAAGTAATTTTAATAAAGCTGGTAACAGAAAAAATAACTTTTACCCTTAAAGTGACCATTTTTTGTGAGCCAAAACAAAGACAGTCCACATGGTATAACATGATTTAATGACTAACCAGCCTGATGTCACAAGAAGTGTTTTAAGTTTTGTCAGTTTAGTGGCTAATTCGTATGAGTTCAGTCATACGAAATTGTATGATTTTAAAAAGGAGGCGTGGCACCCAACCCCACCCCTAAACCCAACTGTCATTGGGGGATGAGCAAATCGTCTTAACTTGTACGAATTAGGTCGTACAAATTAGCCACTAAATCAAAAAGTTACGAATTGTCGTGAGATTGCGTTGGACTAACGCATTACGAACAAAAACGTACAATGCATAAAACAGAAAAGCGATGAAATATAGAACTTGGGTAAAGAATGGCAACATTCACTCAGTTTAGTTCGGAAAGGTGGGATTGCAGCTTTACAGTTTTATCCACTTTAGTTTTACATTTTTTAAGGAGACATAAAAACTTAGATCACACCATGTTGGATATGACCAGTCCTGCCTGGCCTAGCAGTCTGTATAGTCAGCCATGTTCTGAGCCTGTTGTGGATGATGTGGATGAAACACTCTACCTACAACATCTTGCCATTTCTGTATCTTAAATTACAAGGTAAGTTGTCGTTACCGCCAGTACCATACAGACCATTACTGAAGACTTTCAAAAATCACATTCCTTTATGATCCTAAGGGAGAAAATGAAAGAACTTGGAATACAAGAGGCTACTGCAAGCAACATTATTGATTAAATTTAGAGAGCAGATCTTCTTAATATGTACAACAGGGGCATTCAGAGCACAGACCAAGAAAGGAAATCTGTTGAGCTTGTGGCTTTTCTTTTGGGCAGTGATGGATATGATAAGGAGTGCTTTGCCCAGTATATTCTTATCCGTGAGACATTGTCCACACTGTTCACAGGTGAGTCTGTAAGAGAGCAATATGTTGCTACATGCTGTCAACCAGTAACTGAAAATTTCAATCAGGATGTGAGAGATGGAGATTTAATCGCAATGAACTGTTGAAAACAGAACCTTCCTTCCATGATACTGTATCAAGATGCCTTTGAGGTTGTGAATCCACTTGGTTCAGGGGGAAAAACCACAAGGTTTTAGCCATTTACATGACCCTGACGAACATTTTGCCTTGCAATAGATCCACAGTAGATCACATTCAACTCGTCCTTCTATGTAGGAAGAAGGATTTTAAATACTTTGGCATGAAGAACGTTTTCGAACCATTGATCAATGATCTCAAACCTTTGTAGGACAAGGGTATATTGACAAATGATGACAGAGTTGTAAGGATCTTTAGTTGCCAGACAACTTGGATTCACATTGCATTGGTGGAATTGTCGAAAACTTTAATCAGACAAGCCATTTCTGCCGTTACTGTGAGATGGACAGAAATTAATTTAGGAATGAACCATTCACATGTGGAGGTCCAAGACCGAATCTTACCATCTTAAGTCAAGCAATGTCCAAACTCGGTCTTGGAGGGCCGGTGTCCTGCAAAGTCAACCCCAATCAGACACACCTGGGCTAGCTAATCAAGCTCTTACTAGGCTTTCTAGAAACATCCTGCAAGTGTGTTGCTAAAATCTGAAGGACACCTGCCCTCCAGGACCGAGCTTGGACACCCCTGTCTTAAGTCATTTGAAAGCTTTACACACCACTGATACTGTCCCAGCATGTGGCATCAAGATGGACTCTCCTTCTATTAACCAGCTTAATTAGCTTCATGTCTGCCAGCCAGGTCTTTCTCCATGTATGGGACATGACCTGTTTGAGGTTCTTGTGTCTTATGACCTTGCCTTGTTCATTGGTCACTTGGTTCAGAAGCACTTTACCTACTTACAATTAAACGGATGTAAAAACCAGTTCAGTTATCAAGGAAACGATGCCAGCAGTAAACCAAGTCTCCTGCTAGTGGACGATCAAGTGAGCATGCAGTTCATATATTGAAGTTGTTTCTTCTATTGGTGGGTGGCAGAACGAAGTACAGCAACTCATTCTGCAACTGAAAGAGATTGTGGCGCTCGTCTGTGCACCAGATATTACAACAGGACAAGTGACTTCTGAAAGTCCTCATTGAAGAATATGTGTTTAGTGGTCAAAGGCTATTCCTTGCCGGTTCATCAAGACGCAAGGTTCACTATTTGTGCCATTATCCAGAGCTTATTCTTCACTTTAGCCCACTTCTACACCTTTGGACACTACGGTTTGAGAGCAAACATGCTTTCTTCAAGTGTGCCAGGTAACTACACAACTTGACAAATCTTTGCAAAACTCTTGCAGAAAGACACCAACTGCTGCGAGCCTACTTGAGGCTACTTCCCTTCTGCATGTTGAGAGAGATGCAGGGATAACAACGACAAGATCAGAGCATCAGTGACTGGTCAAGATTTTGAGTCACAGTCTGCAATTGCCTGCAATGAGGTCACAGTGAAAGGCACAGTATACCAAAAGGGCATGTGTGTTTTGCTAAAAAAAAAAAAAAAAAAACTACTGATGGAGAACTTGCTTTTGAAAAGATTAATCTTATCATTGTTCTTAACAAGTATATGCAGTTTGTGACTCAAGTGTCTACTAAGACTTAGGAGTAGCTCAAGAGGATGTCTCGTCAAGCAAGAGGGTTTGGTGGACTATTATCCTCTTCCGTCGTACAAAGTGCATGACATATCCCTAATTGCTATCCACTATTCTTTTCCAGAACCAGTTTGAGCTGGCACGTAAAAGGTAGTAGGAACTGTCGAGACAAGAAAAGCAAACTGCTTAGGAGTAAATTGATATAAAAGATTATTGGCAAACTAAACATAGTTTAATACCACTTTTTTAAGGTCAATACTATTATTCCTCCTAAGCAGTTCTACAATGACTTGCCTAAGTGCCCTAACTTGCCTATTGTATTTTGCACACTTTAAGGCAAACAAAAGAGCCTTAAATTAGTCAAAAAATGATAATCTGGTGCGCCTTATGTGTGAACTGAGTTCCAAACCATGTGAAAACGTTGTGTGACTTTGGTAAGCATTCCACTTGATTGACTGTCGAAGCATTTTCCTCTGACACAGGGATGTTTATAGTGTTTTATAAACATGATTATCTTTATAATGATATAACAAATTATGATTATGTGTATATTTATTCATTCATTCATTGTTCTTCAGTTTGGTCACTATTTCCAGTGTTCGCCATTTATGTGTATATACTATATAAATTATGAATAACCGTATTTGTACGTATAATCATATATGTAGCAGGGCAGTAAATTACTTGCTGTTTGTTTCTTTGCATTTTAACTTTGTAAAATATAAAATCATGCTTCTCCTCTTGGTTTGTCTCATTTTGTGAGTCGATTGACAGTTGTTTGCTTCCCTCTCTTTTTGCCTTGCTCTGCCGGCCATGCCCAATCCTGCCTCTGCTCACTGTGCTCCACGCCCATCTTGAAGCATTTTTCCATCTTGCAACATCATACTGAAAGGGTGGGGTGGGGGGGTCATGAACCTTTAGGATCTGAACCCAAAAGAAGCTACCAGTAGGCGTGGCCAACCATCACGATTTTGTTCTCGCGTTATTGCACCATCCTAGGAACACCAAACAAGGGCAAAGAAGCCCTTGCCCTTGTTTGGTGTTCCCAGGGCAGTGCGATGACAATTAAGTGCACATAGCATGCCATAATCACCTGATAATTGTAATAAATAATTCCAAGAAGCAACTGACTGTGTAAAGCCACATAAAACAAGACAAAAATACGATGTATGTGCCGAGTTCAGCAGCTAATCAGCCGGAATCAGTAGAGGTGAAGTGACGGCAACCAGCAAGACCTAGCTGTCACTCAAGTGGCCACGCCACTAATTATGCAAACTTAATATAACCTAATGTAAACGAAACAATGGCAAACTGTATTTCATTTTTTCTGCTGTAAAGTTGGCCATTTTAAAAGTGGGATCAATAGAAATCTGCTCTATTATGGAGCCAGGAGCGGCCGGACTAGCGGAATTTCGCTGAATTGCAGTTTCAGTTACTTCCGTATTAGCTTCACGAGGGAGAGCGGGAGGTCATTCCCCACATTTATTTATACCTAAAGGTAAATATAAATCTTGTAGATTTCAAAGTGTCATGACTGTCTGTGTCCACCAGATGCCACCGTAGTTAACCAGCACTCTCAGCGAACTACAGTGGTTAAAGAACTACAATTCCATACATCCCACATGCAATACACCCGGTATCACTTACACTGATTGGCCACTCACAGCTGTTCCCGTTTCCTGTTGATTTCCTGGACTATTTATACAACCATTCACCCATTGATTGTTACTGTGTCGTTTGTTTTTCTTGTCTTCATTGCCTTAGTAAATCTTGTTATAGTGAGTTTGTTGTTCCTGAGCCTTGTTCCTGATCCTGATTCCTGCCTTAGTTTTTTGTTATGTTGTTTATTTGTTACTTTGTTATTTTGAACTTCGGACACCTTGTTTTTCGGTTTGCTGCACGATCTATTTAATAAATCTGCACTTGGTTCCAAAACCTTTTGTTCCCGTTTCAACCTCGTGACACAAAGCTTGCTCTGTATCTGCAAGATTTTCCACAATAATGACACACGTATGCCCTTATCTTAATGCAGAGAGAAGGGAGGTAAACAAGAACACTTGTCCTAACGTATTTCCTGTTTTACAGTTTAAATTTATATAGTTTAAATAATGTTATAATAGCTGATTTAACGTTAAATTATGATTGAATCGCCTCTTGTTATAGTTATGAAATAGGGAATGTTCATGGACCAATGACATCCCCACATTAAAATAGTCTGTATTGAAGTGTTTTATAAAGCTCTTTGCACAGTGACGAAACACAGAGGCAGCTCTCTCATGTGTGCATTCTCATGTGGTACTTGAGGGTCACTTTATATCTGAAGCTCTTCCCGCAGTGGCCGCACATGAACGGCTCCTCTCCAGTGTGAGTCCTCACGTGTCTGTTGAGGATTCCTCTTCGGTTGAAACTTCTTCCGCAGTGTGGACACATGAACGGCTTCTCTCCGGTGTGAATCCTTATGTGGTCCTCAAAGTGTCCCCTTTGGCTGAAGACCCGTTCGCACTGAGGACAAGTGTAGAGTTTGTCTCCGGAATGGATCCTCATGTGGTCTTTAAAGTGTCCTTTCTGCCTGAAGCTCTTTTTACATTGAGGGCACGAGTAGGGCGTTGCTCCGGTGTGATTTCTCATGTGGGCTTGAAGGTTTTCCTGTTGATCAAAGCTCTTTCCACAGTGTTGGCATGAAAATGGCCTTTCCCCGGTGTGAATTCTCAAGTGTCTGCTTAGGCTTTCTCTTAAAGTGAAAGTTAGTCCGCACTGTTGGCAGGTGAAGACGCTCTCTCCGCTGTGAATTCTCATGTGGGAATTAAGGTTTCCCTTCCGGTTGAAGCTCTTCCCGCACTGTTGGCAGCTGTACGGCTTTTCTTCGCTGTGGACGCCCATGTGGACTTCGAGGTTTCCGTGTTGAGCAAAGCTCTTTCCGCACTCAGGGCAGGTGTAGGGTTTCTCTCCAGTGTGAACTCTCAGGTGTCTGTTAAGACTTCCTTTCTGAGTGAACTTGGCTCCACACTGTTGGCAGATGAAGGGACTCTCTTCGGTGTGAATCACTATGTGAACGTCATTTAACGTCTTTAGATGCCGATCGTTCTCTTCAGTTTCCTTCGGAACGTCACTTTCCTCCTTCAACACCATCGGATCTAAGGCAAAAACACACAGTTAAATGCACAAAACAACAGCCATCAAATCATTGATTCATTCAATCATTTTCCTTCGGCTTTGTCCCTTATTTATCAGGGGTCGCCACAGCAGAATGAACCGCCAACTATTCCTATTTATGCAGCATATGCTCTTCCAGCTTCAACCCAGTACCGAAAAACACCCATAAACTCTCACATTCACACAGACTCATACACTACGGCCAATTCAGCTTACCCAATTCCCCTATAGTGCATGTGTTTGGACTGTGGGGGAAACCGGAGCACCCTGAGGAAATCCACGCCAACACAGGGAGAACATGCAAACTCCACACAGAAATGTCAACTGACTCGAACCAGTGACCTTCTTGCTCTGAGGTGACAGTGCTAACCACTGAGCCATCGTGCCACCTCCAACTTGACTCGACAACTGTTAAAAAAAAATGTTTTAACGTTGCTCTTTTAAAATGAACACTCCACTGTTTTTTTAATTATTTATTTTTTTTTTTTTTAGGAAATTGGCTAATTGTACAACTCTCCCAGAGTTAAACTGTTGAGTTTTACCATTTTTTAGTCCATTCAGCCAATCTCAAGAGTTTGGCGGGAGCACTTTTAGCTTAGCTTAGCATAGATAATAGAATTGGATTAGCATCTCGCTCAAAAAAAAAATATCGTTTTTGATCATTTTAATTTCAAGAGTTCACACTTCGATATTGCTTGATGCTAGGCATGGCCCAGTAGAAGACTCTGACGGTATGATAACCTTGGATAAAAATATCATGGTTTTACGGTAGTACGGTGTTGTGATTACTGCTTTAATATATGTTCTTTTTAAATGTCTGGGTAAAGAACTAAAGCTGCGTCCCAAATCGCATACTTATGCACTATTCTACGCCATTTTGTAGTATAAATAGTGTAAGTAGTGCGTTCACACTGAAAACTCTAATAATAATAAGTGCACTTTAATTACCCGGATGATGCACTCATTCAGCCGCTAAAATGAAGTGTGTAATGATGGACACTTCACGCACTCAACGACCGAAGGTTTGCTTACGTAGCGGAAGGGGCGGAGCTATCGGACGCACATGTTGAATAACTTTATTTAATTTGGATGGTGAAAGCAAAATTCTTTTACGAGAGTGATTATAGCGCCTCCCGATAGTGATTGCATCAATACTCACGGCAGGTATTATTTGATAATTCGGCCGTTTACTTCAATGATTTGGCGACCGTCAAACGTCATCAGGGAAACGGTTTGAATTTCCACTTAGTAAAAAAACATTAGTGTGCCATTTGGGACGACACTACATACATATACTATCCTGTTGAGTGTGTAAGTGCATAAGTACATAGTGCATGAGTGCATAGTGTATAGTGTGCCATTTGGGACGCAGCTAATAACTTTTTTTTCTTTAAACACAATATATTTTGAGTAACACTAGATCTTTGAATATCTTTTTTGCTGGAGATACAGTTGTCATTACAAAAAAAAAAAAAGTAAACAAAAAAATTTCACACATACCTTAGGCATGATATTACAGAAAATTTGGTGTTTTTTTAAACCTTGACTTTTCCAAACCGCGGTATACCTTGAAAATGGTTATCGTGCCTATCATGCCTACTTGACGCGATTTTAGGCATGCTGTCCGAAGAAAGAACCCTGAGCTCGGAAATATTTAAGCCCAGGGCTTCGACCTGGTCAATGAGTATTAAAGAAGGGTCTGAGAGCTCCCCCTGGTAAAAGGAGGAGATGGGGTGGAAGGGGGGATTCTTCCAAAACGAAGATAAGGCAGTAGGATGTAATCAGTCTATTTATTGTAGGCTCGGATTAATCTGATTGGATTATTGCTGATTACGAATGAAAGACCAGTCAAGATCAATCATATCACGTGCTCCTTTCGAAATTAGTTTATAAAACTTCACTTAAAACTCCACCCTTCTGTAGTTACGTCATGTGCTATGAATAACGAATGAAAATTGGCAATTTTCTAGACCAATATGGCTAAGAACTATACTCTCATTCTGACATATTAATCAATTGAACTTTAATATGACTCAGCAGGCGTGATGATATTACTCTGATATTAGCGCTAGAAAATTGTGTAACTATGAAGACATTTGTGAGAAACAATCAACTAGTTTTGTGCACCTTAGGGTCAAGTTCCCTTAATAAAATCCCCATAGGCCAGGGTTGGCCATCCCTGTTCCTGGAGAGCCACCTTCCTGCAGATTTCAGTTGCAACCCATATCAAACACACCTGCATGTAATTATCACGTGGTGTTCAGGTCCTAATTAATTGGTTCAGGTGGGTTTGATATGGGTAGCAACTGAACTCTGCAGGAAGGTGGCTCTCAAGGAACAGGGTTGGCCACCCCCTGCCATAGGCTTTTCGAAGATTGCAAACTATAAGCTCTGTGTTCAAGCACAGTTCATTACACTTACACATTTTGTCCAACCGGATAATTCTTCCGATAATAAAACTTTTAGCACTTTAGGACCTTAAATGCAAACGCAAGAACTGAAAAGGTAACACTAGGCTATAAACGGACTACACAGACTTCAGGGCGCTTGCCTGTTTTAGAAATATGCTCCAAGATTTACTCTCTCGGTTTAGTATATTATAATCCACGCTATATAAACAAATATGTAAAAATAATATATTCTTTTAGTATTACTACAGGTATTAAACATGCAGCATTATTATACGAATTAAATAGTTTGCCCATGGGAAATACATTTGTTTGCCTTTACAGTTGTTGGACGTTGTTGTTTTATAAATGTGCCTGATATTATTATCATATGATATATTTAAATAAGCGTTTCGCCCGCGTGCACACAGCCCGCTTACCTTAGCGAAAACCTAGCTATGGCAGTCCCATATTCTTTTTCATAGACAACAGAAAATAAGGGATACGTCTATTAAATGCCTGCAAGTCCCATCATGGATGGAGAACAACATTTAATACTTTTTTTGTCACGAAGTACAGCGAAAAGCAGCACATACGGTCACATCTGCTATACCTTTTAAGGTTAGTGTAAAGGAGTTTAAGGAGGAGTGTAAATATCGCAGTTATGACAAACAGTTAAATGTGTAAAATTGACGAAAATCGTTAGATGTATGTTAGCGTAAACGAATCACGTTAAAATGTCAGTAAACATATATATATTTACAAATGTATTCTCACATTAGCTTTACTGAGAGCAGGAAAGAGACAGGCTGTACTATGCAAGGCAGTATCTTCATAAAATAGCTTTATTAAAATAAATGATCAACAAATGAATCTTGACGTCTCTACAAGTGAAAGCATTACAGTAGGTGAGAGTTCAAAGTGGCCATTACCGCCGGAGCTTATACCGCCGCCGTTTGAAATCGCTGCCGCTCTGTTTTTATTGAAAGATCGCAGTTTGTGAATAAGCCGACAGGGGGGGCACAAAGGGACAGGATGCGAACGGACAGAAATAGCCTTTACAGCAGCTTTAAATATGCTACTGTGCTTGTAAATGAGATTAAACAATAAGTCAAAGCATTACAATTCCTTTATTAATTATTAAAAATTTGTTAACACGCTTAATTGTAAACTTGTTAAGTGCAAAGAGGATTCGTTTTGGAAAATGGAATTGAAGAAATAAAAGACAACTAAAATGAATGCACAAATATTCAGTACAAATAAGTAGTCTTAAATAAATAAATAAAGCAGTCTTTTAACCTAAACATAGAGAGATGTTCAGTGTTTGCTATTTTGATAGGACTAAGACAGTCATTAAATAAGCTTTTTCATTTACGTTTTTATTTACATTTTTGTAGTTGATTATATTTTACTATCTCATTTCATGTCTCAATTATTGTACATAATAATAAACGAATAATGAAAAATAAATGAATAATGAAAATAGGCCTAAATAATTTTTTATTTAAACGCAATAATCACACTCGTAGCAGTTTTTTTTTTGGAAATTGGCTAATTTTACAACTCTCCCAGAGTTAAACTGTTGAGTTTTACCATTTTTTAGTACATTCAGCCAATCTCAGAGTTTGACGGGAGCACTTTTAGCTTGGCTTAGCATAGATAATAGAGCTTAAGTTGAATGCTGCTTCATTAAAAGCATAAAAATAAATTGACCTACCTCTAGCAGATCACTAAAAGTATAATAAAAATAATCTTGCCGCAGGACATAACATAAATTAAGTCTCGCAGGTTTATTTTTAATAATTTATACGAACAACATGAATGCTCAATTAGAAAAATACTGCAAACTGTAAAATACTTAACCAAATAGCAGATGAATCGCAAGCTGTAAATTTAAAGCAGACTGCGTTCCAGACAGATCAGCTCGATGACGTTAAATGTCTCCGACACCGCCTGCAGTCCCATTTAGCAACTTGATAGCAACCGTCTTTTAAAAGAAGCGTAACAGATTTAATGAATCAAGAGTGTGCTTTAACTGATGCGTTTTATCTTGTAGAATAAAACGTGAAAGTATCTTGAGTTTGTGTTAGCCACAAACCTTATTTAAGTTAGTAAACCAAAACCTTATTGAAAAACTTGTTGACTTAGGGATGAGGGAACCGTTAAAATGCTAACTCGCTTCAGAGTTTTTGCATACAAATTGGTGTCATAGTTCCTCCACTCTATTAAGCGAGATGCTAATGGTCTAATCCAGCGTTTCTCAATCCCGGTCCTCGTGCACCACAACTCTGCGTATTTCATTTCTCTTCAATTTTCCAGTAGTTTGTTCCAATTTGACAGCAAGTGCCCTGAAAAGTGGACTCCACAGGATATTCCGCCAGTATTTCAGTCTGAAGGGAGAATATAGCTGCGTCTGAAACCGAATACTTCCATAATGTACAGTACGCTAAAATCAGTATGCGAGCCGAGTAGTATGTTCGAATTCATAGAATTCGAAAATCAGTATGCGAGAAGTACCTGGATGACTCACTAGTTCCGGCGAGATTCTGGAGTGCGCATCCCATGCAAGTTGCGCTATCCCATGATGCTCCGCGAGCGAATTCATGAATGGGAGTGAAGTGACGCAACTGACGCAGGTAGGTCACGTGACCATGACAAAAATGCCGGATGTAGTACGTCCGAATTCCATTCATACTTTTCACATTCATACTGTATAGAGTGTATAGAGAGTACGTTTAAATTCAAATGCAGTACCTACTGAGTAGTAGGCGGTTTCGGACGCAGCCTATAGGTTTCATTCAAATGGCACTGTAGTGTGTGATATGTGAATTTATATTATATTTACTTAAAGAGGTATATTATTTCCCACTCTGCAAGCAGTGCTGTTACAGTGCTGTGATTTACAGTGCTAAAAGTTCAGGGAGAAAGTAATGTAAGAGAAGGGAGTTATGCTGTGTTCATAGACATCCCGCGGTGCGATACACGCAAATACCGTGGTGCGAATTGATCGATTTGCGCATTTGATGCTGCATTCACACCAGACGCGGAACACACGTCAAGCGTGAGTGATTTACATTTTAAATCAATGCAAACACGCGAATAGACATCCCGCAGCGCGATACATGAGAATGGCGAGGTGCGAATTGAGCGATTTGCGCGTTTGATGCTGCATTCACACCAGACGCGGAACGCACGTCAAGCGTGAGTGATTTAAATGTTAAGTCAATGCAAACACGCAAATAAACATCCCTCGGTGAGATATGAGCGAATGTCGTGGTGCGAATTGAGCGTTTTGCGCGTTTGATTGTGCATTTACACCAGATGCGGAACGCCCGTTAAGTGCGTGTAATTTACATATTAAGTCAATGCAAACGCGAATAGACATCCTGTGGCGCGATACAAGAAAACGGTGTGGTGCAAATTGAGCGTTTTGCGCGTTTGATGCAGCGTACACACCAGACGCGGAATACGCGTCAAGCGTGCATGATTTACATGTTAAGTCAATGCAAACACGCGAATAAACATCCCGCGGTGCGATATGCGCGAATGGAGTGGTGCGAATTGAGCATTTTGCGCGTTTGATTCTGCATTTACACCAGATGCGGAACGCGCGTTAAGTGCGAGTACTGTACATGTTAAGTCAATGCAAACACGCGAATAGACATCCTGTGGCGCGATACAAGAGAATGGTGTGGTGCGAATTGAGTGTTTTGCGTATTTGATGCTGCGTTCACACCAGACGCGGAATGCGCGTCAAGCGTGAGTGATTTACATGTTAAGTCAAAGCAAACACGCGAATGGACATCCCGCGGCACGTTACGTGCGAATGGCGCGATACGTGCAAATGGCGTGGCGCAAATTGAGTGCTTTGCATGTTTGACGCACAAATCGATTGAGTTCGAAAATCTGAACTTAAGCTGACATTCTTGGCGCGTTAACCAATCAGGAGCTTGCCTGTCCATCACGCAAATCTGTGTCTGTTCTGAAGTGAATTTGACGCGCGAATGAAGCGAGTAAACTCAAATGTTCACGCGGCTGTTTACGCGTGAATAGCCCGATTTTTCTGCGCGTTCCGCGTCTGGTGTGAACACAGCATAAGAAACAATGAACACTGTGTAGGGATCCTGTCAATAAGAACAGAGTTGATACACAGAGCTCTTTTAGCGAGCTGGTTATATAAATCAGGTGTTTAAATAAGAGAGACATGCAAAATATAATGGGGTATGAGGACCGGGATTAAAATGCTGGTCTAATCTGATATAATAATCTATGCTAAGCTAAAAGTGCTAAAAGTGCTCCCGCCAGACCAGCGATCGATTAAATGGGTTCAAAAAATGGTAAAACACAACTCAACTAATACACTCACTTTTGGTTGAATTAATTCTTGAATAGACATCTATGCTTTGTTTATATTTATATTAGTGGTAGAGTTATACTTTATATTAATTTTATGATAATTAAGATATTAAATAGCTTTTGTTTTCCTTCACATTTGTATTTTTTAATCATGAATATACAGGCCAAGTGTTAAGATATTATTTGCTTACAGAAAACAAAAGAACAAAGCCTCTCAGAGTAAAGCAGATTATTGTTGTAGACCAGTGTTTCTCAACCACGTTCCTGGAAGGATCAGAACACTGCATGCTTTGGATGTCTCCTTAGCCTGGTCCCCCAGTAACATGGTTTAGAAATACAGCTGTAGGCCACTATTATGATTAAATATATGATTTAGAATGAATGATTATTTTTTAATAATAAAATTGTAATCATTTTAAACAATACATTTATTTAATTAAAGGACTCAAACTCAGACCAAATTCTGTATCTTTTGAATCCTTTCCAATGACACAAATGACAATAATGTTTGATAATGATAACCAACCTGTTTGTGTGTCAGTATCTTCATGTTTTTCACGCAATGATTCTTCAATCTCCTTGTCCTCTCCCTCTTCTTTAATTAATGACATCTTCATAATGATGGCACATGGATATCATCAGCTTCTAGAAAATGGCCTGTATATGATGAGAAAAATACTTTGTATTATTTAAAATGGTTGATGTTCATTTTATGGCAAAATTCACTGGAATATTTAGTAAAGTTCCTCCAGTAAATATACAAAAAATCTAAAAGTTTTATCAGAAATTATGCATTGCTAATGTGAAGCACTACATTTTCACAAATTTAACAGATTTTTTGGTATTTTGGGACCCTCAGATTCCAGATATTAAAATAGTTGTATAACACCTTGTCATAACAAACCATTCATCATTGTAAAGCTCTTTTAATTCATACTTTTTATTTCCATTTAATATACTTTCCATATCTAAATTAATAAAACAGGCACTTATGACTTTGTGGTCCAAGGTCACATTTATTCAATTTACTACCTAGAAGCTCAGATTCTCTAATGACTTACTTACTTGTCAGAGGCAGAATTTGTGTTTATCATAAATCAGTGGTTCTCAAACATTTTTCCCCAAGTACCACCTCAGAAAAAAATTGTCCCTCCAAGTACCAGTATTGAAATACAGTAGCGTAGTAGGCCCAGTAAGGCAGCTACAACTCTGCAGTTTAAAACCGTGACAGATTAACTACTATTATTAAGAATTTTTATTATTATCAGCCACTTTAAACATTATAAATAGTTTGAACATTAACACTGTACTGTGCTTATATGTAAAAAAATAAATAAATAAAAACCTGGAAATGTTGCTTGGACCTCATGAATATAGGCTATATGTCATCATATTCATATATGAACCATTTTTGATCAATTTTGAAATATATGTTGCATGTACATATGACATTGATATTGGATTACTCTGCGTACCACTAGTGGTACACGTACCACAGTTTGAGAACCACTGTCATAAATTAAACTAATTCACGACACAGTTATCGAAGCAATAAGCTTAACATTAGCAAACACACGAGTGTTCCTAAAGCTAAAAACACAAACCTTCCGCCGAATCACAACAAATGCAGGAGCGCGACGCTTCCATGACTCTACGTTACCAGGCTAAAATAAAAGTCTGTATTTTCCTTATATTTATATGAGAGTTGGTGTGTTTCAGTCGCTTTTCAATAAGGACTTTTATTTTGGTCAGGCGCTATGACGTCATAAAGCAGCGCGGCAGGATCGGTTGAATTCGGTTAAAGGTTTGTTTTTCTTGTCGGTTTTCGGGCATTTTAGATGTTAGTCTTTTAAAAACTTTATACTTATTTTGACAAAATTTCACATTGAAATGAATTATTATTAACTGTTAGGCTTTAATACGCACGCTAGCGTAAATTAACGCTACTCTTGTGATTGAAACCGCCTCCACTGTTTGTTTTGGCTGCTTCTAGTGTGTTCTAGGTGCCTGAAAATGCTTTACATCTATCAGATAAAGTTGCTTTCTGCTTAAGGTTGAAAAATATCAAATGTAAATGCTTATTTGACAATATATCTTGTGTACAAAATATGCACAGCCTCACTTTAATGCCAAATTTATGTATATAGCACTATTAAACACAACCAAAGGTTGACCAATGTGCTGCACAATGCAAATCACAAAGAAAAAGATATAAAGATATAGCTAAAACAAACAATTCTCACTGATAAAAGGCCAAATCAAAGAGATAAGCGTTCAACTTTGATTTAAAAACCGACAGAGATGGTATATATCGAATACAAAGGGGCATTCCACAATGTAGGACCAGCTACTGCAAAAGCACGGTCACCCCTGCATTTCACCCTCGACTTAGGGATGCATAACTGTCTCTGGTTCGATGACCGAAGAGACCGACCAGGCTAATGTTAAGTCAAAAGGTACCAGGCCATTTATTTATTCAAAAAACAAGAGAGGAGTTTTTAAAAGAGCTCAGGCAACCAGTGCAAAGAGCCTAAGACGTGTTCAAGTTTTTTAGTACCTGTTAAAAGCCTTGCAGCAGCATTTTGAACAAACTGTAAACGGTATGGAGTTGTCTGACGAATGCCAAAATAAATATAGTGAGTTACAGTAGTCCAACCTAAAGGTAATAAAAGCCAAACTTCCAAACTGTAATGCATCACAGATTACTTGTTACTGTTATTTAAAAGTAACCCCTTACTCTACAATATTACTGTCTCGGAATTGTAATAAGTTACATGACTTGTATATTAGTTTTAGTCACTTTCACCAAAATAACTACAGAATTAGAACATTCTAAAATGACTAAATGTACCGCAGAGCGTTTCACATCCAGTAGAAAGCGAAATGAACAAACTGGAAAGGGGGCGGTATATCATGCGATAATCGTTTTATCTAGATTAATGGTTTTTCGTAATCGTTTCGTTTAATTGCACAGCCCTAATTTAAATGCAACTGTTAATCACAAATTCCTAAGTGAATAGTTTTAATTTCAAGTGCTAGTTTTTAATTATTCTCATTTTAAACGCAGAGGGAAAAAAACCCGCTGAAAAGATGGCGTTAATTAAAGAGGAGAGGGAAGCCTTGATGATTGAAGAAACATTCAGCGTCAAACAAGAAGATCCCGAGGAACAAACAGGTTGGTTTTTAATTTGCCAGTTCAAACATTGGGTTAATCTTTCATTATTTAAGCCCTACAGCACACCTTTAAAGAGCCCCTATTATGCATATTTTGGTTTTGGCGGTCTCCAACAACAGCGTTATATACATGCAAGGTCAAAGTACACTGTCATTGTCTTATAATATGCATTTATTTAAATTATCCTAATGTCTCCTATATGATTCGTTCAGTGCATAAGGCTAATCTGCGCTGATTGGTCCGATGACTAGGGCCAGACGGAATCTGCGGACGTTTTTTGCTATTTCTGCTGAGAATTTTGGTAAAAATCTGCAGATTTCTGCGGAGTTATTTTGGGAGTATTATAACTAAAACCTTAATAAATGAAATAAAAAATAATACCTTTTTAATTTTTATTCAATATTTAAAATGCAAATCCGATTAGATTCACTTGATTTGGTAAATAAAGCAAGTTTGTCATGTAATATATCTTATAAAAGACAGAAAATATTACTTTATAAACTGCATTTTACATAAGTCAGATGAACATTTTCACGTTAGTCAATAATATTACTGTAATTAATTAAAAAACTGAATAAATATAGATTTACACACATTTACTCAAGTAAATAAACAGAATTAATGATGGGCTAATAATATGCAGTTGCAGATTCCGTGTTTGCCTACCGATGACCCAGTCTGTTGCGATTGGCCGACTGCGTTCAGAGTGAGGCAGAGAGAATCACCCACCGATGCTTATCAACATTGTTGAAGTAGTCAGTGAGCAGAGTGTATGTGTGAGCCCAATGCGGGAGTGCATTAAAGCAATGCAGTTAAACACCAGCATATTAATCTATTTTTAACCATGACACACATTCGGTATTAATCCACACAGCGGCAAAAGCTGAACTATTTTGAAACTTGACCGCCACACGTGTAGGAACAGCTGATGGTGGACACAGCAACAACAAACAGCAGTAAACCGCGAGCTAATAAATGCATTTAAATCCGTAAACAAAGTGGCACGCGTCGCGTTTTGTTTTGATATAAGAATATAAAGAGTTAACCAGATGCAGTACAAGCCGCGTGAAGCGGTTTACAAGTACCAAAACACAATTCAATACATATTTAGCAAGCTAGATAAAACAAGGAGGCAACCATTTTGATCATTCTTGCTTACACTTGTGAAATGAAGGAAGAAAACGAGATATTAGATGTGAGGAACTGCTGGAAGAGTGTAGTTTTAATGGACTGTTTGATAACGCACGGCGAATGAGAGAAAAAAACACCTCTGCATTTCTCGGTAACTTAGATGCACTGGGTAGGTAACGCCAGAAAGCCGTGCGTTTATAGACTATCCTGTCACAAAATGCAGTGAAAATCCTACACAATGGTAACAGTTTGATTGCGGTGTTTACATGTTTACACTCGAAGAGCAGATCTTTCAGCCCATAATATTGTAGTGATATTAACGTACTGTAAACTTTAGTAACACAGAAATCATGTCGACTAAGATTTGTCTTTAAACGCTGAAAGGGTACTGCTGACAATACGAACTAACTTTGCCTCTGAATAAACATAAAGACCACTGATCACACACTTACTAAATCTGTAGAGACTATCAACATCAACTGAAACTGCGTCTTTTTTAAAAGGAGACGAGCGGCAAATCTGGATTTCACCAGTTCCAGATGCGAAAAGCTCCGGGGTAAAATGTTTCCTAACAAACGTATTTTTGTCGCATGTTAGCAGACAGCTGTAATCCACACGTGAGTCCAGCTGCACTCTCATAGCTGGGAATTGAAAACAAAACCTTCGTTGCAGCACATTTATGAACGCAACACTGACGACCCATGTCTTCAAACAATTCTTCTTCTTCCACTTGTTTCAATTACGGTTGGCAACACAAGGTGGCCTCTCTCTGCCGTCTGAACACTGTAACAGGTAAATCAGTCTTCAAAGCTATCATGCATATTAATGAAGTTGCTCCTCATTTACAATAGAGCGCACTGATTGGTTCGAAACAAATCAATCTATTAAATTAATGATGACATCATGTTGTACCGGCGATACAGAAATCCACTTTTCATGCTGGATTACACGCAAGGATTAAATCGGCGTGATGTAGAATCTAAATTTATTTTCAAACCGGAAGAACGAATTAGCTTGAAATGGCGCAAAACCAACCAATTTTCACTTTTTGGTGAAATATATGTGTCCTTATAGTGTTTATAGTAGCGTGGGGTACATATATGCCTGTCAACATCTCAAAAAATGTGTTTTGGTGTTTCGTGACCGCGCTGTGAAAACTAAATGACTGCAGACTGCTTCTGCTTTGCTAGCAGAGACCGATTGTTCAAATGCAAATAGGAGGGGAAAATTAATTGGGCACTCGAACAAAGATGCTTAATAATCCTATTTTCATGTCTCTTTGATTGTCTTGTTAATCTGCCGTTAACTTGTAATTTGTCTTTATGTTTCAGAACTGATGCCACCGAAGGAGGAGAGTGAAGAACTCCAACCAGACCAACATCAGACCGAATATGACTACGATTTAGTAACGGTAAAAAAAAGTCCCAGTGACTCAGAGACTGAAGAGACTTCCTCACAAAGAAGTGCTGAACCAGCAGAAACAAACAGTTCCTTTGTTTGCACTTGGTGTGGAACGAGTTTCAGTGAGCTGGACAAGTTTAAAGTCCACATGAAGGTTCACACTGGAGACGGCCCTTTCAGCTGCCGGCAATGTGGGAAGAGATTCACTCAGAAGGGAAGCCTTAAAGTGCACATGAGAATTCACACCGGAGAGAGCTCGTTCACATGTGAAGACTGCGGGAAGAGTTTCACGCAAAAAGGAAGTCTTAAAGTCCACATGAGAATTCACACCGGAGAGAGCTCGTTCACATGTAAACACTGCGGAAAGAGTTTCACGCAAAAAGGAAGTCTTAAAGTCCACATGAGAATTCACACCGGAGAGAGATCATTCAGCTGTCAACACTGCGGGAAGAGTTTCTCTCGAAAGGGAAGCCTTACGGTGCACATGAGAACTCACACCGGCGAGAACCCTTTCATCTGCCAGGACTGCGGAAGGAGTTTCCACCGAAAACAGTCTCTTACGGGTCACATGAGGACTCACACAGGAGAGAAGCCTTTCGCCTGCCCTCAATGTGGAAAAAGTTTTACCCTTAAAGAAACCCTTAAAGCGCACATGAGGGTTCACTCCAAAGAGTGTGGAAAGAGTTTCGGAGGTAAAGTAATCCTTAACAAGCACATGACGATTCACTCTAGAGAGAGCCGTTTTATGTGTCATCAGTGCGGAGTGAGCTTTACAGACCAGCATGAGCTTCAGAATCACGTAGCGTCTCACATCGGAGAGAAGCCTTATATGTGCAGCTACTGTGGTAGGGCTTGCTCAAACAAGACAAACCTCGAGGTTCACGTAAGGATTCACACTGGAGAGAAGCCGTTCTCGTGTGAGAAGTGTGGGAAGGGGTTCACAAATCGCAAAGATCTGAAGCGTCATTTTCGAACTCACGTTGAAAACAAACTGCAACGTTCCACTGTGTAATGCCGAGTTCAGACTGCACGACCTTAGCCCCGATTTTGCCTCGCTGACAGGTTTTGAGAAATTGCAGGCAATGCCTGAAATCACAGGCAAATTGGCAATCTGAGAAAGTGTTCTGATTGAAAATAACATTATCGATCATCTACAGCCAATGAGAGAGCAGCATCCACTAGCGTGGGTGTCTGCAGGCCAGCGGGAGGTTATGGGAGAACATAAATTGGCTTCTTTTTCATTTATTTGGACCCTAGAAATGAAGAAAAAACTAGTGTAAATTTGGCAGGAGCACCCGTGTCTGTTTGACGTGTCATCTGAGCAAGACCACAACTGGGTCGAAAAAGAGATGAGGAATTGCTCATTCCCTTCAAAAGTCAGGTGAGCAAAACTAAAGGCTTCTTTCTCATAAACTACATGACCTCACGTTGTTCACTTCTCATGTGTGTTTGGTTGTGAGATGTAGCAGGGCTGCACGTTTATTCGAAAATAGATCCTAATTCGACCCTACACACAATCTTAATTCAGCCAATTATATTTTCAAGGTCAGGAGAGAAGCGTACAGGCGGTCGCACAAGTCTTCACTGCAACTTGGACACCTCCAAATGGCGTTGAAAAGTGTCACATACTTTCAAGAGTTCCCTTAGATACGTTTATAGCAGGTTTGGCATTCTATCCCGGGAGAAAACCCTGAGCTCGGAGAAACTTGCATATAAGGGGATCCGAGATCAGGTAGGTCTCAAGAGCTCCCCCTTAGAAAAGGGAGGAGATGGGGTGGAAGGGGGGATTCTTCCAAAACAAAGATAGAGCAGTATGGAGAAAACCAACTCAGGCTCATTCTGAAGTGTAGTCCTGTGGACGTTTCTGGAGACTGCGAAATAAGCCCCGGGAGATACGTATTTTTGCAGTTTTTGTTTTCGCGAATCCACTAGAGGCCGCTGTGCGCTTTTTCGTATCTCAAATGTCTCTCGCGAGTGCCGTTCGCACCCGCGCTGTTCTCGCGTAAACCTACCAGAGGCCGCTGTTGAACGACCGTCTGTCTGACTGACTGTGCGACCATACAATCGACTGACCCATCCTCCTCCGTCCCTAAACCCAACCAATTTTACCGATTGACCCACCCACCCGCTTACTTCCCTAAACCCAACCAACGGTTTACAAAAGCCGTCCAAAAAAAGAAAAGCCCTCGTCTGATTTGTTTTCACGTTTTCAAATTTTACCACATTCTCACCATGTTATGAACTCGTTCACTTTATTTTTTGAGTTCTGTTTTTGTCCTACCTGATTTCTGGAACCGCTCTTCCTCGGACTTAAACTCGGTCGTCGTCAACTCCTCTATGCGTCTCAAGTCCGCCGACGTACACGACGAGCTAACTGGACAAACTGGTTGCAGAGGTAAGCGGTCAGCCAGTAAGCGCGAAAAGGAACGGCGTCATACCACCCCGTAGAGTTCGCTTAAAAAAGGAAATGCAGCCGTATGTACCTCCGGCTACATAATTCGCAGTCTCCAGAAATGTCCATTGGACTTTGTTTTCAGAATAAGCCTGTCTTGGAGAAAACGATCCATTTATAGTAAGCTTGGATCAATTCGATTGGATTATGACTGATTACATATGAGAAGCAAGTCGTGCTCAATCGTATCACTTGTTCCTCTAGAAATTTATAAATTTTTATATTTCATTTATAAGGTCATTTATTTACAAATATTTACATTTACATTTAGTCATTTAGCAGACGCTTTTATCCAAAGTGACTTACAAATGAGGACAAGGAAGCAATTTACACAACTAAGAGCAACAATGAATAAGTGCTATAGGCAAGTTTCAGGTCTGTAAAGTCTAAGAAGGAAAGTATTAGTAGTATTAGTATTTTTTTTTTGGGTACAGTTAGTGTGATATTCAGAGAGGCAATTGCAGATTAGGAAGTGTAGTGGAGACTAAATAGTTGAGTTTTTAGTCGTTTCTTGAAAATAGCGAGTGACTCTGCTGTTCTGATGCAGTTAGGGAGTTCATTCCACCAACTGGGCAGATTGAGCGTGAGCATGAGCGAAAGTGATTTCTTCCCTCTTTGGGATGGAACCACGAGGCGACGTTCATTCACAGAACGCAAGTTTCTGGAGGGCACATAGATCTGCAGAAGTGAGAGCAGATAAGAAGGAGCAAGGCCAGAAGTCACTTTGTAGGCAAACATCAGAGCTTTGAATTTGATGCGAGCAGCAACTGGCAGCCAGTGCAAACGGACTAGCAGCGGAGTGACATGTGCTCGTTTAAGTTCATTGAAGACCACTCGTGCTGCTGCGTTCTGGAGCAGTTGAAGAGGCTTGACAAAGTTAGCTGGAAGCACGGCTAGTAGAGAGTTGCAGTAATCCAGTTTGGAGAGTTTGGTTTCGCTTTGGATAAAAGGGTCTGCTAAATGACTAAATGTAAATGTCTAAATGTGAGAGAACAAGAGCTTGAACAAGGAGTTGAGTTGCATGTTCAGATAAGAAGGGTCGGATCTTTCTGATGTTATAGAGTGCGAATCTGCACGATCGAGCAGTTCTAGAAATGTGGTCAGAGAAGTTTAGTTGGTCGTCAATCGTTACTCCAAGGCTTTTCACCATTTTGGATGCAGTAATGGTTGCCCCATCCATCTGGATTGAAAAGTTATGGTGTAGAGTCGGGTTGGCAGAAACTACAAGCATTTCCGTTTTTGATAGGTTCAGCTGAAGATGATGATCTTTCATCCAGTGTGAAATATCCAACAGGCAGGCTGAAATGCGAGCTGGAACCGAGGGATCATCAGGGTGAAAAGAGAGGTATAGCTGGGTATCATCAGCATAGCAGTGGTAGGAGAATCCATGTCTCTGGATGACTGGTCCTAGAGATGATGTGTAGATGGAGAAGAGAAGTGGCCCAAGAACAGAGCCTTGAGGTACCCCAGTGTTTAGATGCTGTAGTTTGGACACCTCTCCCCTCCAAGACACCCTGAATGACCTGTCAGTGAGGTAAGATCTGAACCATTGTATAACAGTGCCCGCAACGCCCAGTGACTCGAGCGTAGATCTGGTGGTTGACAGTGTCAAAAGCAGCTGATAAGTCCAGCAAAATGAGGACTGATGATTTTGATTTTGATAAATGAAATATCATTTACGTCATAATTTAATGGCGTATTCAAGGCCGCAAATTCATCCATGAGCTGATTGCGAGCTGTTAGCTTACTACCGAGAACGTGCAAGTGTACGCCAATGATGCTAAACAAAATCGTGATTCTCATTTTAGCCAGAATCGTGCAGCCCTAAGATGTAGTTTGCGAACCGATACAAAGTTGTCGGCGATTCTCCTATTGTACAATCGTGCAGAGTTAAACCCCGTCGCCAACAGTGTAAACACAGCAGCCACAGAACGCTACCACAGATAGTCATGCAGTGTGAAAACATCTGTCACGTGACGATCACCGAAAAATCGTGCAGTCTGAACTCGTCATGACAGTCTTTGCTAAATTAGTTAAAGCTTTGCGTCTGCAAGTCCACTTGAAAGCACCTGGCACATAGTGTGTAGTTAACAGGTTTTATGTAAATATGACAGTAGTTGCCTGCAGAAAAACACTGTACATACACTCACCGGCCACTTTATTCTATATAGGTATACCTTACCAGTACTGGGTTGGACGCCCTTTTGCCTTCAGAACTGCCTTAATCCTTCGTGGCATAGATACTGGAAATATTCCTCAGAGATTTTGCTCCATATTGACATGATAGCATAACGCAGTTGCTTCAGATTTGTCGGCTGCACATTCATGATGCCAATCTCTTGTTCCATGACATCCCAAAGGTGCTCCATTGGATTGAGGTGACTGTGGAGGCCATTTGAGTACAGTGAACTCATTGTCATGTTCAAGAAACCAGTCTGAGATGATTCACGCTTTGTGACATGGCGTGTTATCCTGCTGGAGGTGGCCATCAGAAGATGGGCACACTGTGGTCATAAAGGGATGGACATGGTCAGCAACAATACTCAGGTAGGCTGTGGCATTGACACGATGCTTAATTGGTTCTAAAGTGTGCCAAGAAAATATCCTCCACACCATTACACCACCAGCCTGAACCATTGGCTGAATACAAGGCAGGATGGATCCACGCTTTCATGTTGTTGACGGCAAGTTCTGACCCCACCATCAAAATGTCGCAGCAGATATCGAGACTCATCTTCTGACGTACCATCATGCCATAAAGCACAAATCATCTCAGACTGGTTTCTTGAACATGACAATGAGTTCACTCTACTCAAATGGCCTCCACAGTCACCAGATCCCAATCCAATAGAGCACCTTTGGGATGTGGTGGAACGGGAGATTCACATCAAAAATATTTCCAGTACCTTGTTGAATCTATGCCACAAAGGGTTAAGGCAGTTCTGAAGGCAGGAGCGAGTCAAACCCAGTACTAGTGTTACGTCCCAGGACCTATTTGTTTCTGTTTTGTATTTCTTTCCTTTCTTCTTTCTCTGCTACACCCTAGTAGGAGATAATGAACGTCACCTGCTGCCACTTATGAACTGCTCAGTGATTGGAGGACGAGTAAAGCCGTGGGCATTTAAGCAGCATGTCTCCACTAGAACAGTGTGTTTTGTGTGTGTGTGGAGGCTCTTTTGTGAGGCTTTAAATATATTCTTTGTTTAATCTTTTAAGCATTATTTGTCGATTAGGAGATTTAATTTAGGTCACGAAACACCAAAACACATTGTTTGAGCTGTTAACAGTCGTATATGTGTCCCACACTGCTATAAACACTATTAGGACACCTATATTTCACTATAAAGTGTAAATTGGTTGTTTTTGCGTTATTTCAAGCAAATTCGTACTTCCGGTTTGAAACGAATTTTTGAAGCTGCGTCACGGTCATGACATAATAGCGTGTATTCCAGCGTGCAGACTGGACGTCTGTGCCAGAGTGTGTCTTATTACGTCTTACAGTGTGATGCATTAATGCATGAGAAAGGCTTGGTTTAAACCAATCAGCGCGCTCTATTGTGCAACTTCATTAATATTCATTACTGTCAGAGTGTACATGGCAGAGACGCCATGTTGTGTTGGCAAAACAAGCGTGAAGTGTTGCTTTTATAGTTTGCTGCAGTTAAGTTTTGTTTTCATTTTCTCTCTGTGAGAGTGCAGCTGGAATTACGCGTGGATTAACAGTGTACGCGACGCTCGACAACTATAACTTACGTGTCTAAGGAGGAACTCATCTACAAACGCTGAGATCCGGATTCGCTTTAGTCTCCTCTTAATAAAGACGCGGCTCTAGTTGCTGGTGATTGTCCTGTCTCTACAGATTTGGTAAGTGAGCGACCAGTGCTCTTTGTTTATTCAGTTTGTTCGTATCGAACTAAGTTAACTAGTGCACCTAGTTTAAACATGTTAGCACTACAACCAAACTTTAATCTCGTGTAGGATTTTCACCGCATTTTGTGACCGGAATAACACACGCGGCTTTCTGACGCTACCTGCCGTGTGCATCTGAGTTTCCGGGAAATGCAGAGGGTTTTTTTCACTCATTCGTCGTGCGGTATCAAACATTGCATGAAAAATACACGCTTAGAGCAGTTCCTCGAATCAAATATTTCGTTTGTCGCGAGGGGCATGAATGAATTCCCTGAATGAAAGAGCCAAACTGCAGTTAAAGTCCAGCATTTAATAATTTGGCAAATAATTCGACTACAGATGTCCATGTAAACACCATCACTTTCTCCCCTGTGTGTGTGTTTTGACTCTGAAACTCGCGCGTGCCCAAATAGACACTCCCACACCATCCCACTTTAGTTCCTCCGACACTCCCCCCTAAACAGAGCTGGACACGCCCACTTTTCTGACTTTTTCCAAAGTAGAGGTGTGAAAACACCCTGCTGAAACGAGGGGATTTCATGGCCCTTTAAGTTCTGTTGATGCTGTTGACCATCTTGTGTAGCTTTTGCCTCGACCTCTTTTTAATTGTTAGTTAATTTTTGTTTTCAATACTACTCTGTTATCCACTCTTTACTCTTTGTTAATTTGGGATTGGGTTAGTAGAGAGGGAGTGCCTTTTCCTTTTTGTAACTGTTTTCTCCTGTCTATTTTAGTAAGGGAGTGAGAGTATTTTTCATGTATTTTTCTTTTCTTTGATAGATTTAGTTCTTCCCTTCCTCTCAGTTGTCTCAGTTGGGGCTTGAACCCCCTTTTGAAGCTTTTTTTTTCGGAACCCTCCCTTAATCCTTCAATAAATGGTTTGTTAATCATTATTCAGGTTGAATTTTTCCTTTGTTTAGGCCAGCGGTCACCAAACTTGTTCCTGGAGGGCCGGTGTCCTGCAGATTTTCACACCTGAACATGCCAATCAAGGTGTTACTAGGTATACTTCAAACACCCAGGCAGGTGTGTTGAAGCAAGTTGGAGCCAAACCTTCCAGGGACACCGGCCCTCCAGGACTAAGATTGGTGACCCCTGGTATAGACCTTTGAGAGGTTGCTCATGGGACCTCATAGCTGACACACACGCATAACTCCACTAACCTTCTGCGTACCTGTGTCCCCCTAGACCAGGGGTGTCAAACTCAATTCCTGGAGGGCCGAAGCCCTGCACAGTTTAGTTCCAACCCTGCTCCAACACACTTACCTGTAGGTTTCAAACAAGCCCGAAGGACTCAATTAGTTTGATCAGGTGTGTTTAATTAGGGTTGGAACTCAACTGTGCAGAGCTGTGGCCCTTTTGGAACTGAGTTTGACACCTGTGCCCTAGACAGAGTTGAGGGGAACAGTACCTAATAAAGTGGCCGGTGAGTGTTTATTGATTGCGCTGATCAGACTTCACCAACTTTCCAGTCGGCTCAGATGGACACTTGGACTGTCAAAAGACAAGAATGAAAGCAATTTCAGATTTTTTTTAGAGAACGTTTTTCAAAACATCGATCACATAATAGAGATCATTTTCAAAAATATGTTCAGAAAATACCATTTTACACTCCTATTTTATTATTATTTTTTACTTTTAGATCATCTTAATTTTTCATATTCATTCCTTCACTTATTTATTTTTTAAAATTTGATTGGTGTGAAGTCTGTTTCAAGCTTGAGGGCTTCTTATTTTATTTTTGGGGCAAACTGAACACTCAGATACCTGGAAACTGTAAATACATCAATTGATGGTACATTATACACTGTTATATAAAAAATATGTATGTTTTAATTAGCATCCCCATTTCTCAATGTCTGTGGACGTCGTCAGGCCAGTTAAAGCGCTGAGAAATGGCCTCTCTTGTTTTCAGTTGCCCTGCATGGGCATCAATATCACTACAGCAGCTCACAGTAAACTTACGCATTTGTTCTTTTCAGCATCCATTGTTCCTCATATAAAACAAGTCATAGTTTAAAAGGTTTTTATTTTAATTTATTAAAGTAATAAGATCTTATTTATCAATATCACTATATTACTACAATGATCTGACAAGATGTCTTGATTTATAGTGTGTTTATATTTTACTTTTAGGATTCATTGATATTTTATTCACAGTCTTCTTTAACATTATAAATACACGTGTAATATATATATATATATATATATATATATATACATATATATATAAAAAGACTTAACATCCCCTAATATTAAATGTGTTTACCAAGGAGAAACGTTATTGGTTCTCGCACACACTGTTTGACGCACATGTAAGCACCGCGCAGACTCGACGTTCATTGTTAGACAGCCACATCCTCTACTCTACATTACAGATTTCAAAGGTCACACGATTTGGTGTGACAACTCCGCATGGCTATAGTAGAAAGGAGGGGATGTTGCATTTTTTTTTATCTTGAAAGCGAAAGCTTTACACAATTACCTTAGAAACTTCCGCCGCAAGGCGGTACTACGTACTTCCTGTTTACGTTCCGCTCACTTGTTTGTTTGGGAAAAAGCAGCAGCAATGCATTAACGACAGGTAAAGATTAGAATAATAACATTTACTTGTTATTGGTTCTTATATTTGGCTTCATTCGGTATTAATGATTTCCGAACTTGACAGTAAGCACGGTCGAAGGCAGAGTTATTCCTCCTGTGAAATGCTGATTCTTTTACAAAGTGCTGTACATTTTATATATATATATATGTGTGTGTGTGTGTGTGTGTGTGTATATATATATATATTTATATATATATATATATATATATATATATATATATATATATATATATTTTTTTTTATATATATATATATATGTGTGTGTGTGTGTGTGTGTGTGTGTGTGTGTGTGTATATATATATATATATATATATATATATATATATATATATATATATATATATATAACATTAATTTAAACAATAGTTAATTACTAATTTCTAATCGATAATTTCTTTTCTCTTTGCCATGGTTATAATAATATGTGACGTTCTTTGCTTATATTTATTTGGTTATTAATGCATTTTTCCTCTTTAGGGTGTCTTAAATCTCAAAATCTAAATTTCAGGTCTTAAAAAGTCTTAAATTTACTGAAATATAGTGTTGTGGGTCTTAAATCTTTTTAAACAGGTCTTAATTTTCCTTTGTTGATTTATTGCAAACACCCATGCAACAAGCCATCTTAATACAACTTTAAACTTATTTAGAAATGTAATTTTAACTCTATTTAAGATAATAGTTTATTTTCCTTACAATAACATTTGTTTAAAATTGCTCCATGTATTTACTGCCGAGAACACCGACCTGGACAGATTGTTGGGCGTAGATTTATTTCATAATAGTTTTAAAAACTTTTAAAACCATTTGTTCATTTTTTAATATATATTTTAAACAAAGTTTATTTTGAAAAAAAGAGTATGGATAGAAGTAAAGCTTGCTTGTTTTTACACGATATTTAAAATATTTTGCTAAGAAATATCAAAAATATGATTTTTTTATGATTAAATGATTACTGTATTGTTAAAATTATTCAATTATAATTGTTTTGTATTAGGCAAATATTTTCCAACTGGGCCACTTGAAAATTTCCTAACCGTTTAGCCCTTTATGAGTCTAAAATTTCTTTCATAATGGTCTTAAAAGTCTTACATTTAACTTGGTGAAACCTGCAGAAACCCTGCTCTAACTTTCCCTCCTAATTCTCGTGTGTATGTCTGCAGAGCACTGGCCAACGGAGATTTAGGTTGCTCTAGACAGAAATGAAGTTGATGATGATCTCTAGCTAATTAGCAAGACACTAGTATTCAGTTTAATGTGCAATTTAAATGCTTTGGTTAATAAGACAAGACATTGGACAACAGCGATTTGTTCTGTAGACATCCATGTTTGATTCGTCATTCAGTTCTCTGTGTCCATCTTTCAACAGATTCCCCCTCATCGAACATGGCGCAGTCGTCTTGTAAATGCTACTGCAGCGTTCCCTGTTGTTCAAACAACAAGCAGAAATTTCCCTATTTGAGTTTCCACGACTTTCCAGTGGACGCCGATCAGCGTGCACGTTGGGTCAAGGCCATCAAAAGAATTGAGGGACCCTGCTTTAAAATCCGTCGGGGGAGCACCTACGTGTGCTGTCAGCACTTTGCCCCAGAGGACAAATACACGTCATTCATTGGAAGGACCAGGATTAAAAAAGGAGCAGTGCCGTCTAGATTCTTCTGGAATGACTGGGGTAAAGGTAGGGTGAAATTTTGGGATCAGGACTATTTTATTGGTTTATTCTAAGCTTATTCTGCTGCTCACAAACAGTAAAAACTAAAACTATGAAATGTTATTGTAGTAATAAATAACTTATTTTATTGAATGTAGTTCAAAATGTAATTAATTATTGTGTTTAAAGCAGAATTGTGAGTCTTTAATAAGCCAAACTTCTTCAATTATTCGATTATCGTCATCTGCTCAAGAAGAAATATTTATTGTTGTTGTTGTCGTCAATGGTTGAACAACATTCAAAACTACCATTAAACATTTACATACTTTTATTCATTGTAATAAATTATTCAAAAGTGAAAGTAAATGCAATTATAATGTTTAAAAAATGCAAATGAAGTTTATTAGGCGATTCGTCAGGCAAAGGTCAAAACAGGAGCATGCAGGGAATGCAAAGCAAGGTCAAAATAAACTGGTGTGTGTGCGAGATGCATGATGGGATATGTAGTCCGGTTCAGTGGCAGATGTGATGTGTAGAGTGCATTCTAGCGTGTCTGGTGGGCTCTCAACCTGGTGACTGTTGCAGTAAGAATGATTACAGATATATATAAAAACCAGTTAATTGGGTCTTGAGAAATGATGACCAAATATCAATACCAATCATTATCATCAATCTATTCAAATCTCTAGGAACCGATTCAGAAATTCCCCTGTCGGTTAACCCGAGAGCAAAGAAGTTCATCAGCGCTGCTGTTCTGGATCAATCTCAAGAGACTCAGCCTGCGAATGGAGCTGTGGATCATGACTATGCCTACCTTCCATCTCCTGGTGAGTATTGCAGAAAAAATAGAGATGTTTTTCTGTGGCAGAAAACCCGTCTGTTAGTTAATTACTTTGTAGGATCTGGTAGGATTAGAAGAAGCCGTTCTTTCCTGCAACAATATCACATGTTTTCCGAGTATCGTGCAGCCTTAACACTCAAGCTGTATCTGAAATGGCCCCCCAGTGCACTATTTGAGGGAGCAGCCATTTTTAGTGGTGTCTGAAACTATAGTTGATTCAATCAATCCCACAATGCACTCCAATAATGAGTCTACAACCAATGCATACTTAACAGCTAGAAAATACCACAAAAGCACTGTGATGCTGCGTTCACAGGGATGCGGATGAAGCGTCAATCGAGAGTGATTTACGTGTTAAGTCAATGCAGAGACACGAATGGACATCCTGCGAATGAAGCGGCGCTCGCATCTTTTGATCGCTCGTGAAATCTGAACTTCAGCTGACATTCGTCAACCAATCAGGAGCTTGCTATTGTAAGGAAGTGATTCTGATGTAGTGTCTGTTGTTGGTGTCCCGAGGGGAATTCTTCTGCCGAAACCGGACAACAGTTCATTAAACTGGGCTCGGCTCAGTGTGAAGCACCGCTGAAAGCTTCTATCATCCAGGTATAGTTTCTGGAGGAGTTGATGAACTCACAGAGCTGGGTGCACCACTGATAGGATCTAGTGGACTCAGACATGGCACCAAACAAATGTACGCTGTTTTTCAGCCTTCCTAAAGCACTTAAACACACAGCTACTCTCCTAATAAAATCCATGTTAGCCGAAGCTAACCGGGTAGACAGAAGCCCTGCCCAAGACGCGAATCCGCATCTATTGTGAAGTAAGGTTGACGCATGAATGAAGCGTGTCAGGTCTGGTGTGAACACAGCATGAAAACAAACAAATTTCTGCATCCGACCACAAGGTGGCAGCCATTCTGAGGAATCCTATCGGTGAAAGTTTCTAAATAAAATATGATTGTTTACATGAGAGACATCAAAATACTTTGCTTCATTACTAATAGACTGCTCTGTAAGTGTTAAGTAGCTACCACAGGGGCTGAACGACAAGTTTAAAATCTTATCTGTCTGAGGGTTTTATTAGCCAGCAAATTACAAACAAAATGGCTTCTCATTTAGTGTACTGAGTGCGACTCGCTCCTTTAAGTAGACTATATTAGTGGAGTAATGAATGGGGGTAAAGAGGTATTGATTGTATTTGTTTATAATCAGACTTGATAAAAACAGTGTGCAGAAACACTTTGATTGACGTTCTCCCTTTGTACGTGTCATCAGAGGGGGAAAGCCCCGCCCACTAATGACCATCTTTCCCTCATTAGCATAGGACGTTAGTCTTGTTTTTGAATCTGCCACTATGCTGACACACAGGTATTAGTAGCCCCGCCTTCTATTAAAAAAGAGCACAATCTCATTTGAATTTAAAGCGACAGTCACCAAAACCGCACAATTAGGATCAAAGCCTAAAAGAGGCAGTTTCAGAGAGTTATAAACCATTATTTGTGTGCTATTTTGAGCTGAAACTTCACATACACGCAATCTAGAGCAGGGATCACCAAACTTGTTCCTAGAGGTCCGGTGTCTTGCAGATTTGAACCCTAATCAAACACACCTGAACAAGCTAATCAAGGTCTTACTAGGTATACCTGAAACACCCAGGCAGGTGTGTTGAGGCAAGTTGGAGCTAAACCCTGCAGGGCGCCGGACCTCCAGAAACAAGATTGGTGACCCCTGCTCTAGAGACATCAGAGGCACAATAGGTCCCCTTTAAAGGTGTACGCGATTTCTTTCGTTTCAGGTAAACTGGATGCTGCTGCTGAAAGAATTAAAGAATTGGAGCTTCAGGTTTCATCACTAGAGGAAGAAATCAAGCAGCTGACCGTGAAGCAGCAGCAGCCGCTGATCTACAAGTTCTGCGTCACCGATGAGGACTTTCAGTACTACACCAAGTTCAGCTCAAAGCAGGCCTTCACTGCGTTCTGGGAGTCCGTTCACCCCTCTGATTCAAGACTTGCGTACTGGACCAAAGCACTGCAAACAGAGACGCCAAACCCTGAGCGAGGACTGCCGCTCGTTGATGAACTCTTCCTGTTTCTCTGCCGGGTTGTTACCGGGCTTCAGGAGAAAACGTTGTCCTCCATCTTTGAAGTTAGTTTGGTTACAGTTAATCGTGTTATATTGACTTGGACAAGCTATCTTCACCAGGTTCTCGAGGCTCTGCCATTGTGGATGACTGGAGAGCAAGTGCAGGCCACAATGCCGGACAAAATCAAGCTGGTTTACCCTCAGCTGAGAGTGATAATACACCGCACAGAGATTAGCTGTGAAACAGCATCCATACAGTCAGAAACTCTTACAAATCGCACTAACTTTAAAGCTCTAGTCGGTATTTCCCCATGTGGGGTTGTCACATTTGTTTCCAAACTTTACCCAGACTCTATTTCAGATGCGGAAATAACACGTCGGTCACACTTCGTACGGTTGCTCCAGCCAGGAGATGCAGTATTGGCCGACGAAGGCTTTCAGATTGAGGAGATGCTGTCTGAGGTGGGGGCGACACTCCTCGTTCCACCGCTGGAGGACACCCTGGAGACCCAGGCGGTCGCCCAACTTAGAGGTTTAGTGAACAGGACGATACGCAGGGTTAAGGAGTACCAAATCTGGGACAGGGTCGTTCCTCTTTCTCTGGCAGGTTTGGTCAGTCAGCTGTGGGCCGTTTGTTGTTTATTGGCGAACTATCAGGGAGATCCTGATGCCGAATGTGAAAAACCAGTCTGAAGGGGTTCCCTTCCTTCAAAACATTTCTCTTTTTGTAAATTAAAGTTTAAAATTAAGTTTTAGCCTTATTTAAAGTATGCACAATGAGTCTTTTGTGTCTCCAGAGTGTGTCTGTGAGGAGTCAGGTCAAAATACCCATCAGATCATTCATTTCACCCAGCTGAGAATATCTTTAGGTCAGAGAGAATTGTAGCAATTTTGGCACCTGTGCCTTTAAATGCAACTGAGCTTGTTCTCCCCGCCCACTCTTGGGACGTTTCACTTCAGAGAAGGATAACTAGGGTGAGATATCAGGATAAACACGGCAAAATGGCGGACACGATGAAGCAGAGACCCACAGTCGCACATACTATGGTAAGATGAATGATGCTGTTACAACTTTTGTGACTGTTGTTGTTTGTTACTGTTCAAAACAAACCAGATTTAATGTCCACAAACCGGGACTCCTGTTAAAGCATCCTCGTTTATAGTTGTGTACACTGTGCAGCTGTGCTAATTCAAGCAGTTATGAATGACGTAACTCAAAAAGCAGATCTAAATGCTACAAAGCAATGCTCTTAAACTCAATTCCTGGAGGGCCGCAGCTCTGCACTGTTTACCTCCAACCACCTCCAACTCACACCTGCTTAATTGTCTTTAGTAGTTTCGAACGCCTCGATCATTTGGATCAGCTGTGTTTGATTAGGCTTGGAGTAAAACTGCAAAGCTGCGGCCCTCCAGGAGTGGAGTTCGAGACCTATGCTATAAAGGATACAAAGTGCAGCACTTACTGCCTTTTGAGGTGCAGATGATCACAGAGAGTTGGAACAGATCTTTTAACTCCAATTTCTTTGCAAATCCTGTCTTGTGGTGATGACTATACGTGTTGATAGTGGGACATGGTGATACGTGCCTGTCAATTACTTAAGGTGGGCAGGGAAAACCACTCTGCAGCGCAGTGTTGCCAGACGTACGATAATTATCGTATTTGTACGATAATTTCAACCTCTGTACGATCAATAATGAGAAAAATCCTATAATGTACGATATTTTCAGAATTTTATGGCATTTAAAAGTAACTTCATTATAATCTTCTGGCTTCTTTACTTATTGATGTAGCTGCATCTTTTCTGTACTGTCTGTGAGGAGTAGGTGGAGTTAGGCATGTTTTCTATCTCATCTTACGCTGCCTCTTCTCAGCCAATCAACGTAGAGAATGGCTCTCTGTCACGAGTTAACGCTCCTGCTGCGCGTGCCCGTGATTAGGTCAGTAGTTTTCAGTTTGAGGTCGATCTTTTAAGCAATAATGTTAAAACAGTTCGTGCTGTAAAGGAAGGTGAGAAGGACGGGAGTTTTCCCTTGATGTTCTCGTTTTTCCCCATTCAAATGCGTCTTGTGAACGTGTTTTTTTTCCAAAGTTAGTCTCATCAAAACAAAGCATGCACACCTCAGACTGTGCACTGCCTTCAAGCCAACCAGCACTATTTTGCAGTCCATTACGGCGTCCAATTTGTACGGAAAAATAAATCCCTCAACATCTGGCAACATTCAATGACAGCAACTCGGAGGTGGAGTTTGAACCTTCCCACAAAGGTACCTAGTTTTATTTACGTATTGTGATCATTTGCACGTTGTGCCAAAACGCTATGTGTCTAGTGTTACGAGTAGTGTAGTGTAGGCCTGTGTGTGTGTGTGGTGTTTCTCTCTCGCTCTCTCTCTTTCTCGCTCTGAGTATTCGCAGGTGCAGCGGATTACAATGGGACGGATCATGATTGGCGGCGGCTATAAAAACCTGCAGAGAACATGGGTTCGTTGGCTCCCCGCTCTCTCTCGATTCCCTGTTTGTGCTCAGTGGACACTAGCGATCAAATGAGTGTTTGCTTCTATCCCTTTTGTGGCATTATGTGAGATGCCAATGTGTTGTTGTTAATTTTTAACTGGCGATTGAAGCCCTGTTTTCTGTCTCCCTGTCGGGCTTGGAGCATGTAGGGAGGTTTGGTGCCTTATTTGTTATTTTCGTTTTCTCCTGTGTTTGTTAGTAGGGAGGTAAGTTTTCTGTGTTTTATTTTATTATTTATTATAATAGCTGTATACTTTCAGTTTGACTCGTGTACGATAATTTTCCTCCAAATACGATAATTTTGAGGTTCTGGTACGATACTTTGACATTTCCAATCTGGCAACACTGCTGCTGCGTCATTGTGTGATAGGGCTCAAAATCAGTGAGATCAGGATCCTTATTTTACCATCAGGTCATTTGAAAAAAAGAGACTTGTGTTAATATCACCCTAGTATGACTGTGGATACACTACGCCTACACACAGTTCTGTCCAAACCGCTTACAAAAGATACTGTGGATAACATACGGTAAACACAGAACACACAGCAATGGAAATAACAGGAGTATGAACAGTAATGACAATCAGAATATTTGAATAGTATAGCATTCATAGTCATTTTCTGTGCTGGCAACAGTGACACCAATAATAATGAAGGTAATAAGAATAATATTGATTTAATGACAATTATATATATATATATATATATATATATATATATATATATATATATATATATTTATTTATTTATATATATATATATATTTATATATATATATATATTTATATATTTATTTATTTATATATATATATATTTATATATATATATATTTATTTATATATATATATATATTTATATGCTGAGCCGAGCATAGTTTAATTGTTAAAAGTTGTGCGGTGTCGGCTGGAGGATTTTCCACCGGGACCCCAACAACAGGCGCTGCGTCATAAGCGCACCCCTACAAGAGAAAGCTCCTGATTGGTTAACGTGGTCTGCAGACGTAATGTCTGCTGAAGTTCAGATTTTCGAACTTGAGAGAACTGCGCCTCCTCATTTGCGCGTATCGCGTCGCAGGATGTCTATTCGTGTCTTTGCATTGACTTAACATGTAAATTACTCGCACTTGACGCTTCTTCCGCGTCTGGTGTAAACGCAGCATCATAGGGGCCGAATCGGCTAGCAGAGCCCCTGGTTGTCTCAGAAGTCTGTCTGAAATCAGTTTTACGAAGTGCCTTCAAGCACAATGCTGCCTCCAGAGTCACTGCCGAAGAGTTCCTTTCATAAAAAAATCTTCTGGGATCATTAAAAGCAGGACAGTCCAGTAAAATGTGTTTTATAGTAAGAAGAATCCAACCGAGTAGGATAAACGTTTTATTCAATAAGAAAGGAATGTGCATAAACTACGACGGAAACACTTTTACCGAACAAATTCCAGTATGTGCACTAAAAAGTCGTGATTGAGTTTGATTCGATCATATGATGATTAAAATGTGCTAAAGTCACAGTGGTTCAGTATTACTATCACCTCAAGAACGGTTTAAAGCAGGGGTGCCCAAACTCGGTCCTGGAGGGTCGGTGTCCTGCAAAGTTTAGTTCCGACCCCAATCAGACACACCTGGGCTAGCTAATCAAGATCTTACTAGGCTTTCTAGAAACATCCTAGCAGGTGTGTTTAGGCAAGTTGCAGGACACCGAGTTTGGACACCCCTAGATTAGAGCATCTGCACTGCCAAAGAACGTCTCACATCTACAATAGCCACCACATGTTCATTGTGTTTTGTCTTCTGTAGAAGATCTTGTCTTTCTTGTATATAACAAAAAGACTAATGGTCGTTTAGAAAACGAAACTTTTTTTGTCTGATATTTGCCGGTTTATCAGTTAAATCTAATTCTCATCTTCGGCTATAAACGCAGCTAGCGAGGAACCCTTGGGTTTCTCTCCAGCGTGAGTCTTCAAATGGCGCTGCAGGTCTTTGTTGTAGGTAAAACTCCTCTGGCATTGAAGGCAGGAGAACGGCTTCACTCCTGTGTGGATCCTCATGTGCAAGCAAAGGTTTCCTTTCTGAGAGAATCTCTTCCCGCACTGAGCGCAGGCGAAAGGCTTCACTCCGGTGTGAACTCTCATGTGGACGTTGAGAGCTATGGCGTTCTTGCATGCCACTCCACAGCGACTGCACACGAAGGGCTTCTCCGCGACGTGAGTGGACACGTGCCTGGAGAGCAGTTTCTTGTCGGCGAAAGTCGTCCCGCAGTAGTGACAGCTGACACGGCTCTCGTTTAAATGAGCCTTCATGTGATTACGAAGGGTCAAGCGATATCTGAAGCTCTGTCCACACTGAGTGCACACCAGCGGCTTCTCTCCGGTGTGGGTCCTCATGTGACTCCTAAGACTTCCCCTCCGACTGAAACTTTTCCCGCACAGCTGGCAGGCGAACGGGCTTTCTCCGGTGTGGATCCTCATGTGCACTTTCAGGCTGCATTTCTGAGTGAAACTCTTCCCGCACTGAGCGCAGGTGAACGGGTTTTCTCCTGTGTGGATTCTCATGTGGACCTTCAGGTTCCCATTGCGGTTGAAGCTCTTCCCGCACTGCTGGCAGCTGTACGGCTTCTCTCCGGTGTGAATCCTCATGTGGACGTTGTAGTTCCCTTGCTGGTCGAAACCTTGTCCGCAGTGACCGCAGGTGAAGTAAAGTCTTGTCGCAGTGTTACGAGATCTTTTTTTGGAGGAGGGAGTCCCTGTTTTAGTTTGCGAACAGTTAAAGGATTCTTCTCCATTTATAAACTCATGATGTTGGTCAGTCTCTTCATCGAGTTCTTGACTCTCCTCTTTCAGCGGTATCAAGTCTAAAAGAAATACAAACAAACATTAACTGCAGTTTCAAGAGTTCACACTTAGCTGATGATTGACTATGAAGCTTGTTTGGCATGCTGGCCCGGAAGAGAGCCCTGAGGTCATAAGATCCTCGAGCCTTGGGCTCCCTCCTGTTTCCTAGGCAAGAGGGTAGTTTGAGCTCAGGTAGATCTCGAGAACTCTCCTGGTGTAGTAGCTAATGAACAGATAGTGATTGCTCTTACCCAGGTAGCAAAGAATTCTGGCCCAGATTTGGCATAAGCTGGCATAACAGGCATTTATCCGGCAATGGCATACAGCATGTGGGCCAAAGAGGGCCCAGGTTTGACAGAGATGGCACCGCCTTTAAGGCGGCACACAAGATTTGGGCCAGATGTAAAATGTAGTTTCTGGCCCGGATATTAAAAAATTGATTTGTGGGCCATGTAAATTTGGTCTGTCTTGACCCACATTTAAAATACACTAAAATGGTGACACACCAACCTGTCTGGCCCAGTTATGAGTTATTAACTTGGCTGTGAATTGACCGAGATATGGTCCATGTTTGGCCCTTGCCTGAAAGCCAGACTTGGTCCAGTCATGTACCGTAATTCACTGCAGCATGTGGGCCAAGAAAAACCAGGTTGTGTGGGCCAAAGCTGGGCCGGAGAATTTTTGTTATGTGGGTACTTACTAGGAGCACGTCTATGGTGGCGATTTGGATTAGTCAATTAACTTAAGTTGCATGTTTTTGGACGGTGGGAGGAAACCCGTGTGAGCACGGGGAGAACATGCGAACTCCACACAGAAATACCAACAGACCCGGCCAAGCCTCGAACTAGCGGCCTTCTTGCTGTGAGGCGATCGTGCTACCCACTGTAAAATTGATTTAGATAATGCTTATACCGCACTAATAATGTGAGAGCATGTGATTGGCCAAGGACAGAAAGAAAGTGAAGACAACTATCCTATATTCAAGTATACAGATAACTGTTTTCCATGACTTTTCCAGGCCTGGAAAATGCCATGTCAAAATTCCATGGCTTTTCCAGGTTTTCCATGACCGAACAAACCCTGAGGCCGTATGTATAAAACTTCTAAAAAAAAAAATGCTCTTAAGAGTAGTCTTACACTTTGACTTAAACGGTCACAAAACACATGTTTTGAGCTGTTGACAGTCGTATTTGTGTCCCACACTGCTAAAAACACTATTAGGACACCTATATTTCACTAAAAAGTGTAAATTGGTTGTTTTTGCGTTATTTCAAGCTAATTCGTACTTCCGGTTTGAAACGAATTTTTGAAGCTGCGTCACGGTCATGACATAATATCGTTGTATTCCAGCGTGCAGACTGGACGTCTGTACCAGAGTGTGTCTTATTACGTCTTACAGTGTGATGCATTAATGCATGAGTAAGGCTTGGTTCAAACCAATCAGCGCGCTCTATTGTGCAACTTCATTAATATTCATTACTGTCACAGTGTTTAGACGGCAGAGACGCCACGTTGTGTTGGCAAAACAAGCGTGAAGTGTTGCTTTTATAGTTTGCTGCCGTTAAGTTTTGTTTTCATTTTCTCTCTGTGAGAGCTTATCTGGATCACGTGTGGATTAACAGTGTACGCGACGCTCGACAACAATAACTTACGTGTCTAAGGAGGATTATTGTTTACCCGAGAGCTGTTCTTATCTGCAAACGCTGAGATCTGGATTTGCTTGTAGTCTCCTCTTAATAAAGACGCGGCTCTAGTTGCTGGTGATTGTCCTGTCTCTACAGATTTGGTAAGTGAGCGACCAGTGCTCTTTGTTTATTCAGTTTGTTCGTATCGAACTAAGTTAACTATTGCACCGAGTGTAAACATGTTAGCACCACAACCAAACTTTAACCTCGTGTAGGGTTTTCACCGCATTTAGTGACCGGAATAACACACGCGGCTTTCTGACGCTACCTGCCGTGTGCATCTAAGTTTCCGGGAAATGCTGAGGGTTTTTTTTTCTCTCATTCGCCGTGCGGTATCAAACATTGCATGAAAAATACACGCTTAGAGCAGTTCCTCGAATCAAATATCACGTTTGTCGCAAGGGACATGAATGAATTCCCTGAATGAAAGAGCCAAACTGCAGTTAAAGTCCACCATTTAATAATTTGGCAAATAATTCGACTACAGATTTCCATGTAAACACCGTCACTTTCTCCCCTTTGTGTGTGTGTGTGTGTGTGTTTTGACTCTGAAAGTCAGCGCGCCCAAATAGACACTCCCACACCAAGCCTCTTTTCTTCCTCCGACACTCCCGCCTAAACAGAGCTGGACACGCCCACTTTTCTGACTTTTTTCCAAAGTAGAGGTGTGAAAACACCCTGCTGAAACGAGGGAGTTTCATGGCCATTTAAAGTTTCACAGTGTAAACGCAATCGACTGCAAAAGTACCGCAGAGAGTGGGAGGAAACAGATACCTGGCTGCAGAGTTTTAGGAATTATTATTAAGTTACTGCACGATTTGTGGGAGAGCGTTCTCTGTGACAACATGCCTCTGTAGAGCAGCATTCTCGCAATTACAGAGCTCGCAAAAATCAAAGCAGTCAAACTGTTCTCCGTGCCAAAGTCTCTCCCGAAGCAGACATGGTAATGACAGTGACCCAGTCTGGTAAAATCTAGCTTGAGTATTTTTTTTGGAATTTACTGTTTTCTACATGAAATAAAAAACGGTCTGTGAAAATAATAATATATGTATTTAATATTAACTGAGTAAAACAACGTCAACAACTGAAATCACAGGGAATTGAATGGCTACAGTCAAACTTCATCTCAGAATTAGATGTTTGGTTTTCACACGCTGGGTCACAAATTGTAATTTGTAAAACAAATCTGCAAATAGTGTAAGTGGATCCTATTCCAATGTAATATTATGATTTGTTTGTTAAGGTTAAGTCAGGCACATAAGCATTAATTTATAACATGAAGCATTACATTTAATACATTAACCCTTAAAGGCCTAGAGGTATTTTGTGGGCACCTAATGGGCCTATATTATTATTTTTTTTTTAAAAGCAGTTTTATTTTTATTTCAGCAGTCAGCCTCAAGTGTCATATATTATTTTAAACAGGAGAACCTGAAGTTTCAATCTGTATCATTTAAAGGTCCAGTCTAAAATATTTTTTGGTCCAAAAACATATGAACAGACAGAAAATATTCTAGAATTTTCCAGAAACGTTTTTTTAAAAGGTGGCATTTTCTAGTTATTACAAACAGAACCTTATGAAGTTTGTTTTTTTTCCTTTAGAAATACATGCTATGATGTTTTATACTTCCAAAATAAATTTTGTCTACATCCACAATTCCCTGATCCAGGGTCTCAGCAGATATCATAATGTCAAATTTAAGACCTTTTAAGACCTTTTTAAGACCATTAAGTTTTAAATTTAAGACCTATATCGCAATATCAAAAACACGCGAGAGAAAATGTTAAAGCACAAAATTAGGGGTAAAATAAAGTTATTTAAATTGAACAGTACTAAAAGTCAGGTTAAATGCGCCATTGAACTACAGAAAAAACAAACATCTTAATGCAGATTTATACTTTCACCTGGCACCGCATCGCACAACTCACGAAACGGATTAAGGCTTTTATACTTGACACGTTCACCATTGAGATATTTTTTTTTAAATGACAGGCGGCGGTCCATAAAAACAAAGTAAAATTAGACGAATAAAAAGATAATTATTATCATTGAAGATGTTTTTGGGGGCCTCTTTTTGTTTGTTTAAACACACTTTTCCCTCAGAGTTTTTCCAAAGTTTTACAAAAACTTTCCTCCTTTCACATGGCTGTTGCAATTTCTAGCCAATAATTATTGGTCATTCTGGCAAGCAGAAATGTAACTGTGATAGAAAATAGGTAAAAATTTGATTAGGTATTACAGCCTACTGTACTATTCACTCTTCAAATAAATCCCACCATCAATCCCATTTTATCACTAAAATAAAGCCAACTAGTGTCTGCTGTACAGTGTTTTGTGTAAAGTACTTCAATTACTATGTTGTGGTAATACTATAGTTGCTATGGTAACAAAACAAGTGTATTAAAAACAAACTACCCATTTTACAATATAAGGTATATTTTTTTAACAATTCACCACACTTTACTGTAGTAAAACTACACTGCATTTCATTTTATCAGTTCACTATTCTTAATACTACAGTATGCTGAAGCATCTCTGGAAAAGCACGAAAGGAGTCCAACGGAGCGAGAGCAGATCATTCGCACGTGAGCAGCCAGTGTTTTGAGAACTCGCGAGCAGTTTTGACCATGAACAAAGGAAACCGGTGCGTGAGCAGAGATTCGCTCTCTCGTTTTACAGCGCTCCCGACTTATAAAACTGCGCTTGCGACATTTGTCAGTGAAAATAACGCCATACTCTGCCAGCCGAAATCATGTCGCGCGCACTCAAAGCGAACTTCCGCAAACACATCGATGATGAGTTTAATATCAGAAAGCTGATTGGCTATTGCAAGTTGACTTTTTTGTAGTTGCAATACCGCAAATTACAACTGGACTAGTGAAATAAAGAACTACAACACCCCAAAAACCAAGCAACAACAACAAAAAGAATTTAAATGAGCATTAGATGTAGCGTTACATGGACATCGCAAAAATAAGACCTGTGCAAAAATATTTAAGACCTAGAACAGCGAATTTAAGACTTTTTAAAGCCATAAATTTTGATTTTTTAATTTAAGACTTTTTAATACTTTTTAAGACCGCGCGGGGACCCTGCTGATCAAGTTATAGCAATTTATTTCAATGTTATTCCAAGGCGTTTTTCAATGGGGGAAAAAATGCATTTATTTACTGACAATGTATTTGCCCAAACGTTCTGGGAATGAACTAAACAGAAAAAAATGTTACAAAATAACAGAACAGTGAAGCAAATTTGACTTTTTACAAATAATATATTTTCAGTTTCCATAAACAACACCACTTACAATTAACAAACAAAAAGTAAGAAATAATGCGTCAAAGTCCAAATAAACATGGTGCAAATCCTCAGTAAAAAAATAGATATAAATATTTACTATACTATAAATAGTTACAAAACTAAACTAGATTCAATATGGAACATCCTTAGGTTTTATGTGCCAGCATATGGTGTTGACCCTGCTGCTTCTCAACTTTTAGGTTGCAGACAAACAGCCGCACCGTCATTTGCATCCTTTGAAAACAGCAAGAGCAGCACTTCGTCTTTGCAGTGTCACTGTTTTGTCATGCTGTTGTGCATGCCAAAGTACTACTAGCCACGAGCGCTCCTTTAACAAATCAGCATTGTCAAAATTTGATGACGTAACCACACTTGATTACAGAGCCTCTGAAAGTCCGTGGAATGTTTTACAGCACTGGAAAGCTGAGATTCTCTTCTTTATGCCAATCTTTGAATTGTACGGATCGGACATTTCCATTTCAACATTTAAGAACAATACTTATTTTTAGCTGCGGGCGGCTGTCTCGGTCTTTAAGGGTTAATAAACAACATAATGCCCATGTAAAGAAGATAAACAAGTAAACTGCAACTTTCCATATTTTAAAATTAGAAATAGGCTGTATGAAAACTTTACTACACTGTAAAATTGAATAATTCTACACTTATACAATTAAGATGGAATATGATTAACTTGGTTCAGTAAGTTAAAATGACCTAAAAACATATGCTGCTGTCAGGACTAATTGATCAAATCTTTTTTGTCTAATGTTTATGTATGTGCTGTTTTCATGATACTGCAAATAATGACAAACATTTTAGCCAAAATCTGTTATCAATTCCACCCTTTAAAATTAGGTTCATTAGTATTTTCTTCTCTCCTTTAGGTTCCAAATGTTCAAGTGTTCATACTTTCCTGAAAACATATTTTACGTGTTTTTTTTTTGTTTTTTTTTATTGGGGGGGGGGGGGGGGGGGGGCAATTTTTCTGTATCAAAAGTGGTATTCCTACCTGTAACATCAAAAAATAACCTAAACCATGTGTTTTTTTTTTTAAACCTTGAAATTTGGTCACTTTTACCAAAAATTACCCAAACAATATGAAAAAGGAATCATTTATTATTTTCATGTACCCAACTGTTGTCCTACGAGTCGATTTTTACCCACCAGCTATAAAACAAGAATAAAATATGAATCTGCGGCTTTAACTTTTATGAATACTGTCCTGCTAAAATACTCCCTTTACTGTAGTCGAGTGTCCTCTGATTAAACCAGGAGTGGCCAACCCTGTTCCTGGAGATCTACCTTTCCGCAGATTTCAGTTGCTACCCATATCAAACACACCTGCCTGTAATTATCACGTGGTGTTCAGGTCCTAATTAATTGGTTCAGGTGTGCAACTGAAATCTGCAGGAAGGTAGATCTCCAGGAACAGGGTTGGCCACCCCTGGATGAAACACTGATGAAAAACTGAACACAGATGAGGGAAAAGCTGGATATTGGCAGAGTTTGTGATGACGGCGAGGTTGTTTCTTCATGCAAAACAGATTGGAGGATTGAGATGAAATCTAGCTGCTCTGTTTTAGAGGTTTAGTGAAGGTGTTCAACTCAAACTTGTTAATCGTTCAAAATAAAATAAGACCAACCTGTTTGTTCCTGAGCATCTTCATGTTTGACTGTGAATGTTTCTTCAATCTCCACGTCTTCTCTCTCCTCTTTAATGCACGCCATCTTTATAATAGTGCGCCAGGTGGAGATCAGTTTTGCATATCCAGGATCGTTTCTGTGGGTTTTTAATAGTTGTAAAGCGTAAAATGAGAATATTTTCAAGACGTTTTAAAACTAAATCTCCTTCTCACTGAGAGAGCCACACAGACACTGTCAGAAGACTTGGACTTATAACCTCAGTGCATCTAGATTTATCTCCTTTTAATTTCCATGACCATTAATAAATATTGATTAGATTAACAATATATACAGTATTTGTCTCATCTGTCGCTAAAATCGTCATTTTAACACGATTTTTCTAATGGAGAGATTTTAAAAGAGTTGATTATTTTTGATCATTTACACTAATTACTGTATCATTGATGTATTAGGAGGTAAACATTTCCTCTGCTCTTATTGTTCCCTTTATATAATTCACGAATTCTTCACATTTTCACAGCAAAACAACAGGAAAGGTTTGTCTGCGTTGATGTTTATGATATATTTAGGTTGACCAGCGGGCATCATAGTGTCGTCATTATCATTGTGTAATTAATGAATACGACAATAAAACTTTAGACAAACGAAACGCACCAAAACCACTTTAAAAACTTCACAGATATTTACCTTTCCTCAGCCGAATATAACAGACGCCATTTGGCGACGCATAACTGTGACGCCATATCACCACTTCAAAATAAAAGCCCAGTTCACGCGCACGAGTCAACGTTATAGATATGTTTTCATTATTATTTACAGTTAACGTGTTTTACAACTGATTTACTGTTTGAAATTATATTAACATTAATGTGGGAATGAAACAAAATCTGAGCAACGCACTCAAATTCACTGTATGTGAGCAACTCATTCAATAACTTTTTTCAGCTTAGTCACTTTATTAATCTGGGGTCGCCACAGCGGAATGAACCGCCAACTTATCCAGCATATGTTTTACGCAGCGGACGCCCTTTCAGTTGCAACCCATCACTGGGAGTGGAAAACTCTTATTCACACACATACACTTAAAGTTAGAAGCTTATCCAATTCACCTGTACCGATTAGACTGGGGAAACCGGAGCACCCGGAGGACATGTAAAACATCTGTTGAGGTTGGCAGAAAACTATTTTATTTTTTAAAATGATTTTTCCAAATATGATTGTATAAGTAGGCACTATTTTACATGATTTCGGTATGTTATTATTTACATGTGATTTAAGTGAGCAAAATAAACATTTGTACAATTATTAATATTTTTTATTAGCAATTTAGCACTATTCAACATGAAAAAAGGAAAATATTTACATAAAAACACAAATAAAGCCAATAAAAAATATCACAATTACACAGTATTATTATTTACATGTGATTTAAGTGAGCAAAATAAACATTTGTACAATTATTAACATTTTTTATTATCAATTTAGCACTATTCAACATGAAAAAAGGAAAATATTTACATAAAAACACAAATAAAGCCAATAAAAAAATCACAATTACACAGTATTATTAATTACATGTGATTTAAGTGAGCAAAATAAACATTTGTACAATTATTAATATTTTTATTATCAATTTAGCACTATTCAACATGAAAAAAAGGAAAATATTTACATAAAAACACAAATAAAGCCATTAAAAATCACAATTACACAGTATTATTAATTACATGTGATTTAAGAGAGCAAAATAAACATTTGTACAATAACTAATATTTTTTATTATCAATTTAGCACTATTCAACATGAAAAAAAGGAAAATATTTACATAAAAACACAAATAAAGCCAATAAAAAAATCACAATTACACAGTATTATTAATTACATGTGATTTAAGTGAGCAAAATAAACATTTGTACAAATATAAATATTTTTATTATCAATTTAGCACTATTCAACATGAAAAAAAGAAAATATTTACATAAAAACACAAATAAAGCCAATAATAAAAATCACAATTACACAGTATTATTAATTAAATGTGATTTAAGTGAGCAAAATAAACATTTGTACAATTATTAACATTTTTTATTATCAATTTAGCACTATTCAACATGAAAAAAAGGAAAATATTTACATAAAAACACAAATAAAGCCAATAAAAACATCATAATTACACAGTAAACACCTAAATAGTAGGTTGTGAATATGAAACAATTGTGGATTGTTATGACAGCCGGGACTTTTAAGTGCTGTTGGTTAACTTTTATAACTTTTAATCACAGCAAAACAAAGAAATAATAGCATAGCCTACATGGAAAGTAAAGATTATTATATATCCAAACAAGTTCATTCATTACCTCTCATTTGAATTAATTTACGTGAATAAAACTGAAACAAAATTAAGGAAACACGTTTTAAAATATTACATTTAATTTACTCAGTAAAATCGTATTTATCAAAGTACATTGAAATGGAGGATATCTGTGGTTTCTGCACTGTGGATAAAGAGAGCCTTTGACATCTGTTTTTTGAATGCAACATTGTCAAGAATTTCTGGAAAAATCTAGCCAAATATATTTTTGAAAGGACAAAACCTTGTTATTATTTTACATTAGAAGAGATTATTTTTTATTATGAAAAAAATCCAACAAATGTCTTGAATATATTGTTAATCTCTTTATTTTATTGGCAAAGTTTTATATACACAAACAGAAATTTGCTAAATCATCTCCCACATTAACCGTTCTTTTGTATTGAGTTTGAAATTTTTATTTCTACAGTAAAATTGTTGAAAAACAAAAACATCTGAGATATGCATCAATAATTATGACTTTTTTTAAATTCCCTGTCAATTCCTAATATCATTGGATGTAGAAATGCTGTACACTATACTTTGTGTAATTTAATTAATTTATTTTTATGTATCTTTTTTTTTGCGTTCCATAATTTGTTTTTTTTGTGTGTGTGTTTCATAATTTGTATTGTGTTTTATTTTTGTTCCTGACAGTTATGCAATAAGAAAACTGTTAAAAATAATAATAAATAAATAAATAAAAAATACTGCAGCGCATTGATCTACCGCGCAGCACCGAGTAAACGCGCACTACAATTTGAATCAAATACAGCGTGTCTTGGAACTTAGTATGGGTAACTGCAGATGGCATGACCGCAGTAAAAACTCACAACAGCTTGGCTTCTCGTAAGCGTGTGAACTGGACTTTTATTTTGTAACGCTGCTATGGGCTGTGACGTTACACCTCTGCGCGACGGTCCTGCTTTTGTTATAAATCGGCAGAAGAAAGGTTTGTGTTTTTAAGCATTTCATATAGAAATTCACCGTTTAATAAACGTTATTGTTTATACAAACGATATATAAGCTGCCAATTATCAACGTAATGCCACAATAAAATACTGTCAACCATGAATAAACTATATTTTTGTCATTAAATCGCATGAGCAACAGAGAAGGCGCGTCTCATTTCACTTCCTATACTCATGAATCGTTTTATAAAAGTGGTGAACAGACAACAGAGCTTTCTGAAACTCTGAGGTAATCAAATCTGATTCACAGTATTATTCTTCAGGCGCTGACATCACTTGCTGATCAAAATATGAAAACGAAACAAAGAGAAACATCATTCAAATCACAATTCGTTAAATACTTAATAATATTCATTATTATTATTTATTTTGCAATACAATACTTCCAACATTTCACAGCTCTGAATTTACCACACGATGGCAACACCTGCTTGTCAAAAGAGTGTTCAATATCTATTAAAAACAATAACAATGTGTGTGGCATTTGTTTCTTAAATGAAAAGTCTTAAAATGTAAACGCTTTATAACAAAAAAACATCCCATAATGTAAATAAGTTGTAACCTGATAAATCTAAGATAACGACTAGTCCTTTTATCTGTTTTTAGATGATTTACATACAGATAAGTCAGCTAATAAGACACTTAAGTATGAAGTACTGAAGTGTTGAGTAATATTGCTTTGAATTATATAAATGTCGTATGAAACTGATCTGATATCAGGTAAAAACTATAGGCACTACAGTGGTTTCTGGGGTCCCCTTTGCAGGTTCATAATTTTGTTCGCCCCCCCAGTAGAGAACCATTGAGCTTCAGTGTTGGGTGGGTGTAACGCATTTTTGGTAACACAAGCTATGTAATAGTAATACTTTCTAAGTAACCAGTAAAGCAATGCATTTCGTTAAAAGAAGTATTAATATTTGAGTTACTTTTTAGTTTAGTTAATGTACTTCTACATTAAAAAAAAAAAAAATTTAAATGATCGTAGTCACATTGAATATTGCACTCAATGAGAGAATGCAGAAAGCAACGACGGCAGAGCCTTACATTTCTGCGATAGAATTCTCTGTATTTTGAACACATGGAAGAAAAGGGAAAGAGCATCATATGATTAGACAGTAATTTTCATTCATTCATTTTCTTTTCGGATTAGTCCCTTTATTAATCTGGGGTCGCCACAGCGGAATGAACCGCCGACTTATCCAGCATATGTTTGCACAGCAGATGCCCTTCCAGCTGCAACCCAGCACTGGGAAACATCCATACACACTCATTCACACACATGCACTACGGCCAATTTAGCTTTTTCAATTCACCCATAGGGCATGTGTGTGGACTGTGGGGGAAACCGGAGCACCCAGACAGTGATTTTAACTATTTAATAATATAAAAAGTACAAAAGGCACAAACGCCTTGCTTTAAACCTTCACTCTGTGGTCAGGAAGTTCTCCGAAGATAACATTTATTTATTTATTTATTTGGCAGGGACAGTTTACATTAATTAGCATTTCTGCCAATGCACCAGAATTAGCCCGAAGGCTATTTTTCATCTGTTGTCCAGGCCCGGATTGGCTAATCGAGAGGACCGGGAGAATTCCCGGTGGCCGGTCCGTTTTTTTGCCGCGAGGGTCGGTGTCTCTAGCTCCAGAATCGGTTGCTCTTAGCAGTCACACTTCTTAAATTTATTTATCTAAGTTATTTACTTGACCACAGCCGTTTTATTCATTATTTTACCGCAGCTCTACTCTTTTTATCTATTTTCTCGCAGCTCAGTGAGCAAGTTGCAGCCTGCAGGTTAATGACGATATAACTTGATCAACTTTCACTAACCAGCTGTTGTGGTTTAGTGGTTAGCATGTTAGTTTTCGACCCCGCAGACCCGGGTTCGGTCCTCGTTTGAGTAATTAATTTTTTTCATTTTTTTCATTTTTATTGTTAAGACATATAATACTGTTAGGGTTGTTGAACATTTGAAGTTCTAAAGCAGCTGTTTTCTCAAAAAAAGACGTGATAGTGTCATTAGAAACTGATTTGGAAATGACCTTATTTTAATATAGTCAGTCGTGAACTGAGGTGGGCCGGTCTGAGGCTTGAAACTCCAGGGCTGAAAAGGAGTCCCACTCCGGCCCTGCTGTTGTCCCTTAGCAACCTAGAAAAAATCCTACAAATATTTTCATGTGTGTTTTTCTCTAAGGTAAACGTAGGTTTTACAGTGTGCTGGCAATTGCAGAGCTCCTCTATTTAAAACAAAAGACAAACTCCAGCTAGTTCTGCAAGAGATCGAGCCCCAGACGGATCAGAGAAAGTAACTCAAAAGTAACGTAACGCATTACCATAAAAAGTAACTAATTAACGCAACTAGTTATTTTCTGGGGAGTAACTCAATATTGTAATGCACTATTTTCTAAAGGAACTTTCTCCACTAAAATCACGTGACCTCGTCAGTTTAATACACGCTTTAAAACAAACGTTTTGTAAAGGTTTCGAAACTTCGTGTTTCGCTAGCAGCCGTCGCTACTCTGAACTAGAAAATGTATGCACTGGTACCATGTTGATTGGCTTCATTTAATTTTCTAATATGGAAGCCAGAGGTTGCCGACGACCAGCAAACATCAAAATATCTTCTTTTGTGTTCAACAGATGTATTTATTAAAGCGATATTAGGACGTTAGGTAGATGTTTAGATTTTGTTTTTAAGACATTCAGAATTGACAGTGTTCATACAACAGACCTTTAAAGACATTGGCTGCGTCCGAAACCGCATACTTCCATACTATATAGTACGCCAAAATCAGTATGCGAGCCGAGTAGTATGTCCGAATTCATAGAAATCGAAAATCAGTATGCGAGAAGTACCCGGATGACTTACTACTTTCGGCGAGATTCAGGAGTGCGCATCCCATGCATGATGCGCTATCCCATGATGCCCCGCGAGCGAATTCATGAATGGAAGTAAAGCGACGCAACTGACGCAGGTAGGTCACGTGACCATGACAAAATGGCGGATGTAGTACGTCCGAATTCCATTCATACTTTTCACATTCATACTGTATACAACGTACTTTTCTAACGGCCGAGTAGTACGTTTAAATTCAAATGCAGTACCTACTGAGTAGTAGGTGGTTTCGGACGCAGCCATTCATTGCCCCCCTGCAAACGAACTGATGATCTGAATCAGGTGTGTTACCTAAGGAAGACATACGAAATGTGCAGGGCAGGGGACCTGAGGAGCAGAATAGGGAACCACTGACCTAAGGAACTGACTGAGATGATTTAGACAATGAGTCTAGGTTTAGTTTTCTTTCTGTTGCAGAAGAGCTGCTGCTGAATCGACTGATCTCCACGTCACACGCTATTATAGAGATGGAGTTCATTAAAGAGGAGAGTGAAGACGTGAAGATTGAGGAAATAATAATCAAATATGAAGATCCCGAGGAACAAGCAGGTCGGTTTTCATTCTGAGAGATGGAAGTCCATTATTAAAAATCCCTCCACTAATCACCTTATTCTTTGCCGACGAGTGGGCGCAGCCATTTGAATATTTTTGGCTCGAGACTTCCGGTCTCATTCACTTTCATTCAGTTTTAGACGTTTTTAGACGCTGCTTGATGTTGCAAACTGATATTTTCTTATTATATTACTCTACTTGCTCTATCCGCTTGTTAAGCGGTGACGTGTTTGTGACGTATGTAATACTGTTTCTGGGTCCAAGCCGCCGTTCATACGAGTGGAGAAATCATTCGTTTATGATCGCGTTTTATTCCTATCACACATTAAAGTTAATTTTATATAAAGTCATAGTGTACACAACAATCTCTGGGCTTGCTGCATAACAAATACCAAAAATTTAACAATTTATAAAAAATGAATCACTTTCTGGCCATCGGATATTAGGCATGGACATATATACTGCGATCGTGATTTTCGAAAGCATTAAATCGCTTTGTAAACGTTTATTGTTACCATTTCATGAGTCTCCCCATTCAGTTGAATAGAGCGCTTGGACCCGGAAGCCGTTTTGCGTGACGTCACACTTAACAAGCGGATATAGTCACGCAAACATTTGTTTGTAGAGCAAGTAGTTTGACCGTTCTCTGCCGTTTTTTATTCCTAGTCATTTCTCCCATAGGCGACTGAATCGGAAGTTCTTAAACAATCCCGAAAACAGGCGCACTTCCGCATTTTACAATAAGGTCAATAGAAATGTACGATAAAATACATGAATGTCATATGAGTGTTCAAAATATAAATATATCTAAGGCCCCGTTTACACGAATACGTTTTAGTTTTAAAACGCATAAGTTTTGCTACGGTTACGCCTTTCGTCCACACTACCCTAGAGTTTTCGAGACCTGAAAAACGGAGCTGTTGCTCCGTGCCAGTGTGGATGGAGGAAAACGTAGACATCTAAAAACGGAAGAGTGGCTGCAGACATTCCTCTGAATGGGGCTTTTTCTCAATATTATGTAGCCTACTCACAGTTCAGTCTTGCATCCTTTCCTTGTAAGTTCAGACTTCGCAAGTTTGATATGGCTATGTTGTTTCACTTACTTAACAATAAAATGAAAACATGATATAAGGAATTGCCTATTTACACATTGATATTAGCAGCTTTACAGACACTAAAAATGTTGAGGTGTTGTGTAGCTATATATTTACATGAGCGCCATCTTCACTGTATGCATATTAGGCTTGGGCGGTAATGCGGTAATATGGTATACAGCGTGGTCTAAAAATAGCAACGGTGTCCGTTTCAATACCGTTATACCGTCATAAAAACAATGCACTTGAATAGGAGACAAGTATTAAATAATAAATATTATCTATTCATTGCCTACAAATCCATATGCGTAAATTGTCATCACGGGACAGTGTGGAGGAGAGAGAGGTGAGGTGACGAGTCGCGCACCAAGTGACCTGCAGTTTGGCAGTATTTCCGATTTCAACAGAATGAGAAGAAAGACGAATAAAATACGAACTAGAGGTCTGCATTTCCACTGCAGGAGTTGTGGGACCCGACCAGATTTCTTGCAGTTTGGGAATAAGTTTCAGAATAAAGCGTGGGAACGGTCGGTAACTCTGGTGTGATTTGATAGGAAGTAGGCGCACGATCTAATCATATCGCTGCCGATCGAGCGAGCACACGCGCATCCGCGTGGATGCTGTTTATGTGTGTGTGTGTGTGAAGAAGAGAGCGCGTCCCATGCAGAAGAATACGAACAAGACAGACAGCTGACCGCAAACCTAAGGTCGCATATACGGTATTCAGTTTATAAATGGTTTAGACACAAGCTAACAGTTTGATGATGCTGTCTGAGCCTTACGTCATAATCTTTTATTATGCACGGTAATACCAGATACCGAGGTAAAATAGGAAGGAGGTTTGACGGTATCAAAATTTGGATAGCGCCCAAGCCTAATGCATATTTATAACTAAACGGAGCCTATCCCAGGTGAAAAAAATATATAATTAAATGCAACCAAAATACCCGCAAATACATTTTTAGTACATTGTTATTTTTTTGTGTTAAATAAAAGTTCGAGGGTTTTACACTATAAATATACTAATTATAAGTATGTTTATACTTCAGTAGGACTTTAGTACACTTGACAAAAGTATACCAAATACCAGTAATACTTAAATACATTTTTAGTGTACTACAATAAAGTACACTACAGAAAAAACATCCAAAAGAGTTTTATTAGTGTGTTTTTCAAAAGTGTGCTTTAAATGCTTTGCACATTAGTTGGTATTTAGTACACTGTTTACATACTAATCCTAAGTTTAAAATAAGTTAATATATAAAAAATCTATTAGTAATGTATTGTAGTAGAAGTACATTTTCCCAAACGTTGTACTTAAGTACACTTAATATGAATGCAATATTATCACTAACACATAAATCGATTTTGAGTGCGGTAATTTTAAGTTTTTAAGTAATTTTAAGTAGAAGTACATTTTCCCAAAATGTCTTTACATTTCATATATGTGCTGTAATGTTGCATCTTATTTATATTTTTGTGTTCTCAGTTTTTACTAAGTTTTTGTTCCCTTCCATAAGGTATTTTTTGGACTTGTGGTTTATTGCACAAAAAGATTAAAGTGTTTTGATGAAGCACAGATGCTGTCTTCTTTGTACACACATTATCCCAGGTAAAAAAAAAAAGTGCACTAAAATGCACTTTATTTAAGTATACTTAGTACACTTTTCAGTACTGTACTAAAAGTGCTCTATTTTCGCACACTAATTTTGTACTTAATGTACTAAAGATAGTATTAAGTATATGTTAAGATCAACTTCTGACCACTCGCCTGATACTTTAACTACGATTCTGGACTTCCCTTGTATGTCTGTTTGCACCTGTATTGACCATTGCTTGCCTGACCACTGATTAAACCTGCATGTGGATCCTATCTCTGTTGTTTGTGTCACTCCTCCGGTTACACTAATACAACTGTTTTGGATGTTTTTTCTGTAGTGTACTTTATTGTAGTACACTAAAAATTGATTTAAGTATTTCTGGTATTTGGTATACTTTTGTCAAGTGTACTAAAGTCCTACTGAAGTATAAACATACTTTTAATTAGTATATTTATAGTGTGAAACCATCAAACTTTTATTTAACACAAAAAAATAACAATGTACTAAAAATGTATTTGCGGGTATTTAAGTGTATTTTAATTGCATTTAATTATATATATATATATATATATATATATATATATATATATATATATATATATATATATATATTTTTTTTTTTTTTATATATTCTTTAAATGTTTATTATGTTAAAAGCACATTTTAGATCAGCTTCATTTTCTCTCATAATAGCACAGTTGAGTACACTTAGATGTATTAGGTTTATCTTAAAATGTACTTAATACTATTTTTTAGTACATTAAATACAAAATTAGTTTGGGAAAATCGAGCACTTTTAATACAGTATTTAGCACACTTTTTTACAATTTGTAAATTCTTTTAATATATTACTATTATACTTCAAATTAGTCATAAATATATTTATATGTTTAAAATTAGGGTTTAAGTGTATTTTTAATTGTAACTAAACATATTTTTTAAAATGCAGATATAGTATGTTTAAAGCACATTTTAGTTCAATTTCAGTGTGTCTCAAAATAGCACAGTTGAGTGCACTTAGATGGTATTAAGATTATCTTAACATATACTTAATACTATCTTTTAGTACATTAAGTACAAAATTAGTGTGCGAAAATAGAGCACTTTTAGTACATTACTGAAAAGTGTACTTAGTATACTTAAAGTGTTTTTAGCACACTGCTTTCACATTTTGTATATTCTTTAAATATATTAGTATTATGCTTTAAGCTATTCTTAAATATATTTAAATGTTTAAAATTAGGGTTCAAGTGTATTTCTAGTTGTAAGTGTAAGTGTTAAAAGCACATTTTAGTTCAATTTCAGGGTATAGCACAGTTGAGTGCACTTAGATGGTATTAAGTTGATCTTAACATATACTTAATACTATCTTTTAGTACATTAAGTACAAAATTAGTGTGCGAAAATAGAGCACTTTTAGTACATTACTGAAAAATGTACTAAGTATACTTAAATAAAGTGTATTTTAGTGCACTTTTTTTTTCACCTGGGATAACATTACTGCCTCCTTTCATTTTCATTGAAAATACGAAACATACCCTGTCTCTTTTGCTAAATATCAGTTTTAATAACCAATAATGGCCATTATAAAAGTATAACGTACAATAAGTTTAAACAATAAAGCAAATAAAGGCAAGCAATCAGTCAATATGCAGCATCAGTGTATGTGCTTACATAAATTCATATATTAACTTATCTTTGCGCTCAGACCTGAGAACAAGCAACAGATTCAAAAGACCCAAGTCTGGGAATATGCCGTTAGATAGAGACAACAAGATGAATTAAATATCATGTTTAACAAATATAGTGAGATTAGATCCAGCGGTAGATTCTTGATGAGACGTCTGACGTGCACTGCTCTCATTTGGGGAGGTTGCTCATTGCTAGGGCCAGACGGAATCTGCGGACGTTTTTTGCTATTTCTGCGGAGAATTTTGGTAAAAATCTGCGGATTTCTGCGGAATTATTTTGGGAGTATCCAGCGGAGTATCATAACTTACACTTTAATATATTAAACAAAAAGTAATAAAGTACTGCATAAAAACTTAATAAATTCAGATTTACACATTTACTCAAGTAAATAAACAGAATTTATAATAGGCTAAAATTCCGCGGAAAATCTGCCTGGAGCTCAGACCTCTGCATACGCTGCAGTGCATGCCAGAGTGTGTGTGTGGTCACGTGATGTGCATTTTTTTTAGCAGTGTAGTGTGGACGGAGATCTTTTTAGAAGCGCTTGGTGAAACGCCGATGTGGATCGTTTTCATTCTAAAATGGGCGTTTTAAAACTAAAACGTATTAGTGTAAACGGAGCCTAAAGCCTGGTTTATACTTCTGCGTCAAGTGACCGGCGTAACCCACAGCGCATGCAACGCGCGTGGCTGTGCATTTATACTTCTGCGCGCTGTCTCTGTCTGCCTGCATTAACACTTCCAAAACGCTAGTTGGCAGTGAGGTGTAAATGTTCCTCTGTGTCGAGTTTCTTCGCTACTTTTTTTGCATTTCCTGAACACTTCCGGGATGTACAAGTGACTCAAACTCGCTCATTTTGAGGCAGGAACCGGCAGACGTGCAACAACTTTAACTATGAGGTAAACACAAAACAAAACTTTCCATCCGGAGCTCCTTCACGGTACTCCACACTTGTAAACAATCGCTCGCGCGGCGTCGCGCCATTCGCGCGGCTCTCGGTCCCGCCCTAACTCGTCAGCGCTACCAAGCTGACCAATCACAAAGCTTACGCTACGCGTCGTTGCGACGTGTAGTTAAATTTTTTGAGAGGTGCACGTCAGTGACTGCGATGGCCACTGCTACAACCTTGATCAAACGCACCTGTCTTTAATTACCAAGTGCTCCTTTAGATGCTACAAATTTGGTTTAGTTGTGTTTGATCAGGGTTGGAGCTGAACTCTGCAGGAAGGAAGGTCTCCATGAACAGGGTTGAGCAACCGTAGTATAAACAGTTTAAGATTTGTACGAAGTCCTGTGCTCACCAGTTGTTTTTGAGGCAATATGTTGGATTTAGGGATAGGCTGTGTCCGAAATCGCCTGCTGCTCATTAGGTACTGCATTCGTACTTGAATTTACTAATCGACCGTTAGATAAGTGTGTTCAATACAGTATGAACGTGAGTAGTATGAATGGAACTGAATCCATAATTTGTCATGACCACTAGACCTACCAGCGTCAGCTGCGTCGCTTCACTCCCATTCATGAATTTTCTCACGGTGCATCATAGGATAGCGTAGCATCCAGTAGATGCGCACTTCAGAAGTAGTCTGTCATCCGGGTACTTCTCGCATACTGTTCATCGAGTACTATCAGTTCGGCCATACTACTCGACTCGCATACTGTTTGTAGCATACGATGTAGTATGGAAGTATGCGATTTCGGATGCAGCCATAGTTTTTGTGTCTGAATCTCTGCGAGATTAATCTGATGTCATCTTTTTCATTAGATTTGATGGCGCTGAAAGATGAGAGTCAAGATCTCAATGAAACGGATGAGAAAAGTCTGTTAGAGAACCGAGAATCAGTGACTGCGGAAAAATCCACAATGGCTGAGAAGACGTTCTCACCCAAAAGTGAAAAGACAGATTCAAACGGTGAGTTCAGCTGCCGCCAGTGTGGGAAGAATTTCACAAATAAGCAAAACCTCGAAGTCCACATGAGGATCCACACCGGAGAGAAGCCCTTCAGCTGCCAGCACTGCGGGAAGAGCTTCAACCAAACTCAAAACCTCAAAGTGCACATGAGAGTTCACACCGGAGAGAAGCCCTTCAGCTGCCAACAGTGCGGACAGAGTTTCACGCACAAAGGAAACCTCAACGCCCACATGAGGATTCACACCGGCGAGAGCGCCTTCATCTGCAGTCTCTGTGGGAAGAGCTTCTCCAGGAAGGAGAGTCTGAACACTCACATGAACGTCCACACCGGAGAGAAGCCTTGCATATGTGCTCAATGCGGAAAGAGGTTCAGCTGTAAAGAAACTCTTAAGTTCCACATGAGGATCCACACCGGAGAGAAGTGCAGCGTGTGCCATCACTGCGGAAAGAGTTTCAACCACAAGCGAAGCCTCAACACTCACATGAGACTGCACACCGGGGAGAAGCCCTTCATCTGCTCTCAGTGTGGGAAGAGCTTCACCACCAAAGGAAACCTGGAGGTGCACATGAGGCTTCACACCGGAGAGAAGCCCTTCACGTGTGTTCAGTGCGAGCAGAGTTTCACTTATCAGAGAGACCTTAAAAGTCACTTGCAGACTCATTCTTGAAGGAAGTAGTGAGGTTGATGACATTTATATACTTCTGTTTCAAACGTACATGGATGATCTGGTGCTGCCTTCGCAGAGCTGGAGACCCTTTGCTCTAGCCGGACGCACACAATTTAACTACACGTCATGGCAATGCGTAGTGCAAGAGCTGTGATTGGTCAGAATGGTATCGATGATGGGTCTGGGCGGGTCCAAGAGCCGTAAGGGAGGAGCAAGCCTGGTGGCGCGAGTGTTGAACAAGTGACGAGCTCCAGATGGATACTTTTGGTTAGCGTTTACTTAATGATTCAGTTGTTTCAACTCCAGGTGTGGCATGGTGGCTCAGTGGTTAGCACTGGTCACTGGTTCGAGTCCTGGCTGGGTCAGTTGGCGTTCCTGTGTGGAGTTTGCATGTTCCACCTGTGTTGGCGTGGGTTTCCTCCGGGTGCTCCGGTTTACCTCACAAGTCCAAAGACATGCACTATAGGGGAATTGGATTAACTACATAGGCTGTAGCAAATCAGTGTGTATGGGTGTTTCCCAGTACTGGGTTGTGGCTGGAAGGGCATCCGCTGTGTAAAACATATACCGGAGTAGTGGTCCACTGTGGTTACCCCTGATGGAAAAAGGACTAAGCCGAAGGAAAACGAATACATGAATGTTGCCAGTTCCCGCTTCTTTTTTCCTTGAATGCGTGTGAGTTATGCGCCACGTCAAAGATTGTAGAAATACAGAGACTGTTTACTGACATTACTATGTATGGGGAAAAAAGGAACGCTCAGGATGGCCACCTAGCGATGTAAGTCCCACCTTTTTCTGGTCGAAATAGCTAACTGTCGGTCTTTATAACTATGCTGTTCTGTGGGGGAGGGGTCTGTAGAGATTCGTTTGTTACGCCAAACTCTGTCGTTTCGTGACTACTGTGAGCCTGCGTTAATTTTGACCAGAGAAAAAACATCACATATCGTGTTCTTCCAGTGTTGTCCTTCAGTCTTAGCTCAAGTTTTATCTGTCCTTAAAGTCCACATGAACCGGAAGCTGCGACTGTTTTTTTCGTATTGATACGCGGTTCCTAGAGAAACAGAATATTAAATGAGAAGACAGTGGGCGTGGCTTGTTTTTCCTACTGCGAGCCGATTGGACGTAGTAAAGTAGGCGTTTCATTCAGAAAGGGTTTGGAGAGAGTTAGACTCCTCCTCATTTCTGTTTGTTGTCAAAATTACAGCAAGAGGGGCGTAGTTAAGTATGTTAGCCCCGCCCATTACCTCAAAATCATGCAATCTGACAATTTAACTGAAACAAACAGGAAGTGCATTTTCAAATTTTGATTCAAGATTAAAAAGGGCAAACTACTTTAGTTCTTAATGACATGCACAGATGAATCGCTCACCACAAAACTAGCAATGTGAGCTAAGAAAATCATATGGTTAGTTTTAATTTAATTCGTTCTTTAAAGTGTTTAAAACAGCATCCTGTTGTTACCACGGAACAACTGTAATGTGGCAGGTCAGCTCAGATTTGGTTGTTGATTTGAACTATGTTGTTTTTTTTTTTAGGTAAGCAGATATGGAGATTTTAGAATGGCCCATTCATTTAGACAGGAGTTTGGTTTTGGATGTACTGGCCGAGGGCTTTGCAAATATGGCCGCGGAGTGAGCTAAATGTTGGCTACTTCTACAGTAAATTAGCATTTCACGGATTTCTGGTGTAAACTTAAAACGCCTGTGAAGAAACTCAACACAAAGGAACATAGAAACCTCTGCCAGCTAGCATTTCGGAAGTGTTACTGTCAGAGGAACACAAACAGAACGCAGAAGTATAAATGCATGGCTACATGAAACACATGCGCGGTGGGTTAGGTGGTAAAAATCTGATGACTTCTCATGTCCACGGCAAAGTCAGAAGTTGGACAGGTAGTATTTAGTGTGAACAGAGCTCTTGTGAAATGCTGAAAACACTATTTTAAACTGTACATGTGTAAATGAACAGTGCCACTCTTTATTATAATGGTGCGTTCACACCAGACGCGGAAGAAGCGTCAAGCGCGAGTGATTTATATGGGAAGTCAATGCAAAGGCACGAATGCGGCGCGAATGGTGCGGCACGAATTGACCGTTTTGCGTGTTTACTGTATAGATCAGGGGTCTCAAACTCATTTTAGCTCAAGTTCGAAAATCTGAACTTCAGCAGACATTCGCGGCGCATTAACCAATCAGGAGCTTGCTCTTGTGGGGGCGTGATTATAACGTAGCTCTTGTTGTTGGTGTCCCGAGGGAAAATCCTCCTGCCGACACCGACAACAGTTCATCAAACTGGGCTCTGCTCAGTCAGAAGCACCGCTGAATGCTTCCATCAACCGGGTTAAGTTTCTGGAGGGGTTGATGAAATAAAATCCATGTTAGCCATTTAGCTACAAAGCTACAGTCACTAGGCAGACAGAATTGATTAAGCGGGTTTGATGCGCAAATGTAGCGGATTTGACACGCGAATGACGCAGATTTTGACGCGCAAATGAAGCAGATTTTGACACGCAAATGAGGCGGATTTTGACTTGTAAATGAAGCGGATTTGACGCGCAAATGAAGCAAATTTTGATGCGCAAATTAAGCGGATTTTGACGCGCAAATGAGGCGGATTTTGATGCATAAATGAGGTGGCTTTTGACGCGCAAATGAAGCGGATTTGACGCGCAAATAAAGCTGATTTGTCGTGCAAATGAAGCGGATTTTAATGCGCAAATAAATTGGATTTGACGCGCAAATAAAGCGGATTTTAATGCGCAAATAAATTGGATTTAACGCGCAAATGAAGCGGATTTGATGCGCAAATGAAGCAGATTTTGACGCGCAAATGAAGCAGATTTGACGCACGCGCAAATTAATCGGATTTGTATGCAAATTAAGAGGATTTGATGCACGAAGCAGATTTTGACGCTCAAATAAATCGTATTTGATGTGCAAATGAAGCGTATTTGATGCGCTAATGAAGCAGATTTTGACGCGCAAATGAAGCAGATTTGACGCACGCGCAAATGAATCGGATTTGTATGCAAATTAAGAGGATTTGATGCACGAAGCAGATTTTGACGCTCAAATAAATTGGATTTGACTCGCAAATGAAGTGGATTTGATGCGCAAATGAAGCAGATTTTGACGCGCAAATGAAGCGGATTTGACGCACGGCAAATGAATCGGATTTGTATGCAAATTAAGAGGATTTGATGCACGAATGAAGCAGATTTTGACGCTCAAATAAATCGGATTTGACGCGCAAATAAAGCGGATTTGATGCGCAAATGAAGCAGATTTTGACGCGCAAATAAATCATATTTGATGTGCAAATGAAGCAGATTTTGACGCTCAAATAAATCGGATTTGACGCGCAAATGAAGCGGATTTGATGCGCAAAGAAGCAGATTTTGACGCGCAAATAAATCGGATTTGATGCTCAAATAAAGCGAATTTGACGCGCAAATGAAGCAGATTTTGACGCGCAAATAAATCGTATTTGATATGCAAATGAAGCGTATTTGATGTGCAAATGAAGCAGATTTTGACGCGCAAATGAAGCGGATTTAATGAGCAAATGAAGCGTATTTGATGTGCAAATGAAGCAGATTTTGACGCGTGAATGAAGCAGATTTTGACGTGAATATCTCAACTTATCTGCGCATTCCGTGTCTGGTGTGAGCACAGCATCAAGGGAAGCTCCCATTCCACTTAGCACATGACCAAAACTAAATTACTGAATGTAATGCTCAATGAATCTACAAATTTCTCTCTTCCACTGAGTGGTATGGTTCAATACAGTACAGTATTATTATTGCGGTTATCTCCATTTCCACTGTCAGAAGTAGAGCTGCATGATTAACTGAAATTAAATTGAGATCGCAATTCAGTAAAAGCTGCAGTTCTCATGCATATGACACGGCTCTGTAAACAGCAGTAAAACTCCAAAGGCCAGAGGGCGCTCTCATGTAGAAACTGCAAAAATATTAATGCGGTCAGGAAATCAGAGCAGAGCAGAGGATTTCACTGCTTTTATTGAGTCATTGTGACTAATAAACACACAGATGACAAATGATTACAGAGCTGGCTTTCCTGACAAAATGTGCATGAGGATCGCCTTAAATTAATCATGTAACCATAGTCATAAGTACCAATATATATTAAACCATAGCACTTTTAGATGAGTACCAAGAACAACAGTGTGGTACCAAAGGGTGGAGCTAGACTTGCTGCTGAATGCTGATTGGTTTACAGAGGATAGTCACAGTGCTTGTTATGACCCAAGCACTACTGTCTTGCATGTTATTTGCTCTTAAGTTCACACTGCAGGATTTATACGGATCCATCCTGCAGTATGAGCACAGCAGAAACTGCACACTACACCTCAGATAGTCATGCAATGTGATAACAGCAGCGCTCTGACGATTATAAAAATCATGCAGTGTGACCACTGCATTTTTTTTAATGTTCTAGGTACTGCCTCCTTCCTAGAAGGTCACCTAGCTGTCATCGATATATGACAACACAGCTTTCCTGTCCATCACGCCTTCTGTGGAGACTGAGGTTTAAAAAGCAATGCTGTAGGAAGGAGACAGTATTGTTTTGGGCTGGGGCTGATGGATGTACGTGTTTGTGACCACGTCTGTTGTTTCTACCTCTAGTTGATTAAACTCTGTATTAAAACTGCTCACTTTATCTTTGCCCTAAAACAGAGGTGTCCACACTCGGTCCTGGAGAGTTTAGCTCCAACCCTAATCAAACACACCTGAATCAGCTAATCAAGCCCTTAATAGATATACTAGAAACTTCCAGGCAGGTGTGTTGAAGCAAATTGGAGCTAAAGTCGGCAGGAAACCGGCCCTCCAGGACCGACGTTGGACACCCCTGCTCTAAAATAACCCTCATGTCTTCTTAAAGGGATAGTACACCCAAAATGAAAATTCTGAAAACCGGGGAACCCGAGGAAAACCCACATGAGAACGTGTAAACTCGGCACAGATGCATCGGCTGGCTTGGTAAGGACTAGAACCAGTTATGTTCTTGCTGTTAGGCAACAGTGCTAACCACTGGGCCACCATGCCACCCATCTAGGAAAGAAGGAGGAGTAGGGGTGGAAGGGGGGATTCTTCAAAACGAAGATGGTTGTGATATGGAACTGAGGGTATTTATAGTGGCTTAGGAATCGTCAGATTGGTGAATCATTAATTGAATAATGCTGGACCGGCTGTGATCAATCATAAGCGCAATAATCTTGAAATTAGTTAATAAATAAACTTCACTTTGTGTTCAAAAGAAGAAAATAGGGAAAATCAAACTGGTTTGAACACGTCAAAGGTGAATAAATCATGGCAGAGTTTTAATTTAGGGTGAACTACAGGTATGCCTTTATTTGCTGGAAGAAGTGGAACAGTGTCAGTAAGTCACTAAAGCTCCACATATCTGCACTTTGAGTCTTTTGATGCATTATAAACACTAGTTTAGTGGTTTGCGCTTCTTTTGTTCGTTTTGTTTTTATAGTATGGGTAGTGCGGGATGGGTTTGTTTTTGTAAATATGTGTAAATAGTTGGTTGTTTGGGAGTATCTTTGTGTCTTGTTTTCCTTTTCCACCTATTTTTCTACATATTTTCTAATAAAATTTTCAACTTAACTTCTGTTGGATTACAAAAAAATTGTCACTTGTGCTTGCAACAAGCCAGGAGGACGAAAGCACAATAAGCTCCACTTTAAACCCTTGCGTATTGTCAAAATTGACTACACATATTATGATGGTGGCTGTTTTTGCCTCATTGACTTCAATTTTAATGACATTTTTTGATTGCAAAGCCATGACACCATATGATCACGCATTGGTGGTGGTTTTCCCTGTTGGGAAGAGGTCAAATCAATGACTTAAAAACTATGGACGACGCGACAGCACCTTTTCCCATTGAACGTTTTGAATGCAAAACGCCTCGTGACGGACACAAACTGTCGCAAAACACCGCTGATATTGGAGCCTGGGCATGAGCAGATGGACTGCGCAATGTACTCGTTTAAACTGTCACTGACGGAGATAGAAACGTCAAGTGTTGTCTAGTATTATTATTGGTATCATTTATATCGTGAAATGTGTGAATTAGCCTGTAAGTTTTAAATATATATATATATATATATATATATATATATATATATGCGAATCATTTAATTAGAAAAGTGCCCGTTTATTTATTTAATATATGGAAACAAAAATGCACTTGAATATAGAAAGTGTTTTTTTCTACAGTAAACAGGGCAGTTGAGCCTATTTGGCCTACTCAGTACTCAAATGGCTATCCCTGTCTATGTAATACAGTGTAATACTAGTATATAACTCATATTAAACAAACATTTTAAAGTGTATTACTATTAAACTACTACTTATAAATGTAATTTAAGGCTTTTTTTACTTGATAAGGAGCTGAGCCCCCCTAAAATGAAAATCCTAAAGTCGCCCGTTTAAGATGCGGATCACCATCTTGTAAAAAGGGTCCATAGACTTTTCTTGAAAGGGACTTTGCTTTAACATAATAAAAAAGTAAATATTTAGTTGAACTATCTTAAGGCATTTGCAAGCAATTCATTAATGCTTGCTGTAGCTTGACTCTTTAAGGGTCATCACTAAAAAAGTAACAGCAATATGGTGTTATGTTATATGTTTACAGTTTACTGCCAAAATGCACAGTGACATTTATATGCATTCTTTTTTTATCAATCTTGTAACTATTTATAATCGTCCAGAGTGTATCTGATATAAGTGTGTTTTCCCATGAGCTTCACAGTTTAGTCTTTAAAACTCAACTTTTGCAGATGTTCGTTCTCTTGGTGTTTGCATTTTCTCTAAATTCCTCCGGACTTTTATGTTGGAGTGGAGATGTGACGTCATAAAGCTGCGCCGCTCGCCTGCATCTGTTTACAGACAGAAGTGTTGTGAACTTGTGATTCTGCCTAAAAGAGGTTCGTGATTTTCTCATGATCTAAACGACAAGAGATGCATGAACAATTTGATCGTTGTCACAAGCCACTGTAAATTAGTTATGCTTTATTGATGTATTATTTAACGTCAATGAATGAATACCATGTGAATGAATCGCGTGCACGTTTGGAAAACAAAGCGCGTCTCATTTGTAGCTCGTTATAGGATTATCAGTTTAGCATCTTACAAATTTACTCGCTGGCTAGTGTTCATGGACAACAGCACAGGTTTATTAAACTATGAATGATCTGAACCAAATGGTTCCTTGAACGATTCTTTAACAGTAACTCTTATTGAGGTAAAGTTGGTTGTATGTTCGCACATTCGTTAATTTAACTGTCTCTATATTGTTTACCACGCCATTTTGAATATTCAATCAGAATTAGCATGTGTATGACTTCAAAACAACACCAACACTATCTAGTTGACTGTAAACATGGCTGTACTTTGATAGTCATTGGATGCTAATATGATTTCCCAAATTAGACTTTGCAAAAAAACACTTTTCTGAAAGGATATCATCAAGCAGAATGTCTGAATATCCGAATATAAAACCAACTTTACCTCTTTTTAATGTATGAAGTTAACAAAGTACAAAGATTACATTGTGCAGATTACAGATTAGGAAAAGACAGGGGGAAAACTAAATATACGAAAACTATATATATTATTAAATATATAAATATATTTAATAATATAATAAATATATATGTGTAGAATAAAGACAAAAAGACAAAAGACAAAGTTGTATAGACATTAACAGCACATTTTTACCATTTAAAAAAGACGTATGACCATTTTCAAAACGTAGAAACTATAGTCGATAATCGACTGTAGTCAATGTATGAATGGAAAATATGCCTGTTATAATAAATATATTAATAATATTTCTGAATACAAGCTTAAGTTATAATAACCGAAAACGCTAATTGCTTTCTGACTTAATCCAAAAACTTTAAAAGGCCTATATATTCATGCACAGAAAAACATCTACAGTGGTTTCTTCCATTTTTCAGATCATACTTTTTTTTATCAGTTCATGTATTTGTATTGCATCTATGTAATATTTAAAATACTTTTGAGAGATTCCATGCAAATGTCAACCATGCCATGAAAAAAAATTCAGTTTTCACCAAAATAGAGAAACGGTTTCTACATTTTTTTGTTTACAGTACTTCAAAAATACTCTTAAATGTAATGGTCAGTGTTACAAACTATTATATTTGAATTACCAAAATCACACAAGTGGCAGTTTCACATCCGTCACATCCATAACGAAAAAGTGTCACATCAATAGCAAAGCTTTTTCCTCATATATGCAAAAATGTCAACTAATTTGTTCTATAGTGAGCCAACTCGTTCGTATCTGTTTGATTAGCTTCATTTCTTTGGGTTGTGCATAGGGCTGTGCATAAATATCGATCTATCGCAATAATTTCTTTCACGATAGCGTATCGATAGTTCAACCTGAAGTATCGATTCAAGTTGTGCCAAACAACCTCCTCCTCTGCTCTAGTAGATGTCGCTAACTCGCTATCAACAAACCGCTAGTATGGTATCAGAAGTAAGCGCGGTTTGTGAGAATAAAAGCCTTTGAATATTTTTCCAGACACATTTAGCTGCTAGAAGATAGTCAGGTAACGTTTATATGTTCTTCTTAATGCCAACTGTGTAAATAATCATCGATGAGATGCTTATGATAAGCCGTTGTTTGTTTACGTTCGTGTGCCTGTGAAACCTGCGCCTGCACACGCACATATTATGAACATCTCGACATGCGAAAGTGATCCTGCGAAAGTTGTTCACAATATTGATCATCCACAGAGTTTGTAATTTAGTCAAATGTTTACAAATACAAGAGCAGCCGTTTAAAGCTCATTTGTGGTGAATGATGTCAGAATTTACCGGTATTTTGGAATGGATGTGTGAATGCTCTTTTCCGGAAAATTTCCGTAACGTCCTCGCCTGTGTGAACAGCGCTTTTTTGAATATACCGGTAAAGTCGTTCCGGAAATTTTCCGGATATTTACCGGTATCACTGTGTGAAAGGGGCTATTAACTGCATAGGAGGAATGGGACATCAAATGGAAGGACCTGTCGTTGTAACGAACAACGCGTCAAACATGACCATGGCAGCACAGCTGGCCGGCACGTTGCATGGAAAATGTTTCGCGTGTGCCATCAATTTACCTATCTGCGACCAGTTTTCACTGCAAAATGTTCACGATGCTGTCAGTCGCACTGTCAGTTTCTACTAGCTTACCGCATATCAGAGCACTGTGCTCCAGTTTTGTTTACTTGATGAATTTTAATTTATTTTACTTGCTTTAATTTTTCGAAATGATTTCATTTATACGTGACTTTAGTGGCATATTCATTTTAGCGAAGTGTTTAATAACAATATGCATTTAATTCACCTTATTCTCAGCTGTCGAGCGGGCGCTGCCATTTGAATCTTTTTGTCTCGCGACTTCCGGTCACATTCACTTCCATTCATTTTTTGACGTTAACAACTGCTCGTTACGCTGCTTGATGTTGCAATTTAATATTTTCTTATTATATTATGCTACTTGGTCTGTGTAGTCATGCAAACATTTGTTTGTTGAGCAAGTAGTTTGGCCATTGTCCGCCGTTTATTATTCCTTGTCATTTCTCCCATAGGCGACTGAATCGGAAGTTCTAAGACAATCGCGAAAACAGGCGCACTTCCGCATTTTAGAATAAGGTCAATACAGTTCAGTGAGTTCTCTGTTCATGGATAGAAAACGAATTGGAATTGGAATTTTTATTTGTCTGCTGACTTTGTCAAGCTGTCGATATAACATGACACACATACTAATACAAACTATGTATTAGTTCGTTAAATCGCAATTAGCTTGTTAAATCGCAAATCGAAAACGCAACATCTGTCGAAAATATCGCAGTTAGATATTTCCCCCAAGTTGCACAGCCCTATCGTCCGTGTTGTTTCAGTTTGTTTGTGTTTTGGGGTCTCATTTATAAAACTTTGCCTAGAAACCTTTTTCAAAATGAACGTAATGTCAAAGTAGTTAAAGTAAGTTCAATCAAGTTAAAGTAGTTAAGTCAATGTTCAAGTTAAATATGTTCACTTGTGCCTCATTCACACTAGCAGCGACTTTGTAGATGTCTGACGCTCTGTGTGGCGATCTGCTGCAAACACAGGCCTGTGTAGGTCTACAGCACGGAGAATACAACCTGCCTCTGAGTGAGCCAGTGTTGCCAGATTGGAAATGTCAAAGTATCGTACCCGAACCTCAAAATGATCGTATTTGGAGGACAATTATCGTCAAACGAAGAGTATACAGCTATTATCTAGACAATAGTGTTTTGAAACAACGTTCGAATTACCAAAATACAAAAAAAAACAAAATTAGGCGTACCTTAGTGGGAAGGTTCCAACTCCACCTTCGAGTCGCTGTGCTGTGTGTGTTGCCAGATGTTAAGGAATTCATTTTGGGGGACAAATACATTGTGCTGGTTGGCTTGAAAGCAGGGCACCCTCCTGAATTTTTAACATACTCTGAGGTGTGCATGTGCCTATTCAGAGTATCTGCAATGAGCCGATTTCACGGCTTTGTTTTGATGAGATTAACTTTGGAAAAACGCGTTCACATGACGCGTTTGAATGGGGAAAAACGAGAACATCAAGGGCAGACTCCCCAGTCATTCTCACCTTTAAATTTTTTATTTTTAAAATAATTACATTTTTTAATTAAATTTTTTGTTCTAAAAAAAAAAAAAAAAAAAAAAAAAAAATATATATATATATATATATATATATATATATATATATATATATATATATTTCTTTTGCTTAAATAATCAACCTCAACCTGAAAATGACTGACTTAAGGCTGATTTATACTTCTGTGTCAAACGCCGGCGTATGCTACGGCGCTGACTCATAGCCCTTCGCCGTGGCCGTCGGCGTCGCTGACATGCACCTCTTAAAAATTGTAACTACACGTCGCAACGACGCGTAGCGCAAGCTCTGTGATTGGTCGGCTTGGTAGCGCTGACGAGTCTGGGCAGGACCGAGAGCTGCGCGAATGGTGCGAGCCTGATGGAGCGATTGTTTACAAGTGTGGAGTCCCGTGAAGAAGAAAGTTTTGTTTTGTGTTTACCTCATAGTTAAAGTTGTTGCACGTCCGCCGGTTCCTGCCTCAAAATGAGCGAGTTTAAGTCACTTGTACAACCAGGAAGTGTTCAGGAAAAGCAAAACAGCAGCGAAAAAACTCGACACAGAGGAACATTTACACCTCACTGCCAACTAGCGTTTCGGAAGTGTTAATGCAGACCAACAGAGACAGCGCGCAGAAGTATAAATGTACAGCTACGCGCGTTGCATGCGTCGTGGGTTACGCCAGTCACTTGACGCAGAAGTATAAACCAGGCTTTAAGCACAGCCGAGCGCAGCAGGAATGCTAACTCACGAGAGAACGTCATTCTCCACGTTGATCGGCTGAGAAATGTGACGTAAGATGAGATAGGAAACGTGTCCAACTCCATGTTCCCCTCACAGACAGTAGACAAGAGATGCAGCTAGATCAATAAGTATAGGAGTCCTAAGATTACAATGAAAATCATTTTAAATGCCATAAAATTCTGAAATTATCGTACATTATTGGATTTCTTTCATTATTGATCATATAGAGGTCGAAATTATACAAATTGGATAGTTATTGTATGTTTGACAACACTGGAGTGAGCTGAGAGAAAACCACATGAGCTTTCCTGGTGCTCCTATTGGCTGTCGCTCAAGAAAATCGCTCTGCATTTGCATAAAGTTGAAGGATTTGCAACTTTGTTGCATCACTCCATATGCCCACCTTGTCTGCCACGGTTGTTCGCATAGACCAGGGCTATTCAATTGGCGGGCCGAATCCGGCCCCCGAGGAACTTTGTTCCAGCCCTTCAAACAGTGTGACCAAGACATAAAAATAAATTTAGTTCAGTCGACAAACGGCCGCTATAGTTTTGAAGTTACATGCGTCTGCTCAATAACAGCATGAGCTGCAGTTAAAGGCTGCACAGAGCGTGAGTCATCACAAGCGAGTGGTGCGGGCAGCCGAATGCACTGATATTGATAACAGGGATGCAACGATTAACCGATTGCACGATTAACTGCACTTTAATTCGTCACAGTTTATTAATCAGTAAGTCTTCTCTAAGCCGCATTTCTGTTGCACGTAACGAAACTAATCCACTGCAAATGCCAAGTTGCCTGTGCGCTACTTTTAAGTTTGAAGTACACCGAGGCTAATACACATGCACTTTATTAGCTATAATTAACTGTAAACTAACTATAACTTTTATAACTATAACGATTAACTATAGCAGCGGCCGTTCCCATATCATGCCTTTTCCGCTTGGAAGTTTGTTATTTCTAATGTAAGAATATGACAATATGCGGGCGCCAGCGGGGCGACGCGATTGCATCTTTCTGGGCGCATGCAATCGAGAACATCCCGCGGTGAGAGTTGTGCGTGCCTTTCAGTGCGATGTAAGCAAAAGATATGTTAGACAAATTATTAATGATTATGTATGCACCAATGCAGATGGCAATAACAGTTCATCTAAATAGTGTTACGAATTAAATAAAAAATCCTTAATCAAAAAGAGATGTAACCAAAAACGTAACAAAATAACAGGGATTAAAAAGATAATCCCTGGTGCCCCCGCGCTCTCTCTCCCCAAAATATACCAAAAACACAACCACTGAGAATTAACAAGAAAGTATATGATTTATTTACAGAAATAAGGAGCAAAAATAACATCAGGAGGGGTTCAGCCAAAATAAATGACAATAAAACAAGCTAACTAAATTAGATTAAACTTCCCTAGAAAACAAATAAAATAAAATACAGAAAACTTACCTCCCTACTAACAAACACAGGAGAAAACGAAAATAACAAATAAGGCACCAAACCTCCCTGCATGCTCCAAGCCCGACAGGGAGACAGTAAACCGGGTTTCAATCGCCGGTTAAAAATTAACACAACGGCATCTCAATATACAAGCAAACACTCATGGAATCACGTTCTCCACTGAGAACAAGCGGGGAAAATCGAGAGAGAGCGGGGAGCCATCGAACCCATGTTCTCTGCAGGTTTTTATAGCCGCCGCCAATCATGGTCCGTCCCAACGTAATCCGCTGCACCTGCGAATACTCAGAGTGAGAAAGCGAGAGAGAGCGAGAGAAAGAGAAAGAAAGAGCGCGAGAGAGAAACCACACACAAGCCTACACTACACTACTCGTAACACCTCCCCACCAAAAAGATGCAAACAAGCAGTTTGTATCTACCCAACTAACTTAAACCTCAACTTCAGCACCTTGAACTCTGGACAGCGCATGCGCAACCACATTTTGCGAACCTTTCTTATGCCGTATATCCAAATTAAATTCCTGGACTTCCAAAGACCATCGCATTAATCGCTGATTTGAATTGCGCATCCTATCCAAAAAAAACAAGAGGATTATGATCAGTGTACACACGAATTGGGAACGAACTTCCACCCAAATAAATCTCAAAATGTTGCAACGCTAAAAGTAGTGCTAAAGCCTCCTTCTCGATCCAACTATATCTGCGTTGACATGCTGTAAATTTTTTTGAGAAATAGCACACTGGATGATCAATACCCATCTCACTTTCCCGAATTAGAACAGCTCCAGCCCCAGTAGCAGAAGCATCCACTTCCAATTTAAAGGGACGCTCAAAGTCCGGTGCTGAAAGAATAGGAGCGTTACACAGCAAATCTTTTGCCGCACGAAATGCCTGATCACATGCATCAGACCACACAAAAACTCTTTCGGTGCTCTGAAGATCAGTTAGTGGAGACACAACACTAGCAAAGTTACGGCAGAATCCTCTGTAGTATCCTGACATACCCAAAAATCTACGCAACTCTCTTTTATTCCCTGGCACTGGGAATTCCACAATAGACGCAATTTTTGCAGAGAGCGAGAGAAAGAGAAAGAAAGAGCGCAAGAGAGAAACCACACACAAGCCTACACTACACTACTCGTAACAATAGCTACTTACCTAATATAAAGCTTGAATTTACATTAGACGTGATAACAGTGAAACCAGGATTATTCTTCAGACTATATAATCGTACAACCAAAATCTATAATTGTTGCATCCCAAATTGTTATGCAGTTCAAACTAGGGTTGGGCATCTAAGCTATAATGCCGATCCGATACGCATCTCGATACAAAGAATACGATCCGATATATTAGCGATACATTTGTGACATATTGCGATGCAACACGATACGATTCACACCCATATCACGATACGATGCGATAATTCAGCACTAACTAATTAGATCAAGTTTATGAGATGATGTGAAAGAGGATGCTGTGCCATTGAATGAGTTTGATTATTTATAAACCAAGCAAAACCAAGACTTTTTTTACAAACTGGCTCTTCTCTCAGAGCCAGATTGTCAGTTTACAGTAGAGGGCCATTTTAGAACATATAGCACATATTATTTAAGTATTTTCAAGATAAACAGAATGTATAAGAGCAATATATATTAAAAAAATATGTATATATTTGCACTCTTTCAACATAAATAAATTTAGCATTGCACAACAAGAATTGTGATTTAACTTTTCAACTATGAAAACAAGTTTTACAAAGATATATTTTGCCACTGATTATTCAAAACTTAAGGTTGTGAACTAGCAGTGTTATGCTGCTTTGAAACATCACTGTCACTGTAAACAACAGGCTAATAAAAATATAACAAACCAGCAATCTTCTTGCTGTGAGGTGGTCAAACTACCCACTGTGCCACCGTGACACCCAATTATTTTTATCATTATTATTATTAATATTATTATTATTATTATAATTAAATAAAAATTAACAGGAGGAGGTGTTTAAAACCTTCGTTCTCCGTGACACTAGGCTGAATATCTTTGCAGATGAATAATGCAATAGCATTCGTTATTGGCGTAGAGCGCACAAAACTGTTGCGCACGGAAAAAAAAACTTGCAATGCTTTTCTCACCACTTTTGGAGCTGGTTAAAGCAGTGCGAAAGCCGGGGATGCAGAAACACTGGAAGATGCTTCCACAACAACACCGTAGCGCCGCTTCAAGTGAGATATCAGATTAGTCGTACTGCCCGCGTATTTTACAGATGCGCGGCACATTTTGCAAATTGCATCTGTCCTGTCATGTCGTCCATCCTTAAATCCATAATGTTGCATGCCATACTTTAGATTTAAAACTCAGTGGGGAATATGTTTGTTTTGCTTCTCGCGCTTTCTGAGGGCGCACCACTAGCTTCATCCGCACACCTGATACACTGAGTTGTAGTGAAAGTGTACACATCCGCAAATCCGTTGCTAAGGCTTACTTTATGTAGGTCGATTAAATTATGCGCCAAAAACAGGTTGACAACTCTTGTTAATAAATAAAAAATACATTCTATATTAAAAATATAAGCTGTATCTCGGAAAAATCGATGCATCTCGCAAAAACCGATGCATCTCGATTTGCTTCCAAAATTTCATTCATCCTCTGCTGCTCAACCGATGCACTCGCATCGTGCACGCGCATGACCGCGTATCGATACATATCGGTTAATCTTCCCATCCCTAGTTCAAACATATGAATGTGTCTGAAGAAGCCTACTTCAGCAATGCACTGTTTTTGTTGTGCTCTGAAATACAACATTTGAACGTTTTTTTTTTTTAAAAAGTCTATTGTAGAAGGCAGTAATATTATGTAGTTTCAAAATACAATATATTAACATTTTAATGTAGAAAAAGCCAACATGGGTGTCTTAAGGAGCAAAAATATACAGCATATGGGCTCTTATATGCTGTTGTGTCATCACTCATAGCAAGTCATGTCTCTCCGGCCCTTCGTTTGGGATGCTTATCAGGAACCGACCCCCATGACAAACTAATTGAATAGCCCTGGCATAGACGGTCGCCGGAAGTTGCTTGCTCTCATTTGAAATGAATGATCGCTCGTAGTGTGAATGAGGCTTTGGTCTTTGTGTTTTTGCGCTGCAGAAACATGAGCGCTGTTCTAAAAACGCTGAGCTGTAAGCCTTTTTTGCACCGCAGCATTTTATTATTATTTTTTTTGACGGTTGCAATGATACAGAGTAACCCCTCTGTACTAAAGTCTTCAGCAGATTACACCCATTGCTGATGGTAAAACGCATGCTCAACCCCTCACTACATTGCATGCGATTAAAAACGCGGCACTACCATTGACAACAACAGAAAACAAACGCTCAGTTCGAGAGGAAAACAAAACACAACGCTGGACACTCTACTGTCAAGCAGGTTTTGTTTATAAATAACAACCTTTGGATGGAAGATAGCGTACAGACATTTCCACCGCCATTTTGTGCGTACGCCATGTTTATAAATGAGTCCTCTGGTTATGAACACTCAAACTGACTCTCTTACTATTTACATTTAGCAGACGCTTTTATCCAAAGCGACTTACAAATGAGGACAAGGAAGCAATTTACACAACTATAAGAGCAACAATGAATAAGTGCTGTAGGCAAGTTTCAGGTCTGTAAAGTCTAAGAAGGACAGTATTAGTAATATTTTACCAAGACTGCTGAACCAGGGAGCTGATTAATGAACACCCCGAGATTTATTCGGGTATTTATTTTTCATTTACAGAGCAAGAAGCGACTGATTATAAAGATGGCGTTCATTAAAGAGGAGAGCGAAGACGTGGAGATTGAGGAAACACTGAACGTCAAACAGGAAGAAACTGAAGAGCAAATAGGTTGGTTTTTCATTTGCAAAACACATTTAATTCTCAAATGTACACCTTAAAATGTACAGAAGTTTATTTTCATAAAGCGTCATATCAGTGTTTTAACTGAAGCAGCTTTATTTGACATGGAATGGGTTGCATATAAAACAATTCTGCTGTCTAGTACCTTGGTGACAATGCGGACTTATTGATTCAGAATTTGTCATCTGTGATTATCACACGTTAAAAACATGCAATCTCACTGTTGTCACACATTGCAAGGGCATTTTTATTTATCATAAAATATAAATAGCTAATTTTAGAAATATGAGCTCAGTATTTTCCTTTTTCGTATTTCGATTTTTAAAAACAGAGAGAGGTTTACAAAATCATCTTCACTGCTTAAAGACACAGCATCTAGCCTTGTGGTAAATATCGTGATTATATTGTATTGTTAAAGGTCCTGGATGTAAAATTGACTCTTCTAAATCATAAAAACCATGCTAACATAAGAAACATGCTAAGTGAACACACTTGTTTGTCTGAAAAATAATGCTAATGTCAGTTATTCTGCTTTGAAAATAAATGTGCACTGTGTCAGAACGGCTGTCTTCGTTTTGGTCTCTATAACCAGCCCACTGCCAGTTTACTCAATTATATTCAAGCAACCTGAGTTGCCTTGGTAGAAAGCTTAGTGCATTTGTGGATAACGTGGCCTCTGGACAGTAACAGCCTTTAAAATGAGATGCAGATTCAGAGGTATAAATATCCACATAGGGTTGTTTTCTCCCTTTTTTTAATTTGGACTGCAGTACTCAGGTCAATCCTACATACTGCACCTTTATTACAATATTGAGATCGTACCTAGAGTTCAGTAACAAGATGTGTTTCTACAGACACACATGGTGCAACTGTGCAACCAGGGCCGGCGCGCCCACAGAGGCGACCTAGGCGGCCGCCTAGGGCGGCAGTATAGAGAGGGCGGCGTCTGCGACACCTCCCTTACCACCTGCGTCCTTAGTTATGTCCGCGACACCTCCCCTGCGTCCTCAGATATATTCGCGCATAGACGATAGAATAGAGAGGGCGGCGTCAGCTTCACCTCCATCAGCACCCGCGTGTCCTCAGTTATATCCGCACATAGGGCAGCAGAATTGAGGTCCGCGACACCCACGCGTCCTCAGTTATATCCGCGACACCTCCCCCGCGTCCTCAGATATATTCGCGCATAGACGATAGAATAGAGAGGGCGGTGTCAGCGTCACCCCCATCAGCACCCGCGTGTCCTCAATTATATCCGCGCATAGGGCGGCAGAATTGAGGTCCGCGCGTCCTCAGTTATATCCGCGCATATGGCGGCAGAATAAAGAGCGCATTGTCCGCGACACCTCCCTTCCTCAGCACTTGCGCATCCTCAGTTATATCCGCGCATAGGGCGGCAGAATAAAGAGCGCAGTGTCCGCAACACCTCCCTCCCTCAGCACCCGCGCTTCCTCGGTTATATCTACGCATAGGGCAGGAGAATAGAGAGGGGGGTGTCCGCCAGTCCGCGACACCTCCCTCCCTCCCTAAGCACCCGCGCGTCTTCAGTTATATCCCCGCATATAGCGCCAGAAAAGAGGTCCGCGACACCTCACTTCATTTTCATAACCGGTCACTTTCGTTTTCACATTGGGGTTGAGGGCGGCGTGATCGTCCTCTGCCTAGAGCGGCAGTTCAGCTTGCTCCGGCCCTGTGTGCAACAACCTGAGTTTGATTCCAGCATCTAGTCTTAACTCATGCCATTCCACATTTGATGTCTCAACCTATAATCTTTTCGTTTCGATAGTTTGTGCTAGCTGATTTAGAAACATTTTCCAGGCTGTAGGGAAATATACAATAGTTAAACATCAGCTCTCAGCTAACCATTTAGAAAGAGAAAAGCAGAGGACCTAATACTGATCCCTGCAGAACTCTGTGTTGTGAGAAATTTAGTGAAGTAAAGAGGCAGATAGATCGATTTCTTTTAAAAATAAATCATAAAGTGTCGAACAAAAGCTTGTGGTCTGTTGTCTAATAGTGATGGGTCGTTCATGAACGATTCGTTCATTTTGAACGAATCTTCAATATGACTCGGGAACTACGAGTCCTGACATGGAGTGATTCGTTCATCTGCGCGTGCGCACATTTGTGCAGGTATCGTTAATTTCAAGTCTTCGTCACATTGGCAGAAGCCAATCATATGCATTTTAAGCCGGAAAAAGAATTGATCCGCTCACCTCTCGAGTCCTCGATCGGGTCTGAGGTACTCGTTCATCACGAGCCAATCATACGCGTTTAGAGCCGCAAAAAGTTTCGATCCGTTCATCTCTCGAATCCTCTATCGGGTCTAAGTCACTCGTTCATCACAGGCCAATCATACGCGTTTAGAGCCGGCAAAAAGAATTGAACCGTTCATCTCTCGAGTCCTCGGGTTTGAGTCATTCTCTCATGTGATGAACGAACGATCATGGCTCCTATCGGCTTAGACTGTGCATTGATTAGGATTATATGTGACTGTCAGTGTAACGTAAATGGATTTGAAGACATGAAGAGGTGAGCTGAGCAAAGAGACAACAATATCTTCGTAGACAAAAGAGCAGGTAAACATTGAAGTATTATTTTCTCCTTCTTATATTCTACTTATGACTTATTTGTCATGTGATTAACCTTTTGGGTTAGTTGTAGATGTGTTTGGAAGCAATTCGTAACATTTTAATAATATTTTTGGCAAATTGAACCAAATGAACGAAATGACTCGAAAAAAGATTCGTTCATCTTGATAAACGAGACTCGAAGATCCGAGTCAGTAAAATGATCCGAACTTCCCATCACTATTGTCTAAAGATATAATGGCATGTTTAGAAATATGTTGCTAATCGTTAAAAGCCGAAAACACGTTAACTCAAGAGCAGTACTGTATTTACAATTAAATCCTGACAGATTTTCTTCCCAAAAATACAGATTCTCTGGAAAACTGAACATAGTTCTGAGTCCGATTTAATGTACTCAGAACAATGTATTTAAGTCATAGGCCTCGAACTGGATTCCTGGAGGTCCACAGCTCTGCACAGTTTTGCTCCAACCCTAATCAAACACAGCTAATCCTAATAATCAAGGTGTTCAAGACTACTAGAGACTATTCAGCAGAAGTGAGTTGGAGGTGGTTGGAGATAAACTATGCAGAGCTGCGGCAATCCAGGAATTGAGTTTGAGACCATCGAATTGAGTAGTCCTCCTAAGGCATGAGTCTCAAACTCAATTCCTGGGGGGCTCCAAACTTAATCAAACACAGCTGATCCAACTAATCAAGGTCTTTTAGACTACTAGCGTCTAGTAATCTTGAACACCTTGGCTGCATCCGAAATCTTATATTTTATAGTATGATAAAAAGAGTTTGCGTGAAGAGCTCGAATGACCGACTACTTCCGGTGAGATTTGAGACCTATGCCTCAAGGTCAAGTGATTATTATAAGTTTTGTTTTGAATTTAGCTATAAAAAAGCAAAGAAGATCTGCCAAATACAGGTAACAGGTTAAGACCATTGGGTCTTTATTTGTAGAAGCTTGAATTAGGGCTAGACGATTAAACAAGTCGAAAATGCTTAAGTGCTTTGTACCATTAAATTTGGGTTATTTTGTTTTTGTCTCTTCTTGCCTTAGACCTGAAGGTGCTTAAAGTGGAGAGCAAAGTTCTTGATGAAGTGGAAGAGAAATCAGAGTCTGAACAGACAGCAACTATAAATAACTTCGTCTGCCCACAGTGTGGAAAGAGTTTCGCAAAGAAAAGAAACCTTAAGGAGCACATGAACATTCATAGTGGGAAGAAACCTTTCAGCTGCAAACAGTGCGGACGCAGGTTTGCTCAACGAGGAAACATCAAGAGGCACATGATGGTTCACACCGGAGAGAAACCGTACGCGTGCAAACTGTGTGAGAAGAGCTTCACAACTGAACTAAACCTGAAGTATCACATCAGCAGTCACACCGGAGAGAAACCGTTCATATGTGGCGATTGTGGAAAGACCTTTAGATACAAAGCAACCTTTAAAAAACACATGGCGTCTCACTTAAAGCAGAGCAGTTTTGAGTGTCATCAGTGTGGACGCAGTTTCACAGACCAGGAAAGTCTTGGGAATCATGTCAAAACTCACACTGGAGAAAACCCATTGATGTGCGGTCACTGTGGAAAGACTTTCTCCAACAAAACAAACCTCCAGGTTCACACGAGAGTTCACACGGGGGAGAAGCCGTTCAGCTGCCCTCAGTGTGAAAAAAGCTTCAGATTCATTGGAAACCTTCAGACTCACCTGAGAGTTCACTCGGAAGAGAAACCTTTCACCTGCCCTTACTGTGAAAAAGGTTTCAGGTTTTTTGGAAACCTTCAGTCTCACGTTCGAATTCACACCGAAGACAAGCCTTTCATGTGTCTGCAGTGTGATAAGAGTTACAAGAATAAAAGAGACTTAAAGTGGCATCAGCAAAGTCATTCTGGAGAGACTTTGCCATGTCCCTCAGTGTAACTGTCGTAAGAATAATGAAGAACACCTAAAGATACACTTTAGATAACCATGTATCCTTGAGACCATGCTGGAATTTTGGCCAGGATGCTAGGGTTAAACTCATAGCCACAGAACCACAGAATAACCATAGAACATTTAACGTCTCATCTGAAAGACAGTGCTCACTGAGCAGTATAGACTCCCCGTCACTATACTGGGGCATTAGGACCTACACAGACCGCAGGTTCGGCGCCCAATACTGGCTTCACTAACACCACTTCCGGCAGCAACCTAGCTTTCCCATGTGGTCTCACATCCAGGTCTTGACTGGGTGCAGCCCTGCTTAGCTTCAGAGGGCGACCACTTAAGAGTTGCAGAGAGTTAGCTGCCGGATGTACAGTTCCGCTAGAGCTCAATGCCACAGATCTAAGTGAAATTTCGAGAGGATCATGTGCCTATGATCGTTCATGGCTGGTCCCGCATCAGCTTATGATTGATTCTCCAATCAGATAATTCCTAATTCACTATAAATAACCAGAGTTTTGTATTTCAGTATCTTTGTTTTAAAGAATCCTCTTTACCCACCCCTACTCCCCTTCCTTTCTAGATGGGTGCCAAGGTGACCCAATGATTAGCACTGCTGCCTCAAAGCAAGAATGTCTCTGGTTAAAGTCCCTACTAAACCAGTTGACATTTCTGTGCAGAGTTTGCTCATTCTCCCCGTTCTTGCATGGGTTTTCCCAGAGTTCGCAGTGAACATACCAAAATTGACACCATAGTCAAGATCTTAGCAAGCCGTATATCTCTGCTTAGCCATCCTTATATCTGTCATTAGCTAGAAATAAGAAATGCGTTTCTTCGAGAACCACCTGAGCTCAAACTCCCCTCTCGCCCTGCTAATGGGTGGCAGCTCAGGGCTCAAGGATCTCATAAGCTAAGGACTCTCTTCCGGTACAGCATGCCAAACTAGCTTCATCGTCAGCTAAGTGTTTAGTCTTAAAAACAAGGTGTGGGAAGATTGTCAACACGCCACATAAATGTATACGCAAAGAAGGTGTACACTATTATTTCTGCTGTTGTACTGCTGCCATGTTGAGGAGACACCGAGAGTTTCATTGAGAAAGCAAAACTACATTGTTTGTAAAATAAAATATAGTGTTCTCGAATCAAACTGTGTTAATGCATTCCATTACACCAAACAATAATTTTAGCAACGTCACATGACTCTTTTAAAGCCCTGGTATACTTCAAACTAAGCTTGTCGTTCTTCATTTGACTGCAAAAAGAAAGGCTGAGTAATAGTATAATGTTTACGAACACTCTGACAACCCCATGCCGCAGTAGGCTGTGTTGTAAATGTGTCTCGCTGCTGAGACAGAGGAACAGTTTTTCTGTGGCTTCTCCGGGGGGATCCCGAGGCATTCCCAGGCCAGCTGAGAGACATAGTCCCTCCAGCGTGTCCTGGGTCTTCCCCGAGGCCTCCTCCTGGTGGGACATGCCTGGAACACCTGCCTAGGTAGGCGTCTAGGAGGCATCCAAAATAGATGCCCGAGCCACCTCAGCTGACTTCTCTCGGTGGAGGAGCAGCGGCTCCACTCCGAGCTCCTCTCGAGCGTCAGAGCTCCTCACCCCATCCATAAGAGTGCGCCCTGCCACCCTTCAAAGGAAACTAATTTTGGCCGCTTGTATCCGAGATCTTCTCCCTTCAGTCATGACCCAAAGCTCATAACTATAGATAGGTGAGAGTAGGAACATGGATTGACCGGTAAATTGAAAGCTTTGCCTTCCAGCTCAGCTCCTTTACCACAACAGACCAGTACATTGACCGAATTACTACTGCCGCTGTCAATCTTACGTTTTCGAGAGGGGGAACGATGGAGCATCACAACTATACAGTGATTTTATTTGCCTGAAAAAACTCTCAATAGTGCAACTGTTGTGTACCAAGTCCTAGAAAAGGTGGGGTTGTCTTCTGGTGTGACACAAGTATATTTCTCCGCAAGCGATTGCACAGGTGCAGATACATCTGTACCAGCTCTGCTATTTGACTCTCCAGTATTCCATGTCTCTAGTTTTGTTGTTTTAGATGTTGTTCTCCTTTCTGAACCCCGTGGAATGAAAAACGAATCAGAGGAACAAATCACACATCAAAGAAGGCAGAGTTTCAGAACTTTGTGTAATTGTCTCGGACTAATGGCGGCTCAAAAGTGCTCTTTAGTGAGCCGAGTTCGCTTTAGTGAGCCATTTCAAACTGCTGAAACAAACTCAAAACGAAAGTCATTTTGGCCGGATTTTGTCAGAAATTACGTCATTTTTAGTTTGTTTCCTTGATGTTGTTTAAAATATGCCAGAGCCTGTAGGATTAGGATTTGTTATCTGTATGTGACAACCCCAAATCATTAAAAGTTGAAACAGTATGAAAAACGGGTTGAAGGGTACCGAGACCACCTCTTTATTTTTTGGTCCCCTTTTGGTGCGCACTCGAGTGCGATTGCTACATTCACACCTGCCCAAACGAACGACACCAAGAGGAAACTTGAACTCTAGTGCGATTCAACCGAACTAAATAAGGCAGGTGTGAAAACACCCTTAGCAAACTCAGCTACAATATCATTAGAGTCTAGCTCCTTGACCAGCTGAGATTCAATGGCCATCAGTGACAGTGCACTGAAACGTTGCTGTGTTTGTGTTGTTCTGAGTTCATGGTTAATTCTTGCCATCTGTGATCTTTCTCCTTCACAGTTTGTAACTGGCAATGTTACAAAAAAAAATAAACATAGAGCTACAAACACATTGGGGAAAGTTGACTGCAGGCTGTGTTTCAAGAGCGCCTGCAGCAGTTTCTGAGGAGACTTATCTAGCTCAATTTTTACAAAGCATCCGAACTAGATAATTTCATCTGCAAGGTTCTGATCTAAATCAGAATTATAGGAAGCGCAGAGTGCATCAGCCTGTTTAGAAACAGTGGGCAAATCCTCAGTGTCCCATTTTTAAGAATGTTCTGGTATGGATCAACTCATCAATGTGTGCTAAACGCCTGACTAGCTTGTCAATAAATGTTCTAAATGTAACGGAGGCCAGCTAGTGTGTGCTGTGCAGGTAAACCTCACTCCTCTGACCTCTAAAGGTGCTCTAGTGACAGACGCTAGAGGCCTCCTTGGTAGAGCGACCGACTCCCATGCGGAAGGTTACCGGTTCGATACCAACTCGGAGCGGGTTGAGTGGCATAGGACCAGCAGGGTTACATTGGTGCCGTGACCCGGATGGGAGTGAGGTTTAGGGGGGTGAGTGTAACGGAGGCCAGCTAGTGTGTGCTGTGCTGGTAAACCTCACTCCTCTGACCTCCAAAGGTGCTGTAGCGACAGACGCTAGAGGCCAGGGTTTTTAGCCTCCTTGGTAGAGCACCCGACTCTCATGCGGAAGGTTGCCGGTTCGATACCAACTCGGAGCGGGTTGAGTGGCGTAGGACTGGTATGGCCGACACACACCAGGAACTTTCTTCACAGACCTTTTAAAAATCGACAAATTGATCCTAAAGTGATACAAGCCATGATCTCAAACACTCAAACTGCAGTCATCAGATCCATGTCTGGCTTTTGTAATGCCTCACTTGTCACTTTGAATCTGCTTCAGACACAGTTTTGAGCTCGATGCTGCTGCCTCCATGCATGTTTCACGGTTCTCTCCTGTATTAGAGGACATGCTAAGTACATAATTCCCACAAAGGGCTTTAGATGCATCTGCACGGCAACTCCAACGTGTTAATGACAGTGATTTCAACGTCTACCTTGATAACTGCATTGTTGAATCTATGAGTAGAACTTACACAAAATGCATGTAAGGACTGCATGAGATCAATGAACTTGCTTGCATGTTGGCAGCAGCCTTCTATACTATTTACCCCCTACCAAATTGAGTGAATGTGCTGCGCATTGAATGTAATGGATTAAAGGATTTTTGCTCTACATATGACCCTGCAGCCCAATATATCGCCCTAACATATTGTTTGCATTGTCGTATACCTGGTCTCTGCAGTTCGCTATATCTAAAGCTTTAACTGTCAAGCATAGTCACTACAGTGTCAGCCCTGTGTGACTCTCAATTGGTTCAAAACCGACGAATCGTTCAAATATTTTCCCCTCTTTGCTCACAAATCTAAAAATGAATGTGAGCTGGTCAGTATGTGACAGGTCAGGAGTCCACTATCAGAGAAAAATACTTTGCCCGCTGTGTTTAGCTTTCACTTTGTCGCCCATTTGCTGAACCAACTCCTCGGATATAGTTGATGAAAGATGGAAAGTAAAGGATCACTCTGAAAAATGACTTCCAGAATGCCAAGAATGTTACCAGTGTGCTAAAAGGCAGTCCTCTCTCAATTTAATGACAGCCACAACTGGCTTGAGCACCTCACGCCAATAACGCTTTTCATCCTGTAACTTTTGTACTAGTTTAGCGTTTACGGATCCACTGCCAGACGAGCGCTGAGGTAATGCTAACATGCAATAGTGTTTTCTCATGCTCACGTTCTGGGTGTTTCCAATCAGGAAAACCATGTGTAAATTGATTTTATTTGTTTAAAACAAAAGCATACAAGCAAAACAAGAAAATACTACCTGCAGAGGGTGAGGATGTGGCCCTGTAAACTTTTTCTCCCTTTGGGAGTTTGCAGTGAAGCTAATCGTTAGCAAGGGAGCACACTTTGCCTCCCAAACCTCCATCACCGGTTGAGCTTGGATATTTGTTCTGCCTATTGTAGACCGAAAGAGGCCCATGATCGATCAGGATAGAGCGAGGATCATCGTTAACTACCCACCACAAAGCAGAGTGAGACACATGATGAGCCAAGTCTGCACTGCCGCTGCTCCCGCCACTTCAGCTAGCCTCAGCCTCATGTTGTGCTGCGCTGCCGTTAGCCTCCTGCTCCTCTGTCTGTCTTTGTCTTGGTCCCTTTAACCAGGGATATGCAGATCGATCCTGAAGTATCAATATTTTCGATACTGGGAATGTTTCAAAAGGATTGATCCTTAAGTAAATGTATCAATCTTTTCTGGGGGGTTTTCTTACTGAGTGATCAGAGATTTTAGGATATCTCAACACTTATAGCGCAGCATATTATAAAAATATTTACTTAAATAGGAACACGACTGGGAACTTGAATATTCTTCCGCCGTATCTCCGCTAACAGGTCAGCGTTAGCTCATGGCACAGTACAGACACCACGCTGAGGAGAAAGTAGTTTCCCGAAAGCAAGACTAATTAATTTGGCGGAGAAATCATGAGCAAACATTCCCTGCTTTTAGCAAACTAGCAAAAATAAATAAATAACTTGGGATCACTGCATCATCTGTCCCTTTTAGAGATTTTTTTTCCAAAGGAGGGGAGTTGATCAGTCAAAGAAGAAACAAAAGATTTTGATTTGAAGAAAAACAGGCTCAAAAGGACGGTCAACAATATTTTTTTTTCATAAAATAAAGCGTTAAGGGGAAGATTTCTTATTAATTAAACAAATGTTTGTGTTGTGTATTATTTTTAGTTATATATGGGGCTATTTAGCCAATACTAGTACTGTAATTTTAATAAATGTAAAAAATCGTGTGTCTTGTGTTTGATTTAATAATAATAATAATAATAATAAAGGGGATTTTTTTAAAATCATTATAAAATATTTCATTTAAGTATTGATATTGATGATACTCGTCTTGAAATATTTGTATTGCCCATCCCTACATTTGACCCGCCCAATGCCAGTTTAGCCAATTATATTTCAACACCCCTTGCCTTGATGGAAAACAGCGCATACAAATCAATCTCAAATATTATAATTGAAAATGAATCAAAACCCTGCTGAAAAATCCAACTTAAACCAGCCCAAACTGGTTGGCTGGTTTAAGCGGGGTTTTGGCCACTTCCAGGCTGGTTTCCAGCTATTTCCAGCCTGGTCTTAGCTGGTTCGGTTGAGGGTTAGACCATCCTGGTTTAAGCTGGACATGGCTGCAGTTTTAGCTGGTCATCTCCCAGGCTGGAAATTGCTGAAAACCAGCCTGGAAGTGGCCAAAACCCCTCTAAAACCAGGCTGATCGACCAGCTAAAACCAGCCAACCAGCCTAGGCTGGATTTTTCAGCAGGGAATGTAATTATATAAAAATATCACTAATTTCTTGATCCCTAAAACTATGCATGCTAGCCTAAAACCAGTAAAATAAAATATAAATCTACAAACCTTAAACATATCAATGTCATTTTAACTAGTAAACAATGAATTATATAAAAACCATATCCTGAAAGACAAAACTGATTTTTCTGTGCATCGATTTGATTGGGCTGTTACGGCTGTAAGTCAATAATATTAAATGAACAACTAGTTTAATGTCTAAAACATTCTTGTAGGTGATCCGAGAGAAGCTGTGTGGATTCCTATTTGTAGAAAGTTTGTAGTAATTCAAAAGTTCATATATTGTACAAGAGAGATAAAACAAACGAACTGCCCGCATCATAATGTAATTTAAGGACTGTAAATAAATAACTTTCCTGATGCACGTCTTGTAAATGTCTTTCAACTGTTGAATTTGTAATCCCCCTAAATATTAACATTGTTTCCCACACAATTAAAAAATACATTTGAAGGTTGTTTAAGATGAGAAGTGGACTACTTTCTGTAATGTATTAATATTCAATTGATTATTGGATGATCATCTATTAATAGAAATGTCCTTGATAAATGTAGCTTTGCATAATTATGCACCAGTTGAAATGCTGTTTATTATTAACATTTTTAGTTATCTAAATTGTCAGTTTAAGTATTCTAACACAGAGTATCTTATATTAGTTTATTAAACGTTTTAAATTGTCTTCTAAGTACAATAATACAGCTTTTTCCCTCTCTGAACTTGTGACGGAGACGTGATGTGACGTCATCAGGCTGCGCCGCCCTCCTGCGTCTGTTGTTGTTGCTGAAGGTTTGTTTTTTAATATTCAAGGTTTGCAAAGCAAAATGCTTACTCGATATATTACTGTTTTCACAGGCGATTCTAAATTAATTATGCATTATTGAACGATACATCGTAATACTTTATCTATCAGCCATGAAGCGCATCCAAACGTGTAAACAGCAGAAAGTGCGTCTCATTTCGATCCTCTTTTAGTCTATAATTAATTATAATAAACACTCGCTGTTTGTCGAGCAGTGATGGAGAAACAGCTTTATGAAACTATTCAGGTATTCTGTATTCTGTAAATAAATACATTAATCTCCCCAACACTGTTCATTTACAACATTTAATTAAAACATTTGCCTTTTTTCATCGGTCAACAATAAAACAAACAAACAAAAGGTTAAATCAGAATCTCGGGTAAAGGCATAACCTAACCCCCTTCCGATCATTTTCCCTCCGGTGGGCCAAATCAAAGGACACAACGGGCAAACTTTGTCCCGTGGGCCATAATTTGGGCATCACTGATCTAATAAGCAGGTTTAGAAATGTGTAGCTAATAATTAGTTTAAACCCATCATCGGTTTCAGTAAGCACAACTTCTATACTGTAATGGCGTTTAAATCTTTACACGTTCCGATTCTCTGAAAATGTGAACATAGCGTTCAATGATTTCCACTTTTTGAGGCAAATTTGTTGATTGTCTATACCAGGGGTGGTCAAACTCAGTCCTGGAAGGCTGCTTTCCTTCAGATTTTAGCTTCAACTTGCCTCAACACACCTGCAAGGATGTTTCTAGAAAGCCTAGTAAGATCTTGATAAGCTAGCCTAGGTGTATCTGATTGGGGTTGGAACTAAACTTTGCAGAACACCGGCCCTCCAGGACTGAGTTTGGACACCCCTGCTCTATAGTTTATCTTTGTGTAAGCTGAAAACGTGTTTGCCAGTTTAAAAAGTATTCGGGAAATGGCCTAAAAGGGTCTAGCTAACGTACGTTTGTCTTCATATTTCAGTTGCCAATAAATCAGTTACCTTTTATTCGTTTTCTTCTGTCTTAGACCTGAAGGTGCTGAAAGAGGAGAGCGAAGTACTTGATGAAATGGAAGGGAAATCGTTTAGCTGCTCAGAGTCTGAACAGACGGCAGCTCTATATAAGTTCATCTGCACACAGTGTGGAAAGAGTTTCACGAAAAAGGGAACTCTAAAAAGCCACATGAGTGTTCATACGGGGGAGAAACCGTTCATTTGCCAGCAGTGTGGGTGCAGTTTTGCTAAAAAGGGAACTCTTAAAGGCCACATGAGTGTTCACTCTAAAGAAAAGCCGTACACATGCTTGCAATGCGGTAGCAGCTTCACTCAAAAAGGAAGCTTTAACAGGCACATACGAGTTCACACCGGAGAGAAACCTTACACCTGCCAACTGTGTGAGAAGAGCTTCACAACTGAACTAAACTTTAAGTATCACGTCAGCAGTCACGCCGGAGAGAAACCGTTCATATGTGGCGATTGTGTAAAGAGTTTCAGGCACAAAGCAACCCTTGACAAACACATGACGTCTCACTCGAGAGTGGACAGTTTTGTGTGTCATCAGTGTGCACGCAGTTTCAAAGACCAGGAGAATCTGAGGAATCATGTCAAAACTCACACTGGAGAAAACCTATTGATGTGCGATCACTGTGGGAAGATTTCCTCCAACAAAACAAACCTCCAGGTTCACATGAGAGTTCACACGGGGGAGAAGCCGTTCGGCTTCCCTCAGTGTGAAAAAAGCTTCAGATTCATCGGAAACCTTCAGACTCACCTGAGGGTTCACAATGGAGAGAAGCCGTACGTGTGTCTGCACTGTGACAAGAGTTACTCGTACCAAAGAGACCTGAAGCGACATCTGGAAACTCACTCTGGAGAGACTTTGTCGGGTTCCTAAGTGTTGTAAAAGGTTATTCAAAAAAAAAAAAAGTACTACTTTTAAAATCTGCTCATTCGCTTGGAGAAAGGCAAACTGTCAGCAAAAACTTGCCATCACCGCTATATTTTTGTATTCTTTGTGTGGCATTTTAAACAACTGTGCAATAGGGATGGGAAGTTCTGATCATTTTACTGACCTTTGAGACTTCTAGTATTAGAGATTGAGTATTTTTTTTTTTAGCTATTTCATTCAGTTTTCCAAAATAACATTAAAAATGTTTAAAAAATAGTTTCTGCCAAACACATCTACAACACAAATGTTGATCACACTACAAAAAAAGCCATAACTTGAATGCAATAGGAGAAAATAATCATTCATTGTTTGCCTCTGTCAATTTAGCTCAGCTCCTCTGACAAGTCTTCAAGTTTGAGTAGTGTTCACATGACACTGACCGTCCCATATAAGCTTAACCAATGCACTCAGTCTGAGCTGGAACGACGCAATTTTCCCTTGGGCCTTTTGTTTTCTATTGCCATGCCTTGTCTTTTCTATTGTCAAGAGTCTTCAAGGCCTTGCCCGAAATTCCTCTTTGGTAAATATTGAGCAAACTTACCTTAGTTCTTACCTTAGTTTCGAAATTACTACTCATTAGTGAAGGGAGAATCAAAGCTTTAAAACAAGTGAAGTTCATTTATAAACTAATTGCCAGATGATCACATGCTTATGATTGACCACGGCTGCTAACATACGATTTACTAATCAGACGAATCCAAACATGCATAAAAAAACTGATTTTCTTACCTTAAGCTGTGCCCTGCTGAAAAAAACAGCTAAAACCAGCCTAAGCTGGTTGGCTGATCTTAGCTGGAAGTAGCTGGTTTTAGCTGGTCTCCCACCCAGCCAAAACCAGCCTAGCCAGGCTGGTCTCTCAATCTGACCAGGCTGGTTTTAGCTGGTCTCTCATCCTGGCCAGGCTGGTTTTAGCTGGTCTCCCAACCTGGCTAAGCTGATTTTAGCTGGTCTCCCAGCCTGACCAGCTAAAACCAGCTAAGACCAGCCAGCCTGACAAGCTAAAACCAGCCTGACCAACTAAGACAAGCTAAAAAGTGACCAAAACCCCTCTAAAACTAGCCTGACCCGCTAAAGCCAGCTAAGACCAACCAAGACCAGCTTAAAAGTAGCCAAAACCCCTCTAAAACCATCTAAGACCAACCTGACTAACTAAGACCAGCAAAAAAGGGACCAAAATCCCTCTAAAAACAGCCTGACTAGCTAAGACAAGCTTAGATCAGCTAAGACCAACCTGACCAACTAAGACTAGCTAAAAAGTGCCGGAAACGGCTCTAAAACCAGCTAAGACTAGTTTGACCAGCAAAAACCAGCTAAGATCAGCCTGACAAACTAAAACCAGCTAAAAAGTGACCAAAACTCCTCTAAAGCCAGCTAAGACCAGCTTGAGTAGCTTAAACCAGCTAAGACTACCCTGACCAACTAAGACCATCTAAAAAGTAATCAAAACAACTCTTAAACCAGCTAAGACCAACTTGACCAACTAAGAACAGATAAAAAGTGGCTAAAACCCCTCTAAAACCAGCCTTACCAGCTTAAACCAGCTAAGATCAGCCTGACCAACTAAAACAGCTAAAAAGTGGCCAAAACTCCTCTAAAACCAGCTAAGACCAGCATGAGCAACTTAAACCATTTAAGACCAACTAAAACCAGCTAAAAAGTGACCAAAACCTCTCTTAAACCAGCTCAGACCAACCTGACCAACTAAGACCAGATAAAAAGTGGCCAAAAACCCTCTAAAACCAGCCTGACCAGCTTAAACCAGCTAAGACCAACCTAACCAACTAAAACCAGCTAAAAAGTGGCCAAAACTCCTCTAAAACCAGCTAGACTAGTTTGACCACTTAAACCAGCTAAGATCAGCCTGACCAACTAAAACCAGCTAAAAAGTGTCCAAAATTCCTCTAAAACCAGCTAAGACCAGTTTAAACCAGCTAAGACCAACCTGACCAACTAAAACCAGCTAAAAATGGCCAAAACTCCTCTAAAACCAGCTAGACTAGTTTGACCACCTAAAACCAGCTAGGATCAGCCTAACCAACTAAAACCAGCTGAAAAGTGACCAAAACTCCTCTAAAACCAGCTAAGACCAGCTTAAACCAGCTAAGACCAACCTGACCAACTAAGACCAACCTGACCAACTAAGGCCATATAAAAAGTAACCAAAACGCCTCTAAAACTAGCCTGATCCACTACAACCAGCTAAGACTAGTTTGACCAGCTAAAACCAGCTAAGACCAACCTGACCAGCTAAAACCAGCTAAAAGTGGCCAAAACTTCTCTAAAACCAGCCTGACCAGCAAAGACCAACCTGACCAATTAAGACCAGCTAAAAAGTGGCCAAAACCCCTCTAAAAACAGCCTGGAAAATCAGCCATGACCAGCCTGGGAAACCAGCTAAAACCAGCTTGGGTGACCAGCCAAAACCAGCCTGACCAGCTTTGGCTGGTTTAAGCTGTTTTTTTTAGTAGGGTGTTAAAGGACTTAAAGTAGATTCTGCTCTTATTCTTGGCATGTGGATGCTTGTCTTAGAGATGAGGTTTGTTTGAGCTCTGGTCAAGCGTGGGTCATTGCTGTGCGCCGCCTTGGTATTATTGCAGTGTTGAGTTTCAGCTGTGTATTTAAAAATGCCAGTTCCCTTGTTGTTGACCTCATTATATTTTTAGACGCAAGCGATGATTCTCTGTAAACCAATCAGCATTTAGCTGTGAGTCTACCTCAACCATTTAGCACTGCACTGTTGTGCTAGGCACTTACAAAATGGTCCCAAAAAGTACTTCGGTAAGGCTTTCTGTTTTGCCATTTCTGAAAGTGGAACTGGAAATAGATGTAAACCGTACTGTACAGAATATGCTCAAACGAGCCATTGACCATCTCTTCTTCAGTTTCTTCAACAGGTTGGTAATTGCAGTGGGTTTCTAAACCTCGACTGTCCTGCCAAGGATTTTCCAGTGCTTTTCAAGCTGGTTCAGATCAGGACTCTGTGATGGCCACTTCAATGTTTGCAGCATCAAATAACTTCGTTACTCATTTTGCAGTGTGACGGGGTTTGTATATTATGTCAGATATGGAGAGGAACTAAGGGCACGATCTGCACAAACTCTCTTAAATTGGAGAATTAAAGATTGAAGAATATTGCCTGGCCTCGATTTTCACTGTGAATTTAGTTTAAACAAAAACAGGACGCATCCAACCCTCCTCATATCAAGGGCTAAGCCTGCTGGTGGTGTAATAGTGCATTTAAGAGTTCCTTAGCACACACTGAACTTTGTACCAACTGAGCATCTCATTTAAATACCACAACCTGCCGGAGTATTGTTGCTGACCATGTCCCACACTGCTAATATGCATTCTTCGAAGGATTAAAGCCTGGTTTATACTTCTGCATCGAGTGATCGGCGTGACACACGGTGCACTTCTGCGCGCTGTTTGTGTTGCTCTGCACTTCCGAAACGCGTGCTGGCAGTAGGTGTTATGTTCCTCTGTGTCCAGTTTCTTCACTGGTGTTTTGTTTTTTCTAAACACTACCTTCATGTACAAGTGGCTCAAACTCGCCCATTTTGAGGTGGGAACCGGCGGACCTGCAACAACTTTAATCATAAGGTAAACACAAAACAACAGTTTCCATCTGGAGCTCCTTCAAGGGATTTACCACTTGTAAACACCTGCCCCATGGGATGGTGTGGCTCTCTGTCACGCCCACACTCGTCAGCGCTACCAAGCCAGCCAATCAGGTAAATATTCATGATCTTGTTTCGTGTTTCATGTAATGTCTGCGTAGACGTGGTAAATAAGAAAAAAAATGCACATTCGAATTTATTACAGCATATCAAAAAATATGTGACAATCCATGTAGTTTCTATTTATTTTCATATCTGTAAAATAGTTTGTAGAAAGTATCTTGCTGTCTGTGTGAAAATGTTTCAAATTTTGGCTTGTGTTTTCACAAGACTTAAGATTAGCACAAATTAGCCTTTAGCACCCACAGTATCTTACCTCTGCAGTTAGATATTTTTTTCTGGACACGACACTCAAAATACATCTTGAATTACGATGAAAGAGAGGCCAAGCTAAAATTGCTTTTTATTTTTGAAGTTATTGCTTTTTTTTTACCCATTTCATTATTAAGTTTATCCATCAAATATAAATGATCTCAAATATATTTAAGTACACAAATAGTTGGTAAATTTTCAGGACTTTTCCAAAACGTTTCCAGGCCTGGAAAATTCATTCATTCATTTTCAGCAGCTTTTCCGGAGCCGAGTTGTGGGGGCAGCAGTCTTAGGAGAGAACCCCAGACTTCCCTCTCCCTCCGAGGGGAGCCCGAGGTGTTCCCAGGCCAGCCAAGAGACATAGTCCCTCCAGCGTGTCCTAGGTGTACCCCAAGGTCTTCTCCTGGTGGGACATGCCTGAAACAGATGCCCAAACCACCTCAGCTGACTTCTCTCGATGTGGAGGAGCAGCGGCTCTACTCCGAGATCCTCCCAGGTAACAGAGCTCCTCACACTACCCACAAGAGTGCGCCCTGCCACCCTTCAAAGGAAACTCATTTCGGCCGTTTGTATCCGAAATCTTGTCCTTTCGGTCATGACCATAGGTGACAGTAGGAACGTAGATTGACCGGATTTGATTGACTTTTCCAGGCTTTCCAAGACCGTATGGACCCTGAAAGGCTGCGCCGCAGCATACGCGTACGCTTGGTGCAGAAGTATAAATCAGCCTTAAGGCAGAAAAGAGAGACTATTATTTAAAGGATTATGAATTGTTCTGAGTAACAACCCCTGGTGGAATTCGAGGGGTCTGTGTAACATTAACTGATAATCCAAAGGGAAAACGTGTGTGGTGTGGAGCAAAGACAATGCAACCAACTAAGACGCAATGCAAAAAGACTCAAGGGTTTATTTGCAATATTTACAGAAGGTGGTTAAAGCAGCACATGACTGTAAAGAAAATATGTACTATATTTGAAAGTATCACAGGGAAGGATGAACGGATGAGGGCAGCAGACAAATAAAAGAAACTATCAAAGGCCAGCAAACCCAACTTTAACAGAAATGATGCTCCAAATGAGACGATACCCCTTAAGCCCATACTAAATACAGCATATCTTTAACCATTTCCAAGTGCATTTCTCAACATCAAACATTTAAATACAAGTAAAAAGGCCCTATGGGTGGTTTGGAGTGCTGTTTCATTACTTGTTAGTAATAAAGCTTGCCATCTTGGTGCGTCCTGGGTTTTAAATGGAATTGGTTTAAAACTTAAAGTGCCGCGTTGTTTATTAGTGAGAATCTGGCTAAATGTTTGCAATAGACTTTTAATCACAGAAAGTGGAAGGGGTTAATAGACAATAATATAATGAAGGTGTTTACCTGAAGTGCTTTCATGTAAGAGTTTCCTGTAATTTTGGGTGACTTTAACTGCAGTTCGGCAGCTTCACATTCACTCAACATTTCATTCATGCCCCTGTGACAAACTGGGGATTTAGACGTAAGGACTGGTGAGAGTGTTATGGGATTTAATAACGCAAGCCAAATGGAAAGAATAAAACTTCAGTGTGTGTGTTTTAGTGCGCGGTCCTTTACTGACAAATTCCAACATGACGGTAATAGTTTGATCGCGGTGTTTACTTTATTAATGCCACTAATATCTGCAGACTCCACATGTCTTAATTCCATTCCTGTTTAGTACAGTTATGACTTTAGTCAGATTAAGGTGATCAAAAATCGCAGTTTGGAGCTTATGTAGGCCGACAAAACAGTTCAAAATTCATGTTTAACTGAATAAACAATTAGTAAACACAAGTGCATCTTATTTCATCACCAATTATCATAGTAGAACAGTTTCTCAAGCAGTTTGTGATTCATTTTGGAAACCGGAGATAAGCCCTTGGTCTAATGCGCCACCTGGCTTGAAAAACCCGTTCTTAAAGACTGACTTCTAGTCTTTATTTGGGCAGAATTCAAATAAGCCATTTTAATGTAGATTAATCTCAATATTACAGTGTGTATAAATATATATATATATATATATATATATATATATATATATATATATATATATATATATATATATATATATATATAAATTAGTGCTGTCAAAATTAGTGCGTTAACGCATGCGATTAATTTGAAATATTTAACGTGTTAAAAAAAATTAACTGTTGTGGTGGACGTGTTCAACATGCAAAGAAATATGGATAAGACCAAGGAAGCACTTTTTAAAGGCAAGTTTTAGTATAAAACAATTAATGTCGCATCACCAGGCTATCCGGAGCGATCATGCGTGTTGAATCTGAAGGAATTCGCTCCAGCGTGTTGTGTGTGTCTGTCTGTGTGTGTGTGTCTGTGTCAGGGGTTGAGTAAACGACGTATCAGAGTAGGGGCGTGTGCGCGAGAGACGTAGCTGAAGAGTGGTGGGGGTGAGTTTCGAAGAGCTAGGAGGAATGCGGTGGAGAGGGGTGTGCATTGTATTTAAGGACCGGGCAGGAGACGAGCGATTTCCGGGAGATTATCAATCATTTGCGGGCATCCGGGAATACTCCCGCAACTTCCTGCCGACTTAGGATGTCTGGACTGGACTGTCTTAGCAACTGGATGAATGTAAAGGAGGATTAAGCAAAATTGTTTCTACTTTATAATTAATGTTCTCAACTCACAGCAATACAACATATATATACACACACACACACACACATACATACATACATATATATATATATATATATATATATATATATATATATATATATATATATATATATATATATATACACACACATACATATACATATATATATATATATATACACACATATATATATACACACATACATATATATATATACACATACATATATATATACACACATACACACACATATATATATATATATATATATATATATATATATACATACATACATATATATACACATACATATATATATGTATATATACACACACACACACACATTCATATATATATATACACATACATATACACACACACACATATATTTATATATATATATATATATATATATATATATATATATATATATATTTACAATATATATATATACATATATACATACATATATATATATATATATATATATATATATATATATATATATATATATATATATATATATACACATACATACATATACAGGACTGTTATTTTGAGGGCTACGCCACGAGCTCAGATTTGGTTGGCAAATCAGAGGAAAATAGTGTATACATGTGTAAAAAAAACCCCGCCAAAATATAGTTTTTGCTTTCTTTTGTTTTTTGTGAGCAAAATAACGGAATATTGAATGGACGGTTTTTGAGTGGACATTTTTAATTGCTAAACTCTTTCCACAACGAAGCCACTTCAAGTTTTCAAACATCTTGTTAAAGTGAAATGAAACTGAAAAACTGTGTGTACCTACCACCGGCCTGTGAAGATTATCCGGGAGTTCATTTGGGCTGAGCAGAGCGGCCCATTTCCATGAGCATGCTTACTATTTCTATGAGCATATTTTTACAAAAGTTACATCTCACCGAGAGGAATATGCACTGCAGACGTTTACATATTCATCTCCACATTTCCACCGGAAGAGCGTGCGGTGTGAGTTCTCTCATGCTTACTAAGGATTCCTTTGCGGTTAAAACACTTCCCGCACTGTTGGCAGGTGAAAGGCTTCTCTCCGGTGTGAATCCTCATGTGAACTTCAAGGTGTCCTTTCTGAGTAAAGCTGTTCCCACACTGGGGACACGTATACGGCTTTTCCCCGGAGTGAATTCTCATGTGCACTGAGGTTTCCGTGTTGATCGAAAGTCTTCGCACACTGAGGACACTCGTACGGTTTCTCTCCCGTGTGAATTCTCAGGTGGACTTTAAGGTTGCCGTGCTGATCGAAGCTCTTTCCACACTGCTGGCATGTGTAAGGCTTCTCTCCGGTGTGAGTTCTCATGTGGACCTTAAGGCTTCCGTGTTGTTCAAAGCTCTCTCCACACTCGGAGCACGTGTATGGTCTCTCTCCGGTGTGAATTCTCATGTGTCTGGTAAGACTTCCTTTCGCAGTGAAGCTTATTCCGCACTGTTGGCAAGTGAACGGACACTCCCCGGTGTGAACTCTCATGTGATACCTAAGATTTCCTTTTCGGCTGAAACTTTTCCCACACTGTTGGCAGGCGAAAGGGGTCTCTCCGCTGTGGACGCCCATGTGCACTTCAAGGTTTCCGTGCTGGTTAAAGCTCTTTCCGCACAGAGGACAGGAGTAAGGCTTCTCTCCGGTGTGAGTTCTCATGTGTCTGTTGAGGCTTCCCTTCTGAGTGAAACCTTTCCCACACTGAAAGCAGATGAAGTAGCTTATAGGGTCGATCTCTTGCACTTTTTCTTGCGAGGAAGTTCTGTCAGTCCGTGCACGATGAAATGATTGTCCTCCAGTTACGAAATGTTGATAATTCTCAAAAGGACCTTTCTCTTCCACTTCATCCAGTTCTTGACTCTCCTCTTTCACCGGCAACGGGTCTATGGCAAAAAAAGATCAACTACGTTAATGGCTAGTTTGATGGCTCGATGCGACAATTATTTAAAAATTTAGGCCTGGTTTACACTGTCAGGTTGTGACGATGTCATAAATCAATTATATTGTGGTTGAAAAAGTTCAGCAATTTCAGTAAAAACTTTTATTATGGGTGAAGTTTGTTCCTTGTTAAAAGAGCTTGGCGTCATAGAGAAGAAAAGTAAGAGCTAGATGGAAAGAGGGGGAGAAGGAAGTGATACATGGCCTCTGGCAGTCATTGAAGTTTTGACAAAGTTTCGGTTTCTCCGATGGCGTTCGTTTGAGTTTTAACTCATCATGCTTTCATCAGCCAGCGTTGTTTAAACCCTGCCGAGATGTCAAGAAGCGGATGAGTATGTGAGCAACGTAAGGCTTCAATGGAAATGAGAACCGCAAAGCCTCTATTGAATGTATGTACTGTCAAGTGTCAGCCAAAGTGAGAACCGCAAAGCATCTACTGCGCTTCAGCGCTTCTACTTAAATGAGAACTGCAAAGCCTCTACTGCTCTACCGGTTTTTTTTTGTTTGTTTTTTTTTTACTTATTTGACATTAGCCCCTTTCACACATACACACCTTTCCGGAAAATTACCAGCAATTTTCCAGAAAGGTGTGTGTGTGAACAGGCTCTTTTTGAAAGTACCTGTAAATTCGTTCTGGCTAATTTCCGGAAAGAGAAGTTGTAACATTACCGGTAATTTGCCGGAATGCTGCGCTGTGTGAACGCAAAAGGAAGATTGCTGGAATAAGCACGTACATGTCTAGAACGTGCTGACGTGAGACGTCTGCTTTAGCCAATCAGAAGAGTCAGACGCATTCACGTCCGCGCGGTTTAGGAGAATAATTTTTAGAATATTTTTCCAGACACATTTAGCAGCTAGAAATTAGTCAGATAACGTTTATATGTTCATCTTAATGCCAAACGTGTAATTAATTATCGATAAGATGCTTATGATAAGCCGTTGTTTGTTTACCTTCAAGCTTTGCATGTGCCCATGAAAAAGTCTATGAGCGCCAGCACACACACATTTCATGTACATCTCAACATGCCAAAGTGTTTCTAAATATTTTTTCATCAAAGTTGTTCACAATACTGATCCATACACAAAGTTTGTGATGTAGTTAATAGTTTACAAATACAAGCGCAGCTGTTTAGAGGTCATTTCTGGTTAATGATGTCAGAATTTACCGGTATTTTGGAGTGGACGTGTGAATGCTCTTTTCCGGAAAAATTCCGTAACGTCCTCACCTGTGTGAACAGCACTTTTTTGAAATTACCGGTAAAGTCGTTCCGGAAATTTTCCATATATTTACTGGTATCACTGTGTGAAAGGGGCTATTGACATACTGTCTGGCACCCCATCATTAAGCCTGGTTTATACTTCTGCGTCAAGTGACCGGCGTAACTCACGGCGCAGGCAACGCGCGCAGCTGTGGATTTATACTTCTGCGCGCTGTCCCTGTTGGTCTGCATTAGAGATCTGCGCGGGACTAAATTTTGAATCCCGCTCCCGCCCGCACCCGCCAGGTTTTAGCCCGAACCCGACCGCTCCCGCTTAAATTAAGAATTTATTGTCCCGCTGCCCGGCCCGACCCACCCCGTTTTCTGGCCGCCGCGCCCGATCCCGCTAAAGAGCGGGGGAGAACAAAACCGAAAATCCCCCAGCTATACAGTCCAGACAGTCAAGCTGTCTGTATAAACAAACACACACACAGCACCAAGCACACACACACAGACAAATCTCTCTCTCTCTCATACGCGCGCGCACTAACACACACACAAGCACCAAGCAGACACACAGGCGTTTGCTGTTATATCAAGTCAAAGGGTTTTAATACCATGTATCAAGTACCAATGTAATACCAAAAGGTTTTATATAAAGGTATATAAATACTGAGTCGCGCCAGCTCCGGGCCGCAGCGCACATTACTCTCGGGCCGATTCCGGCGCGGATGCGGCAGCGTCTGCTCGCTTACGGCCGCCGCATCTGGCCCGATTGATTCGGGCCGGAATCGGGCAGTGAGTCCACAAGCATCTGGAGTCCGCCAGCTCTCTCTCATTTGCGCGCGCGCACTAACATACACACACCAAGCACACACACAGGCAAAGCTCGCTCTCGCTCTCTCTCTCTCATTCGCATAGCAATATCCGTGATATTGCTAGACAGCCCGCTCCCGTCCCAAATTAAACCCGTTACCGACCGCTCCCGCGATTTATTCGGAAATTTATTCCCGCGCCGCAGAAATCTGGTCGGGACCTCTAGTCTGCATTAACACTTCCGAAACGCTAGTTGGCAGTGAGGTGTAAATGTGTCTCTGTGTCGAGTTTCTTCGCTTCTGTTTTGCGTTTCCTGAACACTTCCGGGATGTACAAGTGACTCAAACTCGCTCATTTAGAGGCAGGAACCGGCGGACGTGCAACAACTTTAACTATGAGGTAAACACAAAACAAAACTTTCCATCCGGAGCTCCTTCACGGGACTCCACACTTGTAAACAAACGCTCGCGCCATTCGCGCGGCTCTCGGTCCCGCCCAGACTCATCAGCTCTACCAAGCCGACCAATCGCAGAGCTTGCGTTACGCGTCGTTGCAACGTGTAGTTACAAGCCACGCCGACGGCCATGGCGAAAGGCTATGCGTCAGCGCCGTAGCATACGCCGGCGTTTGACGCAGAAGTATAAATCAGCCTTTATAAAGTAAAGGAAACGTTACAAGATCTTGATGCCCAATTCTGATTTGTTGCCTATATCTGATTTTTTTTGCCTGTCCGTTTACACGTTTTTTTAATTTTGACCCATATCCGATTCAAGTTTTTACACTTGCCATACAATTTACGATGTTGCGCATGCATAAAGGCGGGTTCTAGCATCTATCTTGTTTTTAGCTCTGCGAAATATATGAAGTCAACTTTAAAGTGATTAAGAGGTGGAGGAGGAGGGATAAAACCGTCATTGCAGCTTAGTTTATATATAGCGTCCTTCACTGACTCATCTCTTCACAGGACAAGAATGCAGGTAACTTTTGCTGTTGACCACTGACCACTTTCCTCCTCGTTTCCTCTGTTGTTGTTTACCGCACTGGCTTCTCCACACACGCTCTACCTTCTTCGTCATCAAACTGCGGAGAAGTACCACATTGTTGCAAGTTTAATGACGTACAAAACGGAATGCCTCAATAAATCCGATCTGCCCGTTTACATGACAGTCGCATTGTCCCATTTATATCTGATTTATTTTCACGTATGAAGGAGGCCTGAAAGTCATCTCTGTATATCCGAATGCATTTGTTTTTTCGTGTGCACGCGGTCATAGAACAGATCCGATCGGTGTCGCATTTAACCGTGACCACATGGGAAAGCTAAGTTGCTCCCAGAAGTGGTTAGTGAGACCAGCAGGGGGCGCTCAACTTGCCATCTGTGTGGGTCATAACCAGGGCCAGACGGAATCTGCGGACGTTTTTTGCTATTTCTGCGTATAATTTTGGTAAAAATCTGCGGATTTCTGCGGAATTATTTTGGGAGTATCCAGCGGAGTAACACAACTAAGACCTTAATATATGAAATAAAAAGTAATAAATTACTGAATAAAAACTGAATAAATTCAGATTTACACATTTACACAAGTAAATAAACAGAAGTAATAATGGGCTAAAAATCTGCGGAATTCTGCGCGCGCAGATTCCGTGTGGGCCTAGTCATAACACCGCATTATATTGACGGGGACTCTCAGTGATCTGCTCAGTGAGCGCCGTCTTTCGGATGACTCTCTGGTTGTTAAAAATCCCCAGGATGTCCTTTAAAAAAGAAATAGGGGTTTAACCCCGGCATCCTGTCCAAATTTGCCCACCGCCCTCTGTCCATCCCTATATCATAATTGACTTCATCACTCTGTCTCATCTCCACCGATCAGCTGGTGTGTGATCGTGCGCAATATATCTGCCGTCGCATCATCCAGGTGGATGCTGCAAACAGGTGGTGGATGAGGAGATTCCCCCCAAAAGTTTGTCAAGTGCTTAGAGTGTCCAGTCCGTATGTAAGGAATTATTATTATTAAAACCGACAATATAGATCTATAGCTTCTGCCTATTTAGGGCTTGTTTCCTCTGAGCTGTACGGTTCTGTATAGCACAGTACACATTTCTATTGTGAGATCAACTAAATTAGTGACCCATACTGTACCACTTTTTATGATCCTTTCCTAAGGGTATCTAGCACAACAATATGGTACCAAGAGGGTGGAACTAGACTCACTGCTGATTGCTATAGGTTTACAAAGAATCATAACTTGGGCATGCAACAAGCCAGGGGAACGACAACAGAAGAAGTGCCCATTTTAAATAGACAGCCAAAACACTACACTGTAATAATACTCCCTCTCCCTAATTGAGTGCACTTGCTGTGCTTCTACATTCGAAATAGTGAACTTGAGTTTGCAAAAGACACATGGGAACAACCTGTATGGGTTACTTCTTTGAGAAAGATTGAAACAATCTCGTGTACACCACACTTACCAAGTAAGGATACTCTTGGCATTTGAAACCCAGCCTGATACAAGGGTCACCAACCCTGTTCCAGGAGAGCTACCTTCCGGCAGAATTCAGTCCCAACCCTGATCAAACACACCTGAACCAATTAATAGTACCTAAAGCAGCACTTGATAATTACAAACAGGTGTGTTTGCTCAGGGTTGCAACTGAAATGTGCAGGAAGGTAGCTCTCCAGGAACAGGGTTGGTGACTCCTGGTATAATAAAACAATGGTGTTCATTGATGGAGTGTCTGTGTATTACTATAGTATTACCACAGGAAATACTGTGACTCTATGCTGTAAAACAGCTGCAGAAACCTTATAAATGGTCCATTTTTGGTCTGGAGAAACAGGTCTGTGTTCTTATGGGTTCATATTTTTTATGGCTTACAGAACAAACCACTGTAGTCCAATGAGCTGCCTAATTAACCTAGTTAAGCCT